GGCTGTTGAGGTTCTTAAAGTGTATTTACCGTACGTGTGCCAACACCAATCGTGCGAGTGCGCATAGGTAGTTTAGGTCGTTTCTTGAGTAAAGTTTGGCTAGTGGTCGTTCCATCGGGTATGTCCATATCCAATTGACTTTTGGGCTCTGACACTATTGAAGTGGGCAATACTATGGTTTTATCTCCAGTTTCGTCTAGCACAGTTGCAGCCAATCCAAAATCTCCTATTTTGGGTACCCAGTCTTCGCTGCATATACTCTTGCGCCGTGGAAGTTCTTCCGAAGGAACAGTCAGGCTGGATCTACGTGAAGTACGCCCATTTTCACTATGTGAAGAAGGCACACTAAGAAATATATTACTAGGCTTCAGATCACGATGAATCAATCCGCGATCATGAATATAGGCTGCTCCTTGAAGAATCTGAGAGAATAACAAGATATTCTTGTGACAGTCTATTGCATCAGTAGACCCTTCCTGATTTCTTGTCTTTATGTAATCAAACAAGGTTGCTAAGGTGATACAAAATTTTCGGTTTAGTTCTTTAGTTTCTTAAAATAATTATATATATATATATATATTCAAACTTACTAGGACAAAGCTGCATCTGAATAAACAGAGTCCAGCTACCTTGATCTTTTCTTTTCTTGCACTTGCTAGCTTGAGTACCGCTACTCAGAGAATATGTCCCAGATGAACAATTACGATTATTCACAAAAGACTTGCTTTGGTTGAATGAATCTGAGAAAGCGTCCACCGAAGGTTCAGCAGAACCAGTTTCAAACACAATGCCCATATCAGAAGGTTCTTCCCAATTGATGTGCTGCTGTTGTTCGGCCACAGAGAATGTTGCCACAGAAGATGTGTCATCACCGGTCGTGCAACAAGAGCTGTCGCCGGCTGGAGATTCGTACTGACTAGCCTCGGTGCGATTGTCTAGAAACTCACTTTCGTCCGAATCTTCAGAAGATTTGTGGATTGCATTAGAGTCATCGTATTCAAGCCAAGATGCATAATAGCGAATCACGTTCTGATGCTCAAGTCGGGCAAGATTCTTTATCTCTCGAAATATCTTTTCATAGGGATTGTCTTTTCCAAACTCTTCTTCAAGATCTTGTCCTAGCCGAATCTTTTTGACAGCATATTCAATCCCATCAAGCTTATTACGTGCTTTCCATGCGCTCGCAAAGCCACCTTTGCCTAGTAATCCTAGTTCCACAAAGTCATTTCTGTACCTTGAGTTGTGCACACTCAGGTTGTAAAACACATTTCCTTTTGAAAACAGATCCACAGCCTTTTCATTGCTCGGTTCTCCATTTTCTGAATTGGGAGACATTAAAGACAGAGTGTCAAAGTTCAAGGGGTTGAGCCTATCATTTGAACTCTGGTCGGTTCTGGCGCCGGTGTCGGGCAACGTCAACCGCTGATCATTTCCAATTCTCGGGACATGTTGATTGTTAACTGTCTGCACAGCCGTGTAAAATAACTTGCGAAACGCCTGTTGAAAAGTAGATCGAACACTGGCTACTTCATCGACGAACTCAGCATCAATAAAGCCCAATGAGCGTAGTGTCTGGCAAATAAGAAAAAACACGCGATGATTTGCATCAGGAGAATCTCCATAGGTATTACAGAAATATTCAATCAAAGCCACGAGGAGCATTTTTGTTTGATTACGCCTTGATGGGGATCCACGCATCGTTTGTCGTAATTGAAAATCAGGGTCTTTCGGCTTGAAATCGTCATTGCTAGGCCAGTTTGGATATGAAAGATCTGCAATTGGTTATTACCGAGCCTTTAACAGTCGATTGATGAAATTACCTGTAGGAAGTGTGGTTCTAGTTGGATTACTGTTTGAGAAACCAGACCTTGAACATTCCGGACTGGATTCAGGAGAATCTGTCAATAATGAAATAGAGTGTGGGGAAGGTAGGTCACCAATAGTAACCCTATGGCTTCTGGGACTTTCTTTTACTGCCATTCCGTTCAATTCAAAGGAGCTTTTTTTGTTTTCGTTTTTATTTTTACTCTCGAGAAATAAAAGAATAGTTAAAGAGCTTTGAGAACATATATGCTATATTCCTTGATTTTTTATTGGTTAAAAAATAAGTTAGTTTCCTATGGATTGTTGCAGAAGGCCTGACATTAAAATTTACAACAGAAATGTTTTACAATGGTATTGCTGGCTTGCGATATATACTTTTAGCAAACGATAGGCGAGAAATGAGGTGACCCATTAAAGTCATATATTTATATATATAATAGAAATTACGTATATTATTATCTGCGTAAACCCAAGCCGATACTCTTGTTATTCTTTTCTCTCTTTTTTAGGAAAAATAAGAACTCAAAATAAGACATACAGTGATTGTGTATGTGTATGTGTAGGTATTTTTCTTTTGTTTTATACCATTGTATTGTAAGCCACAAAATATAACTGACAAATACTTTGATAATAAAATGAAAATGATTATCGAAGCTGGCTTTAGTAGATTAATATGGTTTTTGAATAATATGGTTAAAGGATAACCTGTCTACTGTTCTTGCCTACAAGGTTCTCAAAAGAACTTATTTAATATATTAGGTAAAGTTCTTGAGAAATGTATGCCTAGCGACTTTTTCAAATCAAACAATTTAAACAACAAAATATATAAAAAAAATACCGTGAAGTTATCTACATTCATACTATAGCACTTGCGTAAAATATGTATGGGGTGGACAGGATAAAAAAAAGTAGGAACAAGTTCAAGAATGTAAGTCCTATTATTGGATTAGAGTTTAAAGAAACAGAGACTTTGAACTTTCAAAACGAAGTCAAAAAAGTTCAAACGATTTTGACTGGCTGGTCTCCTTCTATTGTCAATTACATTAAAAAAAAACATGCTTTTGATAGAAGAGATGTTATTGTAAGTACTTGCTTTTATCTAATATATATTTGAACCTTTGAACATTTTAGTATATCCACACCAATTGTGTAAAATCGATAGTATATAAATTTCAGCTATCATTCGGGCCCGACGTTTCTGTAGAGTATTAAAAATATTCTAAACACTGCTTTCCATTGTGTATTGGACTCCTGGAAAGTGACTATGGTCCAGCCTTCAATGGTGGCAGAGTACCTTTAAGCAAAAAAAATGTGCCCTGAAGAAATTAGTGAAAAACCTGTTATTAAACCTTCTTTTCTTTTATATATTCATCCTATAAGCATCAGATATCTAAATAACATAATTTTATTTCAGAAGAAACAAGACTGCTACTTCTACCATTACAGAATAGTATTTATAAAAACAATGTTAATAATGTCTCAATAGAAATCACTTTAACATGAATACTATCAATAAAGAATTAGTTCTTGTCGACAGAAATAAATATTATTCTGCTCAAAAAGATTTTATTACTACACCAATCAATGGCTATGTCAACATGAATGTAGCAATCTTTAAGATGCAAGAGTATGCACTTTCTAACAATCTCACTCTTGTAACCAAAGACCATAAACCAACCCGAGTTTACTTAAGGTGCACCAGGGGTGGTCATTATAGAAACACTCATAAAATTGAAGATTGTGGTTGTGTTAAAACTCGTCCTAGCTCAAAAACTGGATGTCCGTATACGATAAAACTATCATACAAAAAAGGAATCAGGTGATATTTTCCCTTGAAAGCTTCCAACGAAATGGGAGCTTCCATAATCATCTTCTTTGATGACAAATGCTTGGAACCAACTTTTAAAGGGGGATTGTTGAGAGTTGCTGCTTAAGATGTTAAGCAAATTTCTAAGCTTGTAGAGACAAAGGCCAAGACTTGTGAGATCCAAAGGATTATCATGGATGAAACAGATGATGTTTATATGCTGTAAGTTAGCAATACAAGCAATATCAAGACTGCTTTTGCTTGAGTTTCTAGCCCTGTTACCCAGAATGCAGAAACTAGACTTGTTGAGATGATGGAAGCAAAAGTTTTCTAAACACACAACGACATCAATGGAGGCAATTCACTGGAAATGGTATTTTTTATCATCTAAAAGATGATGGAGAGAGCTCGCTGCTTCTCGGAAGTTATGATGGTTGATGCGACATATTTTATCAATAACTTGGAGATGCCCCTGATTTGCGTGGAAGGTATCTACAATCTTGGAGGAGAAACCCTCAAATCTTTCTCAATTGCCTTTGCCTGTGTCTCTAATGAACAGCAAGGCACATATCTTTGGTTCCTTCAGCAACTCGAGTCTTTTGTTTTCAAAGGAAAGACACTGATCACAGTGTCTGTGACAGACAAGTGCGCTGCATTGATGAACGCTCTGGACAGTGTATTTCCAGATAAAAATAAGATGCTTTGCTATTGACACATGTTAAATAGCGTGGAGAAGGCTCTTTTGGAAAAAGTAGGCTTGGAAGAAAGGAAGGAATAGCTTACAGGATACATAGCCAGCATGATCCATAATACAACCAAGAAAGAGTTTGACTTAGCTCTCAACAAGTTCAACAAAGTTTCTGATAGTACGAAGGTAAAAAATGGCAAGCAAAAAGTGCCAGCTGCAGTTTACTTCAATGACAAGTGGGTTGTATGTAAGGAGAAGTGGGTAGGCTACCTTACTTCCAAATTGATGCATTTTGGGTGTACAACGTCGCGAAGAGTGGAAAGTGCACATCATGCTTTGAAAAGAAGTATATCTGCTATAGAATCTCTGGACCTTGCCTTCGAGAGTATTGAAAGATACATCGAAAGTCTTTCTCAAGCCTTTCGAAATGTAGAGGTAAGGGAATCTATGACGGTTGACCCTCTTGTTGAACGAAACAATCTTTCATCCAAGCTACTCATGAAGGTGTCAAAGCGAGCTTTACTTTTGGTAGACCAGGAGATTCGGGTTGTGTGTGACAGCAGTACTTATTGCAAATGTATGAACAAGCTTCAATATGGTTTACCTTGCCGCCATTGTTTGCCTGCTGGAAGGGAAATATGTATTTCCGATATTCCTGAAATGTGGCTGATTGAACCTAGAATGGCGAAACAAGCCAAAAATACTCTCGAAGAAACAATCAGAGTTGATAAAAAACCAGAGGTGTGGATGGAGGAGATAATTAAACTTGAGACACTTTTTCGCTCTTGTGAGGGTAGCCAGCAAGTAGCTAAACTCTTGAATAAGATCAAGAATGTTACTTCTGAATTCGAAGGCAAAACTGGGAACCCTTCGATTAACTTTCAAGCCCCAGAAAAAATCAAGTACCCTGACAAACGGAATGATAGTGCACGTCCAACGTACCTCCCCAAATAATTTGGTCAGGAAAACTGGAGGAAGATCAGTGTTTCGTCTGGTCATGTAAGATAAAAAAAAATAACGTAACAAATTATTGATATGTATCTTGAAATACTAGGCTGGCCTTAAGGCAATGGTTAGGTTGAGACCCAGAATGAGGGAAGGAAATCCTGTAGCTACACAAAAAACAAAACAAAAGCAAACAAGAGTCTCTCGACCCAGGTAATATGCTTTCTTATTTTACAGTGTGATTGAATCCATAAAGAAAAATATCGTCTTATACTTATATGCTTTTTAGTTTCTGCCCCCCAAAAAAATGGGTTGATAAGACCTGTCACCGCTCTAGAAGATTACCAGTATGATAAGCGCACCTCTGTTGGCAAGAGGGTTAAATTCCAGCCCGGTTTTCCTGTCTCTCATGAGATAGTCGGTGTCGTTAAGGGTGGGTTTAACCTGACTGCTGATGGGCGGCGTGGTTTTCGGGTACTTGCCCACTTGATCTATAAAGATCAAAACAAATTCCCTCTTGTAAAAAGAGATATGATTTCTGTCTTGCCAAAATACAAGGAGACATATGCAAATACATTTGGAACTGATATTAAATAATTAAAAGACATCATAAAACATGGTTTTGATCTTTGCATCAACAATAACAACACCAACACCAACTTCATCCCAGCATGTTTAGATGCTAGTATGTGTTTTAATACATCCGACTGTGCTCAACTAGCTTCAGACACATATATACGACCAGTCTGTGCCTACTCATATAGCCCCAACACCACTTCTGTGTCGTTTCTTCCCTTTGCTCATCCCAAAAACACCTCAAAACAGCAACAACCTCTGATTTTTAATCATGTTAACAATAACGACTGGACAACAGTAAACCTTTCCCGCAATATCTCAAGGAAATGGCCAATTATTCCTGAGTTATTCCTTTTGGGCTGTGTCAGAAACCAGATTCCCAACAGCTTTGATACTTACTGGAACAAGTTTAAAGAGTTCAATAAGTATGATTACAGAAATGGCATGCTCTCTTTTCTTTCCGATCAAGAGGGACCTATTGATCTCACTATAAAATAATCTATTTTTTTCTTCTATTTTTCTTTTATTATATTATATTTTATTAGTTAGACAATCTTGTTTAAACCTTTATAAATCTTATCAATCTGTTTCTTTGCGTCCACATAAACTATCTATCACTTGCGAGTTAAATGACTCTCCTCTCTGTTTTTTCATAGAAATCATTTGTGGGAAGTACTTTACCCTTCGAGTTACACTTATATCCAGCGAATTAAAAAGCATAAATGTCGAATAGTGTTACATAGATTTAACCAAACTATCTTCAGATATCTTATCTTATGCATTTCTATCTATCTATTTTATAAATTCAAGTGTTGGCTCTCTATAACTTTGGATCCAAGTAGTATATAGATATAATTGTGTGTTAGAAGTTTTGGTTGAATTGAATATCTTGATCATGAGAATACTAACATAATATCTCAAAAATTTGCACTTTCTCAATAAAAGAAAATATTGTATTTGCTTGTAGAATCACTTTTTTCTCATTTGTTTTCTATGAAACTTTTACTGAATTTATATGCTATTTGAATATATGTAATTAGAGACTTTTTTTTTGGCCTTTTGTGAATATTTTTTTTTATTTTTTTGTATCTTTGATAAAATATCTCATGTACATGTTGTAAGGAAATAATAAAGAGTTTTTACAGAAGAAATAAAAACAAAAACATGAATTTTGTAAAGATATATTAGCTTAACTATAATGCAAACTTTCTTAGGCATAAAAGGCTGCATTACCTTTATATCCATTATGAAAGTTTTTGAAAAAAGATGCAAATTACATGGTTTATAATCTTTTCCACTTAAATCACACAAAATGAAAATATATGATTTATGTCTCAAGTTAAATCGTGAAAGTATGACTTGTCAGCAACCATAGGTATGTGATTTGTTGACGGGAACCAAATTAGTCGTGTTTGGGACACGACGTTGTGTCTCTCGGGCACAACATTTACAAATTGTATATTTTGTATACACTGCTATAAAAAAATAAAACTTTTAACAGAATTGCTACTCAAGTACAGCTAGGAATTCGAATATATTAAATAAAGAAATAATTTGTTCATGAATAAAATTATTTATATTTTAATAAATTGATTTTACTCATACAAACTACTTTGGGTGGTCAGGGACCAGATAAGATTGCTGGATGACGGACAAGTCACTCTTTATGAGACCGGTAAATGCTAAAGTGCGGAGGTCCAATAAACGTAGTGCTCCAGAGAAACGTTGTGCCCAAGAGGAAAAGTGTCTTGCCCGAATAACTAGCGCTTGCTTTTTTATTATATATATATATACTTTATACAGCAAAAAAATCCAAAAAGATAAAATTTATAAGCACTTTTAAGAGCATCTTCAGCAGTCCACTTTATCTCCACTTTTACATTAAATTTAAAGATTTAGCTAAAGTTTGTCCTCCCAGCAGTTCGATTAAATTCACTTTAAATATAACAGTCCCTTTTCTTTATCTTCCTATTAAATTTAATAGGAAGATAAAATTTATTGATGAAAACGCTCTCAAAATTTATTTAAAGAAAAAGATAAATCGAACTGCTGGGAAAATTGACCTTTTCTTTAGCTAAAGTAGCGGTGTTTAACTCTAGATAAATTAAAAGTTCTCTCACTGCTGAAGTTGCTCTAAGTAGGTAAAAAAAATTAGTAAATTTACTAGTAATGTTTTTGTAAACCTTTTTTTTTGGAAGAAAGATTGTGGCTTTATTTGTACTCCACTCTTTGCTTCCAGTGTATGCTTGTAATGTCAGAATATAGGACGGCTTTCTTCATATAAACGTTTATACAAGCTGATATTCTGTTATGTAGAGCATATATAGATATATAGCTATTCTATAATGTCTCTTATGCTAAATAATATTCTCTTTTCTTTAAAAAAAATATCTCTAACTTTTGAACACTCCAAATTGATGCCTTTTGGAGTGTCTGGTTTATGTATTCAACTAAAAAAAATTGTACTTTTAGAAACAACTCGTATTTTTGCTATTGGGCATTTAAAGAGCTTATTGAAGTGGTGCAAGTTTCCCGAATTTCAGGGTTCTATGCTTTTTGAGAGTAAAAAAATCGGATATTTTGATCAAAATTCGAGTAATTGTAATATAATAAACCTCGAAGAGGTGGATCACAATGTGTCTCACCAGGTTACTTAAAGCCAAAAAAAACATTGCTTATTTGATTCTATTTTTAATTTTCTATAATTGAAAAGCTATGATTACCATTGGTGTGCATTTGCATATGCTTGTAGAAATCTTAAAAAATATCATTTCCAGTACACTCATATTTAATCAACCATAGAAAAGGTTCATTTATACAAAGGCTCCGTGCTTCAAACTAAAATAGTCTCAAGCGAACCAAAGCTAGACTATGAACCTCAAAATAATAAGTGGAATCATACTATACAGTACTGTAGCGCATTATATTGTATTACAAAACAAAAGTTATAAATCAAAGCCTTTAATCCAACAGAGTATTATTTCTAGGTTATTCGTGCATCCAGTTGAGTTTGGTATACAAGCGCAAAATATCAAAAGCACTAGATCCTATAAATCGATAATTAGTAATCGATAGCGTCTTGCTCCCAACCAAACAAAACCTATACATTCAGTAGCAGTAGATTGTCTCTTTGCTTTCATATTGTGCCGTCAGTCAGTCTGAGCAATATCAGAAAAAAATAGTAAATAAGCAGAGCCTTTAAAAGGTGATTTATATATATGTAATAGCCATTTTACTAGCTTGATCTATCTGTGACCAGGCTAGCACAATTGCAAGCACCACTACTTTTTCATGGTGTATAATGTAACTTATATAAATAATTATAATTATCGATAGAATGGTGTATATTTGAACACATATAAATGTAAAGTGTTTCAGGCAGTTGGGTTATTCTGTATTAATTTCTCAGTTGGATTATGATTGGTTTATAAAGTAGTACAAACCAAGGTCGATTGACAAACACTAGCCTAGACCCTGTTCTTCTTTCGCTAATTATTCGGGCCAGACACTTTTCCTCTCGGGCACGACGTTTCTCTGGAGCACTACGTTTATTGAATCTCCGCCTTTCACCATTTACCGGCCTCATAAAAAGTGATTTGTTGTCCGGCATCCAGCAATTTTATCTGGTCCCTAACCACCCAAAGTAGTTTATATGAGTAAAATCAATCTATCAAAATATAAATAATTTAATTCATGAATAAGGTACATCTTCATTTAATATAACGGAATTTCTAGGTGTACTTAAGTAGTAACCATATTAAAATTTCTATTTTTTTTATGCAGTATATACAAAATATACAATTTGTAAACGTCGTGCCCGAGAGGCAAAACGTCGTGTCCCAAACGTGACTGTGTAAGAAACGTCGTGTTCGAGAGGCAAAACGTCGTGTCCCAAACGTGACTGTGTAAGAAACGTCGTGTTCGAGAGGCAAAACGTCATGTCCCAAACGTGACTGTGTAAGAAACGTCGTGTTCGAGAGGCAAAACGTCATGTCCCAAACGTGACTGTGTAAGAAACGTCGTGCTCGAGAGGCATAACGTCGTGTCCTAAATGTGGCGATAGAATAATTGTGTTCAAGAAAACTGTTGATGCAATATTTTACTTATTGAAAGTAAAGCTTCTATAAGTATAATTATAGAGGTTTCTAGAATTTTACTTTACATTTTAAAGAGTTCATATTCAATGCAATGTCTTTTTTATTGTAGTTCTCATGCAATAAACGCACAATATAAAATAAATAAATAAAAATTGTGACCACACCTATTTCTGTAAAAACACAAGATCTATTTGGTTCCCGTCAACAAATCATATACCTGCTGTTGCTGATGAGTCATTTTTTCACGATTTAACTTGAGACATAAATCATATATTTTCATTTTATGTGATTTAAGTGGAAAAGATTATAATCCATATAATTTGCATTTTTTTCAAAAACTTTCGTAATAGATATAAAGGTAATGAAGCCTTTTATGCCTAAGAAAGTTTGCATAGCAGTAAAGCTAATATATTTTTACAAAATTCATGTTTTTACTTTTTATTTTTTATTTTTATTTCTTCTGTAAAAACTCTTTCTATCATTTCCTTGCAACATGTACATGAGATATTTTATCAAAAATACAAAAAATGAAAAATATTCATATAAGACCAAAAAAAGTTTTTAATTACATATATTCAGATAACATATGAATCCAGTAAAAGTTTCATAGAAAACAAATGAGAAAAAAGTGATTCTACAAGCAAATACAATATTTTATTTTATTGAAAAAAAGCAAATTTTTGAGATATTACGTTAGTTTTCTCATGATCGACCCTTTCAATTCAACTAAAAATCCTAGAACACATACATATATCTATAAACTACTTGGATCCAAAGTTATAGAGAGCCAAGTCTTGAATTGATGAAATAAATAGATGCAAATGCATAATATAACATATTCGAAGATAATTTGGCTCGATCTGTGTAACACCATCCGATATTTATGATTTTTAATTCGCTGGTTATAAGTGTAACTCGAAGGGTAAAGTACTTCCCACGAATGATCTCTAGGAAAAAACAGAGCGGAAAGTCATTTAACCCACAAGTGATAGATAGCTTATGTTGATGCAAAGAAACAAATTGATAAGATTTATAAAGATTTAAAAAAATTGTCTAGCTAATAAAATATAAAAGCAAATGAGTAAATAAATAAGAAAAGATCTAGCTAATAAAATATAAGTAATAAAGTATAATTAAAAGAGTAATAAAATAGAAAAGAATATCGAAAAGAAATTATTTTGGAGTAAGATCAATTGGTTGATCTAGATCAGAATGGAGAGAGAGCATGGCATTTCGGCGATCATGCTTGTTAAATTCTTTGAACTTATTCCAGTAAGTATCAAAGTTATCATCAATCTTATTTCTGGCACAACCTAAAAAAAATAATTCAGGAACGGTTGGCCATTTTCTAGAGATATTACGGGAAAGGTCAACTGTTGTCCAGTGATTACTGTTAACATGATTAAAAATCAGAGGTTGTCGTTGTTTGGTTTTGTTGTTGGGAAGGGCGAATGGGAGAAAGGTTGTTGAGGGGGTGTTGGGGTTGTCTGAGTAGACGCAGACTGGTCGTGTATATGTGTCCGCAGCTAGTTGAGCACAGTCGGGTGTGTTAAACCACATACTGGCGTCTGAACATACTGGGATGAAGTTGGTGTTGGTGTTGCTGGTGTTGCTATAATCGAGTTGAGAGCCATGTTGAATGATTTTTTCTAGTTGGCTTGTGTCAGTGCCAAAGGTATTTGTGTACAATGTTTTGTATTTCGGCAGGGCGGCTAGCATATCCCTTTTTACAAGTGAAAACTTATTTTGATCTTTGTAGATCAAGTGGGCAAGGACCCGAAAACCACACCATCCGTCAGCAGTAGGGCTAAACCCACCCTTGACATCATCGATTATCTCATGAGAGACAGGAAAACCGGGCTGGAATTTGACCCTCTTGCCAACAGAGGTGCGATTATCATACTGGTAATCTTCTAAGGCGGTGGCGGGTCTTTTGAACCCATTTTTTTGGGGGGCATCGACTAAAAAGTATATAAGTATAAGACGATAGTTCTCTTTATGGATTCAATTACACTGTAAAATAAGAAAGCATATTACCTGGGTCGAGAGGCTCTTGTTTTATTTTTGTTGTTTTATTTTTGGTGGCATCGACTAAAAAGCATATTCGTGTAAGACGACATCCTTCCACATAAATTCAATTAAAGTAAAATAAAAACACATCTTACCAGGGTCAAGAGGCTCTTGCTTTATTTGTTTTATTTTGTTTTTGGTAGCATCGACTAAAAAAACATGAAAGTATAAGATGGGAATCCTTTCTCATAGATTCAATTACATTGTAAAATAAGAACACATCTTACCTGGGTTGAGAGGCTCTTGTTTGTTTTTGTTTTGTTTTTTGTTTTTTGTTTTTTGTGTAGCTGCAGGCTTTCCCTCCCTCATTTTAGCTCTCAGTCTAACCATTGCCTTAAGGCCAGCCTAGTATTTCAAGATACATATTAGTACTTTGTTATGTTATTTTTTTTTATCTTACATGACCAGACGAAACACTGATCTTCCTCCAGTTTGCCCGACCAAAGTCTTTGGGAAGGTATTTGGGACGTGCACCACCCTTTCTTCTGCCAGGATATTTAATTTTTTCTGGGGCTTGAAAGTTAATCGAAGGGTGCCCAGTTTTGCCTTCGAATTCAGAAGTGACCTTCTTGATCTTATTCAGGAGGTTAGCCACTTGCTGGCTGCCCTCACAGGACCGAAACAGTGACTCGAGTTTAATTACTTCTTCCATCCACACCTCTGGTCTTTCCTCAAGCTGGAAGTTTTCCCGACAAGTGTTGTCCCTTGGCTTTACATTACGAGGATCAATAACCCACCTTTCAGGGATATCAGAAATATAGATATCCCTTCCAGCAGGCAAAGAATGGCGACAAGGTAGACCATACTGGAGCTTGTTCATGCATTCACAAACAATACTGCTTTCACATTTCAGTCGAACCTCTTGGTCTATTACCAGTAAAGCTCGCTTTGAGACCTTCATGAGCAGTCTAGACAAAAGCTTGTTTCGTCCAACAAGAGGGTCAACCGTGGTAGATTCCCTGATCTCCACATTCCGGAAGTCTCTCTCAAGCCTCTCGATATATCTTGAAATATTTTCAAAGGCGAGATCCAGAGAAGCTATTGCAGATATACCTCTCTTTAAGGCTTGATGGGCACTTTCCACTCTTTGAGATGTTGTGCATCCAAAATGCATTATCTTCTGAGTAAGATAACCTGCCCACTTCTCTTGGCATGTAATCCACCTGTCATGAAAATATGCCGAGACTGGCGCTTTCACATTGCCATTTTCTACTTCGGAACCAGCAGATACAGCGTTGAACTTATTCAGCGCCCAGTCAAACTCCTTCTTACTTTTGCTATGGATAATATTGGATATATATCCCGTCAGCTCTTCCTTTTTTTTGTACCGAGCCAACTTTTCCCGAAAAAGTCTTTTCCACACTATTCAGCATGTGCCAGTAACAAAGCAGCTTGCTGTTGTTCGGAAACTCAACATCAAGAGCGTTCATAAGTGCAGCACACTTGTCTGTCACAAAAACTGTGCTAAGAGCCTTGTCTTCAAAAACAAGTGCCTTGAGTTGCTGGAGGAACCAAAGATATGTGCCTTGCTGCTCGTTAGAGACCCAGGCAAAGGCAATGGGAAACGATTTGAGGGTTTCTCCTCCGAGGTTGTGGATACCTTCCACGCAAATCAGCGGCATTGACAAGTTATTGGTAGAATATGTAGCATCTACCACCATAACTTCTGAGAAGCGACGAGCTCTCTCCATCATCTTCTGATTGGTAAAAAACACCCTCTCCAGCGAATTGTCCCCGTTTACATCATAATGCACCTGGTAACCTTTTGCTTCCATCATCTTAACAAGTCCAGTACCCGCATTCTGGGCAACAGGGGCAGAAACTCGAGCAAAGGCAGCCTTGATATTGTTGATATCGCTAACGTACAGCTTATGACCATCGTCTTTTTCGTCTGTGATAGCCCTTTGGATCTCACGAGTCTTGGCCTTTGTCTCAACAAGTTTAGATATCTGCTTGGCGTCTTCGGCAGTAACTCTCGACAATCTGCCTTTCAGAGTCGATTCCAAGCATTTGTCATCAAGAGGATGATTGTGATGGCTCTTCATTTCACTAGAAGCTTTCAAGGGAAGATATCCTTTGATTCCTTTCTTGTAAGATAGCTTTATCATGTAAGGACATCCGGTTTTCGAACTAGGGCGGATTTTTACGCGATCGCAGTCTTCAAGTTTATGGGTGTTTCTATAGTGACCACCCCTGGCGCACTTTAAGTAAACCCGGGTTGGTTTACGGTCTTTAGTTGCAAGAGTGAAGTTGTTAACAAGTGCATACTCCTGCATCTTAGAAATAGCCACAGTCATGTTGGAATAGCCATTGACTGGTGTAGTGGGAAAGTCTTGTTGAACGGGATAATATTCATTTCCGTCGATAAAAATTGATTCTTTATTGATAGTATTCATGTTGAAGTGATTTCTATTGAGCGATTGTTAACATCGTTTTTACAAATACTAATTTGTAATGATAGAAGTAGCACTCTTGTTTCTTCTGATAAAAACACTATATTATGTAAAAGATGTCTAATTCTTACAAGATGAATATATAAAAGAAAAGAAGGTTTTATAACGGGTCTTTCACTAATTTCTTCAGGACACAACTTTTTTTTGCTTTCAGGTACTCTGTTACCATTGAAGGCCGGACCATAGTCACTTTTCAGGAGTCCGGTACATAATTAAAATCGGTGTTTAGAATATTTTTAGTACTCTATAGAAACGTCGTGCCCGAGAGGAAAAGCGTCGGGCCCGAATAATAGCTGATATCTGCCAATCTCATCAATAACACTCCAATAAATACCATAAGAAAATCTGTACCATATTATATTGTGTTAAAAACCAAAGTGATAAAATAACACCCGAATGAAATAGCACACCAATAGATATATAGATATATAGATATCACAATTTTCAAAGAAACTGTGTCATATATCCCTAAGCACACGACACCTATTTTGGAAGATGCGAGATATTTTATTTTATACTTTTGAAAAAGAAAACAAGTGCGAAGGTCAGTATTGAGCACGTGACATTGATTTCACTACCAAGTAACATTGACTTTCATACGTCATTATATTGGTTTTAGGGAAGACAGTGATGGTTGTTTTTAAGCATTAGATCTCCAAAATTCAATTTTTAATATTACCAATACCTCAAGAATAGTCGAATAAAATACATAGCTCACATAGTGGCCCAAGCGCATTAAAATACATTTAAATACGTCGTACTATTAGTGACTCAAATGACGCTTAATCTTATTCCGTACCCAAAACTTCCCCACTTGATAACTTAAAAAATAGAAGCAGAAAAAAAGTCACATGATAGGTTGCTAAAATACGAAGAGCCATGCGTTGCCCTGGAAAAGACACCGCTACTAACTCACCTTTAGGAAGACCTTCTGGTCTTAGTTCATGGGAATCTGTAATGAAAATGTCTGACATTCAATCGTGTGCGACAAACCAAGTTGAACTTGCTTCAAACCAATCGAGAATTCTTGATCGCCCTCACAGACCATTATTATCCAAGATAGGTACTTTTTACCTCTTTATGTATTTTAGTAGTGGCCGAAAAGCCACCCGCTTAGGTAGGTATTATTTCCATGTTCCTAGAATCCGATTCTTCTTCTTCTTTTTTTTAAGCATTTGGAAGATCCAATAGCACAAGATGTTCTATTTTGGCCATCTGATATCCCAATATGTGTTGCTCAAACCATTCCACGTGCGCCTACTGAACAAGTTCCTTATTGATCTTGTGGAGTCTCAATGCGGCACACCATGACCATAGTTTCACTGGACTTAATTGCCCAGAGTAGCAGCGAAAAGGAGGTCGAAGAAGAGCTCCATTCTAAAAAAGATACCAAAAAAGAAACACCGTCAGATAGACTGAGACTTTTTTTTTTCTTTTTTTTTTCTTTCTTTTTACTTTCCTTTTTGTACTGTGACGGGAGAAAAGACCAGAAAAATTGAGCACACGAGCCAATTTGTCTCTTTTCCGAGTTGCTCATTCCACTCCACCATCTCTTACTTACCGAGACAACCCAAACCATTTACCATAATGTCCACTAATACAGATGGCCCTCAGAAACAAAACTGGTTTAATCAGAATGACAGGTCTGAATCCGATGCTTACCTTTCACTCATGCTATCTGAATACCTCGACAACCAGGCCGTTCTTCCAATAGTTCCAGAAAGCCCTATAGTTGAAGAACCACAAAAACTTGCAGTGGCCGAACAAGTTCAATTGACAGAACTTATCTGGTGAGTTTACTGCTAAGTAAGCTTTCCTCCCCTTCAATATATATAAACAAAAGGACCCAAAAATAGATGTACATGTATGTAGCTCTGCGTAGATAATCTTTCTCTGACCACTATTATTTTCTTTCACTTTTTCTGTGCGTGTTTATGCGTGATAGGGTACCTGCTAATAAGCATCCTCAGATAGCACCCGGAGAATTCGTCAATTGGATCAATACGCACCCAACAAATCCAGCTAGACGAACTTCCGAAATAAAACGACGTAACTCTTCTCTATCCCAGTCGCATGTTTCAGAAGATGAAGACAACCTTTCTGTTAAAACCAGTAGATCCCGATCAGCCAAAAGCACCCATTCACCCTCAACAAAACAAAAAGACAGCCAACAAAAGACTTTTAAAGATGATACAATGGAGACAATTCAAGAAATTGAAAAAGGTATAGTTTGATGATCGGTACCTTTAGTTTTAATACTTTTTATTTTATTTTGCTCACACCCGAAAAATTTCATTTAGATGCAAATAATCAGTTGGATTTTATGGATACCATGCCAGTTGTACCAAAGGAAAGTAAATCCCTCCTCCGACGATCGGCCTTCTCAGCAAGAGGAAAAACTCGCAAGGAGGCTCTCGAAAGAGAACGAAAGGATCCTAGACGCACAATGTCTCAAAGAAGACCGAGTGATAAAGAAATTCCGCCCATGACAGATGAGGGTATAAGTCTATACGATCGGCCCGTGTGCATGAGCGAGTGGGTTGATCTCGGTAATGCGACCTTTTCAGACGATTCGCAGCTCGGAATTTTGTCGAGAGTACATGATGCGGAGACTCAAGTATTTTCGCAACTCATGGACGAGTCCTTCCAGGAGGAGGAAGAACAGCAACAACCCGAGAAGCATACAATTGAAGTGGAAGAAGAACTTTCTTCCAAAATTGAAGTGGAGGAAGAGCAGCCTTTGCCTCAGAAGCTAATAGAAAAGCCCAGGCCAACAATCTCAGAAGCTACCATAAAGCGGCCGACGATTGACCGAGTGAAATCTAAACATGAGAAAAAACCTTCCTGGCTTTCTGGACTTTTCAATGACAAGGAAAAAAAGGTTCGTAGCTCAACACGGAGAGTAGAAGATGAACAGGTCAGCAGACTATTGGAAGAAAGACGACTAGAAGAAAGACGACTGGAGAACAAACGACTCGAGGAGAGGCGTGCAGCAGAGAAGCGCTTGGAAGAGCGGCGACTAGAAGAAAAACGTTTAGAGGAGAAGAGATATTCCGCCCAAGCAACAAAGAAGCAGAGTGGACTTGCGTCTTTGTTTGGTCGATCATTATCTATCAAACCAAAGGCAGAGCCCAAATTTGTTGAGCCTAAGAAGAAGAAACGAATCAACCAGCAGGATATTATACCGCCTCAGTTTATCAATAGTTACCGACTGCCGCTTCATGTTGAGCGGGCAGTTTATCGGTTGTCACATTATAAATTAGAGAATCCCCACAGACCATTACGCCACCAAGTACTGATATCCAATTTCATGTTCTGGTACCTATCTATCATCAACCAGCATGACAACTTTGCCCAAGCACCTCAGCAGCAATACGTTTCCAACTCTCCACACCAAGACGACTATTCTTCACAGTTTCATAAAAAAGGCAAAATGAGCCGGTTTATCATTTCAGCCAAGAAGCGAAAGGATGGACCAAAGACATTATTGAAGGACAAGTGGGAAGATAAATCTAGGCCACCTGCACCACAACACGCTCAAGATAATCATAGTTCAGACGAAGAAGACAATGTACCATTGAGCTACTACAAACAATAGCCTCTACACCATCAAAGACATCAACTACTTTATTTCCCTTCCTTTTCTCTCTCTCTCTCTTTTTGCTTTACTTTTAATTGTCATATCACACATCTCCGTTTCTTTTTATCTCTCTCTCTCTTTATATATTTTCATAGTTAATAGAAAACACACAAACAAACAAGAACACAAAACAAAAAGAAAGAAATCGAACACCGATCTATATGGTTTCAAAAAGCTATTTATCAATAGGAAACTACCCAACTCAAATTGTTAACTTTTCTTGGGATAAAATGGTGTTAACAATTCAATTATTTGCTAGTAGATTATTGCAAGCTAAATTGTGACTAGAATAGGCTATAGACCCTAGAAATATACATACAAATATAGCATGTCATGCTGTATAATTTACCGTTAGGAAAGTAGTGCCAATAATTGCGTTAAACAGAATGTGTATATATTTCAATATGGGTAAACGATAACGACATGCACTTGTCCTATAATGTCTCCAGTGCACGTCATTTTCCATCTTAAGACCACACTTCTCTAGGATTGTACAAACACCTTAATTATCTTTCACAGCTCTACAAAAAAAACAGTGAAAAATACATCTTGTTTACAAATCCAAAATCTTGTAAGATATATACACACACATATATATATATTTAATACTTTACTACAGCATCATTTACAAACAAGAAAAAAAAGCATAAAAAATATATACTTGGAGACTAATCGTTTCCTAAAAAAGGAAATAACCTGTAGACTGCGGGGTTTATATTATCCAAATCATTTTTCTTTTTATTTTATTTTATATAGGGTTTTGTGGTTACTGTGGTTACAGTTTCTTACTTGTCTTTATTATTGACATGGGCAACGTACAATCCAGACTTCAGAAAAAGTCTAAACGCGTAAAGAACAAGACCAAGAGTTCTCCTCCTCCTCAACGTGAACTTATTGAAAATGAGACAAGCACGACTACTGCTCACTCTTCCAACTCTATTCTCATCACTCGCCCAGTCGCACCTCCAAGTCCACCCATCTCATCACTTACTCGCCTGAATCCCGATTATCCTGTTTCGAAAGACGATGAATCCGTCGAATCCTTCGAATCCGAACCTGAATCCGGACAGCCTAGACTATTATCTTCTGACTACTGGCCAACACATACAAACAATACTACCGGACTCCCTCAGGAGATCGACGCTGACCAACTGACAGCCGGAGGTGACAATAATAACAATCAGTTAACCTCTCGTTCCTTTCAGAGCGTGCATTCGACACAGATCGATGAATATATCCAACGCCTTTTGGATGCAGGTTACACCCGAGTTTCTCGGCAGTTCTGTCTAAAATCAGCCGAAGTCAATGCGATATGTCAAGGAGCAATGGAGATATTTCTTGGTCAGCCTGTAAGTTTTATTATTATTATTATTATACTTTGAGAAAATAAATAAATAAACAGACAAATAAATAAAGGGAGAATACACAACTAACGGTTTATACAACAATTTGATTATAGACTCTACTAGAGCTGTCTCCCCCGGTCAAGATTGTCGGTGATACACATGGTCAGTACACAGATCTAATTCGATTATTTGAGATGGGCGGGTTCCCGCCAAGTTCAAATTACCTCTTCCTTGGTGACTATGTTGATCGTGGCAAGCAAAGCCTAGAGACATTTTTGTTGTTACTGTGTTATAAGATCAAGTACCCAGAAAACTTCTTCCTTTTGAGAGGAAATCACGAGTGTGCCAATGTAACAAAAGGTATGCATGGAAAAGATATGCGAATGAACTAATTATCAGTAGATATATATATATATATATATATATAAAAGAAAGAAGAAGCCAAAATGTACTGAAAGTCCATCGATAGTCTATGGATTTTATGATGAGTGCAAGCGAAGATTGAGCTCAAGGATGTGGCGTGTATTTGTGGATGTATTCAATACATTGCCAATTGCTGCTCTGGTGGCAGGCAAGATATTTTGCGTTCATGGTGGACTTTCTCCATCTCTAAAGGATATGGACGAGATTCGGAATATCCCGAGACCTACCGAAGTGCCTGGATACGGCCTTCTTAACGATCTTCTCTGGTCAGACCCTTCAGAAGCAACGGCTGAATGGGAAGATAATGAGCGCGGGGTATCCTATTGCTTTGGTACAAAGGTCATTGATGATTTTCTCAACAAATTTGATCTTGACCTTGTTTGTCGTGCACATATGGTTGTCGAGGATGGTTATGAGTTTTTCAATGATCGAACCCTTGTAACAGTGTTTTCTGCACCAAATTACTGGTAAGCTTTCGTTATTCTCTTGGTAAATAATTGTGAGTTATTAACATTATCATCTATATCCCCACCACATATATATAAACATATTGCAATTGTCGTCTTGCCTTTAGTGGTGAATTTGACAACTTTGGGGCAATTATGAGCGTAAATGAAGAGCTCTTGTGTAGTTTTGAGCTTCTCACACCAGCAGATCACCCGCTTGCAAAGGAGCGACTAAAAGCCCAGGAGCAGGCAAGGTAAAAACATCAATTCTTAGTTAATGAATACCTCTCTTACTATATCTTTAAATAAGAAAGCAAAATATGTATACTGACTATCATTCCTTGTAGTTATTTGGCCAAATAGATTGATAATTATCTCTTAGAATCTTGCTTTTATATCTTCTTCTTCTTCTTCTTTTGCTTGCTTGCTTGTTTGTTTTTCGTTTGCTTTTGTTTTTTTTTTCTACTTTTACTTCTTTCTATTACTATTATTAACCTACCATAGTTTTATTCTCGTATATCCCTCTTCTTCTTCTTATTCTCCTTCATTTTTCGTTACCCACTTCAACTATATTACCACTGTATACATTTATAAATATACACATGTACATACATACATGCAAATTTGTGTGTATGTATATGCTTTATATCACTTTCAATCACTTTACAATTCATAATATTTAAATATTTATATATATGTAACTCCTTTAAAAAATATACATAAAATAAAATTGATAAGGATAAACCACATCCGAGTAAAGTCTTCCCCTTAAATTAAGATAAGAATATTATTTTCTTAAAATTAATAGTAATTGATGATACCAATTAACTTAAGTTTATCTTTCTTTTTTTTTTAATTAAAAAAAAAATGGGTTTGAGATACGTCACCCTTTCAACAAGGCCATGTGTCGGAATCTAAATATCCCAGTGCCCTCAAAAAAAACAACCATACCAACAAAGCAACATATAATTTTTTTTTTTTTTTTTGCAATTTTTCTTCTTCTCTAAACTCCCCACTCCATTTAACATGTTGCGCGTCATCCGTCAGACTGGCGTTGCACGTACACCTGCAATTCTCAATGCTGCAGGAGGTACGAACATTATTTTTTTTTCTCGAATAGTTCCCGGGATCATCGAGCGGCATTTCGTTAACCCGTACCTGTAAAATTAACATGATGATAATTATGATTGCAATTATCCTGTAGCCCGCCTCTTCTCTGCCACTGCCAGCAAGAAGGAAGAAATCGAAGTTTTTATCGATGGAAAATCCGTAATGATTGAGCAGGGCTCTGCTTTGATTCAGGCTTGTGAAAAGGCCGGAGCAGACGTAAGTAACAATACACGCATATTTCACACACACACACAAAATATATATAATATTTTTCTATATAATAAAAATAATAATAATTATACATCCTAGATTCCTCGCTTCTGTTATCACGGTAAAACAAATTAATCTTATTTATTATATATAAAAATAATAAGAAAAATAAGAATAATAATAATTGAAAAAAAAGATATACGCACATGTGTTATACTAAACCCAGGCCCCCCTTAGAACGTCTTTCTGTGGCTGGTAACTGCCGCATGTGTCTTGTCGAGGTTGAACGCGCACCCAAGCCAATTGCCTCTTGCGCATACCCCGTCATGCCTGGCATGAAGGTTAAAACTAACAGTCCTCTTGTTCACAAGGCTCGCGAGGGTGTCATGGAGTTCTTGCTCTACAACCATCCTCTCGATTGCCCTGTTTGCGATCAGGGTGGTGAGTGTGATTTGCAGGATCAGAGCATGCGTTACGGTAGTGACCGTGGACGCTTTAACGAGCCATCTGGTAAGCGTGCAGTAGAGGACAAGTCCTTTGGCCCTCTCATCAAGACCGAGATGACCCGTTGTATCCAGTGCACTCGTTGCGTCCGTTTCGCAAACGAGGTTGCTGGTGCCCCCGAACTCGGTACCAGTGGCAGAGGCAATGAAATGCAGATCGGCACTTATATTGAAAAGACCATTGACTCTGAAATGTCCGGCAATGTTATCGACCTCTGCCCCGTCGGTGCCTTGACCTCCAAACCCTACCAAATGACCTCCAGACCCTGGGAACTGAAGAAGTATGAAACCATTGACGTGTCCGATGCCATTGTACGTGCTTAGCTTAGATGAGTAGATTAGATTTGGAAAACATTTTATAGGGAAGATTTGGCTGACAATACGTACAAAAAACAATAAAATAATCAAACACGCAACAAATCACACATACAACACCTACGCACGAACACGCGATCATACACACGAATACATACGAACACCAACACCAACACACACACATCTTTATATACACGAACGAATGGATATAAATTATAGGGTTCCAACATTCGTCTTGATACTCGCGGTGTCGAAGTTATGCGTATTCTCCCCCGTCTCAACGATGAAATCAACGAAGAGTGGATTTCCGACAAAACCCGTTTCTTCTACGATGGTCTCAAGGTACAGCGTCTCACTACACCCCTGGTGCGTGATGGCGATCGCTTTGTGCCCACTTCATGGGAGGCTGCTTTGAGCCGTGTGGGTGATGAGCTCAACAAGACAAAGGGTAACGGTGCCAAGGCAATTGCTGGCCATTTGGCTGATGCCGAGTCCATGGTCGCCTTGAAAGATCTGTTTAACCGCGTTGGCTCCGACAACTTTGCTATCGATGCCCCCAACGGCTCCAAGCCCCTTGCTATCAATGCCGACTTTAGATCCAACTACACTCTCAACTCTACTCTTGTCGGTGCCGAAGAAGCCGATCTTGTCCTTTTGATTGGCTCCAACCCTCGCCACGAAGCTCCTATTCTTAACACACGTTTCCGCAAGTCCTACCTCCACAACGGACAGGACTTTGGTGTGATTGGTCAGGCTGCTGACTTGAGCTACGATTATGAGCACATTGGTACTGACAGCAAGGCCATCGAGTCCCTTTTGGATGGCTCCCATCCTTTTGCCAAGCGTCTTGCTGAGGCCAAGAAGCCCTTGATCTTGGTCGGTTCAGGTGTGATCGAGAACTCCAAGGATAGCGAATACCTCCTGTCCAAGGCTTCCGAATTGGCTCAGAAGCACCAGAGCACCGTATTCCAGGATGGCTGGAACGGTTTCAATGTCTTGCAGCGTGTAAGTAAAAGCAGATACTAGATAGAGTAGTGTTAGTAGCAATTTATTTATCTATTTATCTATATATTTACATATTTGGGAATTAAGTTAAGGAGTCTAACTTTTCTTTTCTTATTATTATTATTATTGACAATAACTGTGTATTGATGGGTACCTATAAATAATATATATATTTAGGCTGCTGGTCGTACCGCTGCTTATGAGCTTGGTTTCCTTCCTTCCAAGGAGGCCTCTTCTGAGGAAGCCAAATTCGTCTACCTTTTGAACGCTGATGAGATTACACCTGCAGATGTGCCCAAGGATGCCTTTGTTGTATATCAAGGTCACCATGGTGATGTCGGTGCCCAGTACGCCGATGTCATTTTGCCCGGTGCTGCCTTTACCGAGAAAAACGCAACGTAAGTGAGAATTCAAATATGTAGATATATTTATTGGGATCAAAAAAATTATAATTATAATTAGAAAAATAAAATAAACTAACTGAACTGAACTGAACTGAACTGAACCTACTTAATTAACTTGACTAACCAATTGTTTTCTCTATATAAAAATCTGCCTGTGTGTGTGTGTGTGTGTGTGTGTGCGCGTTTTCTTTCTATTCTATTTTAAAAATAGATATGTCAACACAGAAGGTCGTACTCAGATCACTCGTGCAGGTGTCAACCCCCCCGCTGCAGCACGCGAGGACTGGAAGATTATCCGTGCCTTGTCCGAGGTTGCTGGACAGACTCTCCCTTACGATGATTTGGCTTCCGTCAGATCTCGTTTGTCTGAAATCAGTCCTGCCCTTACTCGTTACGATGTTATTGAGACCCCCTCTACTGCCCAGCTTGGTTTGTCTACTCAGATCAAGAGCAATGTCCAGAGCAGCGGTGAGGTTCTCTCATCAGTTATCAAGAACTTTTACCAGACTGATGCCATTTCCCGTGCTTCGAGCACCATGGCAAAGTGTACCAAGACTTGGGTTGGCAAGGAAGAGGCCGAGCTCGAGAGAGCCACTGCTTAGAAAGCAAAGCAATATATACAAATTTAAAATGAAAGATGAAAACATACAAATAACCACAAAGAGAATTGTCTATTTTTTTAAACAGTGTTTTGATATAAGAATAATAATTAGTAATAACCACATAACCTTTATGAGATGAAGGGGATGAGGTGGGGGACTGGGGGGGGGGGGGGGGGGGGGAGGGAGGTGGTGAGGGATGATCATTATTCTGTATGCTATATATATGTGTGTGTATATGTACGTACTTAAAGAGAGATATAGAGGAAAGAAAGAAAGAAAGAAAGAAAATAATGTTGCATACTATGTGTCTATGGCGATCTTTATGAATAGACTTATACCTAAGGAGAAACTGGTTTGTTATTTCAGTGAAGGGATCAAGTCAGGCAAGACAGTAAAAGAAAGAAAGAAAGGGATGTGCCGTAAGTGATTGGTCACTATTATCGCACATATACTAACGTCTTTGTTGGACCTGCATAAAAATAAATATACATAGTACGTATATGTAAATGTATAGGAATATCCAAAGGGAGGGTAAGAAGAAGGGATAAGTTGGGACATATGTACCACAGACTATTTCTCTTTTTCGTTTAGTTATTCATTTAAAGAAATCCAGATTATCCCGACCTCAAAGTAAAGCATTTGATAGCCTATGTTTGTTCAATAAAAGCCACATTTGAAAAATGATACAAAAAATAAATAAATAGATTGTGCTTGTCTTGATGAAGAAGAAGCAAGGATAATTTTGCGGAAAGGTTATATAATTAATAAAAAACATGTAACTTGTAAATGATTTGCAAAAAGGTAGTGTCATGTCTACACTCAATAATTAGCGCATAAATCTCATGCTCTATCTCGCTGGTTAATTTCTTCTTAATTCTGCTCTTGACATATAAGATGTATTACCCCAAGGCCATACATAATTCTGAAATATTCTTGTCCACAGTCAAGTGTAAAAAACTTGGCAAGCAGGTATACAAGTTCATCGATTCGAAGAAAGCAACCCCTTCCAAAGATAGAATGTCCTCAATTGGTTGTGAAATGGCTCAATCAAGTTATATCTATCAAGTTTTGTAGACCATTACTGTCCATAATTTGTGTCATTAACAACTTTATAGTTTTTATTATTATGCACCCATACGAGAGAAAAAAAAACGTTTTCAAAAAAAAATTATAGTTTTAATACCACAAAAGATATACACATCATATTATTTAACAGATATTTATTGAGCTGCTTGTAGCAAAGGTCTAGAATCTTATACTTTATAAAAAGAAAGAAAGAAAGTATTGGTGTTTAATATCTGGTATTTCCACCACAATCAGAAATTACAGCCTTAATTTTGTTAGATAATGGCAAAAAATATTAGTCCTAAATTTTTGACCCATTTGCTATTATTCCCTGGAAATATATACCTCGAGATTCGCAGTGTTATTTAGGTAAGTTTTTCTCTTTCTTGCAATACTTTTGATGGCTTTCTATAAATGTTCGGTTGGGGGTTCAAATCAAGGTTTTAGGATGCAGTAGTCAAATCGATTGATTTGCCAACGGATTCTTCCACCGTGCTGTATATGAGCCCGCATTAGAACACCATCTGTTTTGCTACACTTACAAATCGGCAATACCCTCAATTAAATTTGCTTTAAATGGGACTATTCCTGCAGCAAAGGACAATAATTAAAGATTTGCTTGTTTGGGAGACACGCTATTCTCGTCAATAGATGTCAAAACTCTCATAACGGCCATTTAGTCATCATGTCTAAAAATCGAAACATTTAGCAGGAATTCTGTTGAGCCAACTTTGCTATTGCCTATCCAACAAGAAATCGAGATTTTTTTTGTCAAAGACATATACTTTGGTTTGGCTATGCTGGCTTTTGATCAACAATTTCTGAATATTAGTTTCTAAAGAAATAAGGTTTGCTAATTTGACCTGCATGATCCCAATATTGTTAAAAACAAGCAGTAATATCAGAGTTATCCACCACCCACTGTATCTACTGTCTAAGATATGACTGTGGTAGGTATCGATGATAATATGGGTTTATCCTATATTAGTAACGTGGGCCTTGTAGTAATTACTGGCATCGGTGTATAGGGTAAGCGAATAGATTTGAGAAAAAAAAAAGAGAATCAAAATTGTTTATATAGATATTTGATTCCCCAATTTAAAAATCTTCGTTGATCAATGGCTTGTTGCTACTGAAGTGGTGTAAAGTGTGTACGCGTGCCTGAGTTGTATACGTGTTACATTCCTAGAATATGAGCACATCAGGTTCACTAGCAATTATAGAGTCTGTTCTGGATTGTACAGTTTGCATTTTACTCAATCGCGGTGCGTATACCACACAGCATTGTATAGTCATTTCACAAATGTTGAAATTTGAGAATTATTTCTCAAGAGCGTATTAACGACAACAGAGAAATCAGAATCTGCCTCAGGGAGCGGTCAGTGTGTTTGCTTTTTTTCGAGCAAAAGTCTTTACAGAGAGATAACTCAGAATTGCCGATGCATTAATGAGCATTGGGTCTTAAAACACATGGGCACTTGTTGCTTGATCTCGATGCGGAGATTTCTCGTCTTTGATGAACAACACGCCTATTTTGTTTGTTTTGATAGTCGTGTCTGTGGATTACTTTTCTGAATCATCGGGCAGTTTTAGAATGATTGTTTGAGTTGTTTAAATTGATTTTGGAATTTAATTTTCGGTAGCTTGGTGTGGCAGGGAATGAGGGAAGTAATGAGCAGCTACTTTCTTTTCTTTACATTACAAAGTGTGATTACTATTATTATTATTTTTGGAGGACTGGCTTGTATTATTCTACAGAACAAACAAAAAAAAGGGTATTGTTGTGTTGAGTTGTGTTGTATAATGGAGCTGGTCAGATAGATTTATATGTATTCTTGTGATTTTTTAAGACAATTCGACAATTCGATAAGAAATTTGGATAGAGTACCGTTTGACTGGAGCAGCTGAGGATGAACTTTATATTTTATTTCAAAAATGAAATAAAGTATTTAAATTATTTAAATATACTCTCAGATTCAGCAGTAATCAAACGGGTTCATTCATAGTGATGGACCAAAAGAAAAGGCTGCAAAGTATATAGATGCGAGCTATCATAAGTCTAATGTATGGTAGCACAAGGCGATAATTATGCCTTATAACTTGGCCCAAGTATTCGGCGTGTTTGATTGTAGTATTTTTGGCCAAAACCAAATCAAAGTATATGTATTTAGAGCATATAGTTGACAGAACAGGACATGTTTGTAGCATAAAAAATTATCTTTGTATGATGTGAGTGTCAATATTTTTCAGGAGGTGAATCCAGTATCCTAGTATATGTCGAAAATAAAAATAACAATCAAAGAGAAAGAGAAAGGGGAAGCAAGCCTGTCTCTTTCAATTCCCTTAACCTTTCTTCCTTCTCTCTTAATCTTATGTACTATGCGCAGTTTATACGAAAGAGCAGCCCACACCATATACAAATAAAGAGAGAGACAATACCAGCAGTAGAATACAAGAGTATATAAAATTATAAATATTATTATTAAAATAAAGGGGCAATAGAATATATATATATATATATATATATGGTATATATAAAATTCAGTATAAGAAACACCTTAGTGTTTTGGTACACCAAGAAATGTTATCCTAACCATATTTCTCTTAACCGGCCCCTTCCTTCCAGTACACACACCCCTTTATCCTTCTTTCGTATCGATACAAGCCTTATACCTCCTTACGAATTAAAAAAGCATATATCTACCGTTCTATTTTGTATCCAAAGACATATAATGATACATATACGTACTACAAAGAAATCTAAATACATTTGGACAAATAGTAATAGTAATAGTAATAATAATAATAATATTGAGGTAAACAAGTCTCTCGATTAATTTTAATACTATACATACATACATATATATATATATACTCTAAATTAATCTTGAGTCTATCTACCATAATAGCAGTAATAAGCTAAGAATCCTACAAATATATATATATATATATAGAGAGATCAAAAGTATTTATATAATTTAAGAATTATATATATATTATATTCTATACGTATATAACAAGGTTTTTTTTTATAACAAAAAAATAAAAGTAAAAATAAAAATTATTAAAGCTCCCTCGCTTAACAAAAAAAAAAACTTAATATCGCTTTATATTTAAACAAGAGGTTTTAACACCCTTTCTTTTGTGTGCTTTCTCTACAGCTGGATTTATAGCTCTACCGCAAAGAAATTCAATTATTTTGGTTTCATTAATCACCAAAATCCATTATTTTTTTTTTCAAGATATATATATATATATATATTATATATATAAATTTATACACAATTTAAGCTACACCAACAAAACCAAAAAAAAAGCCCAAAGCCCAAAGACCAAAGACCACCAAAGCTTAGCTACCTTTATATACCCGCGTACATACACACCAACAAAACATAAAAGTTTACACAATTTTTACGACCTTTACTGCATCATAATGTATCAAGACAGCTTCGAGCCCAAATACAACTATCATCTAAAGCCAGAGTATCCAGTATCAACTTCATGCCAACCTTTTGTGAACAGCACACCGACCCTGAATCTCGAAAACGGATACTTTACGAGCTTTTATTCCCACAGTCCAGTATTCGAATTCAAACAAGATCTAACCACACAAGAACCAGTAGCCAACCAATGCCAGGGTATTCAAAGCATCTCAGAGCAGAATGTATCATTATACTGTCAATGTGCCCAGTGCGATCACAGCATGTGCTTTTCACTAGATTCAACGAGTTCTTCCGAAGACCAGAATGACATCCCAATATCGCCAACTTTGGATTGTATTCCTGGAGTGATATCTCAGTCGTCGCGCTCAAACAGCCATCAGAGTTCACCAACACAAGATTCTCCCGAGACTTACTCAGCACAGTCTACACCTCATTCTGGCTACTCTAGCCATTCTAGCCAGTATGAATATTGCATTCAAGCCACCGATCGACAATATTTATCCAATATGCTGCCTTTCCAAGGTGGGAACTCCCCCTTTGACGACCACAAAATGAGACACAGATCTACCGACGAATCAGCCAACTATAATCTCTTGCTTCAGATGCAACCACAGGGTACTGAGCACTCCTGGTTATATTGCCCCACCCCAATACTACACGATATATGCCAAAAAAATCATCACCACCACCACCATCACCACATCAATAGCAGCGATAACGATGACATGATTAGTATTAGTTTTAATAATGGCTTATACGAATATCGACAGACATATGTACCTCCCATGTCTTCATCACTCTTTACACCCGGACTTCATGCCCCTCTTCATCAAACTCACATGGAGAATAACGCCCGTCCATATCAATGTCACGACTGTCATCGCGCCTTTGCTCGCAAACACGATCTCCAACGCCACAGCCGTGTCCACACAGGACTAAAGCCATATTCATGCGCAGGTTGCAAAAAGGCCTTTGCTCGCACGGACGCGCTAAAACGTCATTTGCGAATGGAAGACGTGTGCAGAATGAGCCCTGAAGTAAAAGCTTTGATGGATTCTGGAAAAAGGCGATACAAAAACCTCATTTAGGTTTCTTTATTATCTTCTTCTTCTTCTTCATTCACCTTATTTTTTTTCTATCTTTTCTTGCATTCAATTTATTCACATCAAAACTAACCATTCCACTACTTCCCCATACCTTATACATTTCTTCTATATGTATTCATTTCTTTAGATTTGGGTCCAAAGACTCTAATCTCGCTCTCTCTCTTTTTAGCTTTATATGCGATCTTTCATTTCATTTTTATCTATATATTCCATATTATCATTTATCATTTATTATTTATCATTTATCATTTATCATTTATCATTTATCATTATTTATTATTTATTATTTATATCATGCTTATTTCGTCCATATTGCATACCCATTTTTCTTCATTCATTCTATCCTTCTTAACTTATATTATGCTTTACTACCTTATGCCTTTTATCTTTATCTTTATATATATATATATCTTTCTTTCTTTCTTTAGCCGTCTAACTGTATCTTCATCTTTTATCCCTCCCCTTCTTTCACCCTTCTTTCCACCCCCCAATCATCCCTCCTTCTTTATTTATTGTTATTTTTTTTATTACATAGAATTAACGATACCACATATCGTTTCTTTATTAAATATATAAATAAAATACATAAAAAATGTCAACACAAAAAATAAAAGAAAATAAAATAAAATCACAAAAAAAAAAAAAAATTACAAACAACAAAGTTCCTCTCCAACTCCTTCACCCCCTCTATCTCCCTCTTTTACCCTCCCCCTCTTTAGCTTATTAAGGAGTACCAAAAAAAATTATTAAATGTACCACGCTTCTTGCTTTCTTATTTCTTGCGATCATCCCGTTTTTTTTTCTTCCTATTTATGGTTTATATATATATTTATTTTTTTTTCTTTAAAAAATAAAATCAAATATAAGCTTTTTTTTTCTTTAAAAAATCACACATATATGTTTGTGCAGTAAAATATGCAAATCTGTATTGATCTATGCATGTGTGCAATAAATAAAACGCAAATTACCCAAAGCTAATTACTCTATTTTTCTCTTTTTACTTTCTTATGTTCATTGTGCTCGAAATTTGATACAACCATATGGTTCTGACTGGACAACATCCAACTTATTAATTGAAGCCAATACTTTCAAAAGAATATATATAAATAAATAAATAACACACACACACACACACATATATATATATAGAAGAGTGGCTGGGTTTAACTCACCAAGCAATTGGTAAAATACATGTGCTACTTGGGATCTGGGACAATTTTGACCATCGTATAGCAGTTGCTCAAATTCAATATATGTTTTACCTGCCAATGCACAGGCATTTCTAGACGAGCTGTGTTAAAAGCATATATGCACAGACTCAGAATTACACCATCACCTCACCCCCTTTCCATTTATTCTTCTTCTTCTACTTCTTTTCCTTTTCCATTTCTTTCTCTCTTCTTGTCTGTCTGTCTGTCTATCTAACAACCTAACAACCTAACAGTCTAACAGTCTAACACCATAGCAACCCAATTACCTGTATACCTACTTACCTAGACAGGTGCTCTTCAATTATGGCTGAAGCACCCCCTAAAGTGTTAGGAAATGAATCACCTTTTGTGACATATAAATATTTATATAAATATATAATTCAGGTAACACACAATATTAGTCCGAGTATTCCAAGTACACTACTACTTCATCTTCTTCATCTACTTGTCATCGTCTTTGTTGCTATTCTATATCAACTCATCAAAACTACGCACCATACTCAACGCCTTCATATTGTAAATCCAAAGGAGAAGGTGAATATTGAATATCGATGGACGATGGGTGGCCGAATGAGGGTGAATTTGATCGCCTGTATCTTTGATTGCTAAAAAAGAAAAAAAAAAGATTTACCAGCCAAGCAAAAGCCGAGAATAGAATGGACCCGTGTATGATCGGTGTAAAAGAAAGAAAAAGTAACAGCATCTGCAACAGACAAACAAAACAAACAAACAAACAAATGCAAATGCAAATGCAAACGCAAACGAAAACGCAAATGCATACAAAAACATGTACATACACAGCCTTAATACCCACCTTTCCTCAAGCGCAAGTGTTTCTTCCGAGTCCGTCCCGTCTTTTTTTTTGAATGTTTAAAATGGCATATTAATTTCCAAATATGTTTTTTTTTCCTTTTATCTTTTTTTGGAAGGTCCTTCTTTTTCTTTCTTTCTTTATATAACTATATGGCTTAACCCCCCTTTTTTTACCCCTTTATTGTACAACATGTTATAAGCTTATATAATCACCTTGGAATTCAAGTATTCCCATATGTTCATTAGCACTATAGAGAGTCCCTGCACTGTAGTCTTCATTAAGACTCTCGCTACTCCTGTATCTTCTGGCGTATTCTGGGCTGACCAAAGTATTCTGTAATCAAAGTATACATATCATTCATTCATTCATTATTTTTTTAAAAAAAAATTCAAGGTAGCACCAAATGAGAGTTTTACTGTTTTTGTGCATGTATTTATACATATATACTGCTCTTACGTTGTGTAGCCGAGGACCTATATATGAGCAATTTATAAACACGCAAATATTGTTTGAAAACCATAACACATGCTACTCACGCATGCTTTTAAAGAAGCTCGTACGATTCTCGTGGTTTAGTAAACTGTGGAGAGGAGTAGAAACTGTGCATACAATTATACGGATCAAATAGAAGGGGTCAAAATAAGCAATTATTGCCAACCTAATCATCTCAATAAAGATCCATACTTTCTACATATGTATCAGACAACAAACGCGTTTTATCGTATTTTTTGAGCTAAAAAAAAAAGGAGGGGTCAATTGATCGATTGAATTGTTCAATTATTAAGGTATAAAGTAAGCAGAGAATATATAAATAAACATATGTGTGCGCCTATTTCAAAAATCAAATCAAATCAAAATCTTACATGTGTTTGCCTTTGATCTCCAAAACCAAGTGTTTTGAGTCGAGATTTTTCATAAAAGTCTAGGGGTAGTAATATTGTGGATGAGCGAACCGATGTTCTTTGTCGTAACCGAGGGACTGGTAAATTGTGTAGGAGTTGAGGTACAAGTGCAGGATTGTTCTCAGTATCTGTTGTACTCTGGTCCCAGCCTTCGCTAGCTTGTCTGGGATTATACTCAATTTCTGGAATATCAAAGGGAGCAACTTGTTCTGAGAAAGTGCTTCCTGTCGATGTAGAACGCCGCCTTGATATTGGACTCTAATAAGCACAGAAACAGTAAGAATATATATATATATATATATATAAAGGCGCAAGCACATAAAATCGGATAAGATTTAAAATGAATTTTTCTTTCTTTCTATATACACAACATGTGTGTCTATATCTGTGTACATAAGTGTGTACACTAATAAACGTAAGGAGCTGTTTTACTTTATTATTAAGCTTATAAACCCAAATAGTAATAATTATAATTATAATACAAAGTCTAGCCTTGATTAACTTACACGGATATCCGTCAAGATATCGGCTGCTTCCCTGGAAAATCTTCCTATCTCTAAAGGCAATACAGTAGCTTGATGCTCAGATATACTGTTTATGGAACTATTAAAATAATGTGTATAGCACACATACATCAAAATCATTACAAGATATATATATATATATATTATTTACCTTGTGGGTGGCTCTGGCTGGTCAAGATAATAATGGTCCCCTTCATAAAGATAATCTTGCGGGATAGACGGCTCTTGATCCAATATATCAATTTCCATTGCATCTGTTCTCAAGGGATCGCTTTCCAAGGAGACAGACAGTCTAGAAGGTTCTTGTGCCGCACTTGTATTCATCTGTGACACTGTTTGATCTTCATATTCGGGCCTGCTAACCTCCTGATCTGCACAAATATACTCTTCATCTTGCTGGGGGAAAGGCTCATATCTAAGAAGCTTATAAAAGAAAAAAGCAATCATCCATATTAGAAATTAGCGTTCAATGCTTTCTTCCCAGAAATGGTGAATTGTGCAAAATCTAAAGGATTGTTTTTGTTTTACCAAACTGAAAACTGAATTTTTGTAGTCTATTCCCAATTGACCAAACTCTCTCTCACTAAACGTGATACTAGATTGTCTATTGGCAGATAAAATCATCATCATAAACAGAAGCAAATCAAAACAAATAAATTTGACGTCAAATTTCGCAGAATTTTCATGTCATTTGATACCTAGCTGTTGCCAGAGGCATGTCAATATCTTCTATAGTCATCAAAGCAGACTCCCTGCATATCCTTGTCCAAAGTTGAACTGTATCCTCTATATATATATATATTTATTGAAGTGCGAGTATAAATGTATATTGTATTAAAGATAAATATAATTTAATCAAACGCCTTACGCCAAATACACATTATGTATGTATATAGATACTTACCATACACACAGTAATGTTGATGCTGTAATACTTTTACAATACCAACCAATAGTTGAGCCGTAACTCTCAAAGCTAATTTGCTATTAGGAGTACTCAAAGTGTCGCTAAAGTGATGTGTACGCCCAAATACACACACAATACAATTTAGATAGTAAAATCAGATACATACATATTTGTGTGTATACATATATACTTACCACAGCAATGGAATATTCATATTAACCAAATCTTTCTTAGAAGGGTGACTAGCCTTAACATTCGAGCCAAGGTTCATTGCACGCCTAACAGAAACCAAATCCACCATTTTATTCATTTCTTCATTCAATTAATTTCTTCATTAATTCATTGCTGCTATCCATATATGTATATGTTTATATATTTATTTACCAAGCTATTGCAAGGACCTTACGCTCCTTCTCAGGTAAAGCTTGAAATGAATCCATTCAGAGTAAATAATAAAATAAACAAGTAGAATAAATACAAGAGACTTAATTCAAGCTTTACAAAATATATATAGATATATAGGTATAGATGATGTTGTCAAATAAAAAGAAGAAAAAGAAAGATATATAAATATATGGATAGATAGATAGATAAACAGAGAAAAAGACGCTTGAATTGAATCGCCTTTATGAAAGATCAATCAAGACATCCGAAGTCTTCAATTTAGATCGCCTGAGACTCTCTCTTTTCGTGCGCCGTTGTTTAGTATATTCTGATACATGAGTACTATCTTCATCTTCATCCTCTAGATCAAGAATCTCAACCGTAGACGGACTCAAACTACTACCGCCACTGCCATTGGTTTCCTTATGGAAAAAATTGTTGTCCGGAGATTCTGACAAGATAGGATCCGTATTGATTGGACGTGGAACACCAAGCGCAATCATGTCATTCATACCAAACTGTGGAATAGGACTGGGTAGTCCAGGAATAATGTAGGTATGATCGACTTTTGGGCTGGCTTCTTCCGCAACAGGGTATTTACTGGTAAGCAAATATTGTTTTGCTTCATAAATCTCTCCATTTCCCTTTTCTTCTTCTTCGTTATAATTATAATTATCACTATAATCGTCCTTGTCTTTGTCTTGGCCAATTTTGTCTTCTAATTCTTCTTCTTCATCGTAAAGATCAATAAGCGACTTTGGAACTTTCTTGTTAGCCCGTATATCTCTTTCTTCCTTTAATAAAGCAATCTAAATCAAAGAATAATATACTTGGATCAATACCATAGTCTCTTACTGTCTGTATATCTATCTATTCATACTTATACTTACTTCTTGTTCCACCGCTAATCTTCTGAGCTCAAAGTTACGTTTCATGGGAATAATAAAAGTGTCTATAAGATTGACAACATATTGACCATACACTGATGTATTATAAACATCCTCCATTTGAAGAGGCTGGCTAAGCTTTTGGTTTTCCCAAGAGTCTTTATAATATATATACAAGTTTAGCTTATATACTCTCAATATAATAAATTCAAGCCAAAATAATCTTACTTGTTGTGTATATACGAGATGTTCGATTAAAAGTTGAATGATACTCATTTTGATTTTCTTCAAATATACTCCTTGGTAGCTCCATCATACTTTCTCTAGAAGTCGCAGAAAATATACTTTCTTTTTTTATGACTATTCCAACTTCAGTAGATCCAATGCTGATTTAATAAAACAAAAAAAAAGGCACATTTATTTCAGCACATTTTATTCCTTGATTCATTCTTAGATAAACTATATATGATATTTGTGTGGGTTGCTAGTGTTTTACTTACGTTCCGTCAACTTGCTTTTCTGATTGAAAGCAAGCCAGATGAATATGGTTTTCCTGAAAATAATAATAATAATAATAATAATAATAATAATAATAATAATAATAATAATAATAATAATAATAATAATAATAATAATAATAATAATAGTGATAATGATTAAGTGAATAAGAAGACAGGAACCTCAAGTCTGCTTCAAATTTTAATTTCAATTTTAATTTTAATTTCTGTTATTATTTACATGTTCTGGCGTGGCATCAAAGCAAGATAAAATCATGCCAAAGAATCGGTCGTCCATTGATTGTTGTAAGTATTGGGTTTTTAGATCTTAAATATCATTGTTTAGTAACCAGTATTAATAATGCCCCATGTAAAATAAGTGGCGATAGAGCCCTTTATTATAAATAACATACTAACAAGCAACTTACCAACATGAGAAGGAAAAGCTGTTATGTGAGGGTGACTGTGATACTTTACAAAACAATAACATACATTTACATATTACATGTTTTTGTGCGTGTGTTAAACATCAAAAAACTTCAATCCATATATACATAAACTTACCCAGCCTATAACACACATTGGCTTATTTGTCCTCTTGCTGTATTCCTACCAAAACAACAACAGAATTATTAACTCAAGGAAATCAATATACAGATAAGCTGCTCTTAAACATCCTTATTTAATTATTACTTCTGCTTGAAGAGCGGCCAGGTGAAGTTGTTCCGGTGCAATCTCGACGCGGTCTTTTCTTTTATCTGAGCGAGTCAAGAGGGAGACAGCTTCGATATGAGCAGTAGTTCTTCCTTTCATATAAGGATTCTTGCACGGCGTGGTCTGTAGTTTTTGTTTTTCATTTTTTGTTTTGTGTATATACATTTTTTTTTGTTTTTCATTTTTCATTTATTTTTCATTTGCTTTTATTTTAGGATGACAGATGGATAATGTTGATGGTTTTGTACTTACTTCCCAGTTGCCAATGAGCATTCCGATGATCTCTTCCTGGAATGGAGAGAATCTGTTGGCTAATTTCAAATGGAGATTCTTTCTCTCAGATCTACCTTTTCTGTGGACAGCGCATGGGTCAGAATGACCTGATAAATACTTGCAGGTAAAACGACTGATACCAGCATGATGAAGATAAAGATAATGAGGTTAAGGTTATATTATCTCAAGATGACCTAAAAGGAAACAGGAAACCGTCAAGTTCATTGATGAGGTGACTGCGCTGTTAAGGATGAAAGTGGAGGGCTTTTTTTTATTTTATTTTATTTTATTTATTCTTATTTTACTTTAACCTTTACTACATTTGAGATAATAAGATATATAGAGGATCAATTGGGGATCATAAATTAAGATCAGAATAATGGTAATCATATACAACAAATTCAGAAAACAAAAGCATGATCAAAGCTTGATTGTTTTCAATGAAACTTTCATTTCTTTGATTGGTGGTTTATTGTCCTGGATTTGGAAGAGGATAAAAGCTTGAGTTTTACACGATTCTTTCATTACTAAACAAATTAGCTATATTGTGTTGATCCTCACAAAGAACAAATCTCGTACAGTTTTCACAAACTGCTATGTCAAGCAAGGAAGACTATTGGCATTAAAAAGGGGGGTTTCAACAGTACATATATATTTTTTCTTTTAATATGAACTATTATCGGATAGTGATTAAAACATTGCTACATTATATTTTAAAGCATCACAAGTTAGTGAAATCATCTAATATATAAATATATATGTGCTCTATTATTTCGTATATCGTTTTTAGATATTACATGATGTATTCAAGCGATCTGAATGAATTAGCCTCATAATAAATAAGAAAATAAAAATAAAGCACTGTGTGGTAAGGACACAGACTATTGCTAGAGAATAAAAATAAAAAGTTGATAAAATTGATTAAGCTCTGATCTATTTTACTCGTTGGGCAATAATAATACCCTATTAATCTTAGGAATTGGTAAACCAACCACAGCCTATATCGAATTTATTGAACATGGTAATGAACTGGGGCTTGAACCAAGTTCGACAAAAAATTTGAACTTGTTCATAACCCGGTTCAGTATTTCGATACATTACAGCTACAATTCAATATAAGATTAATATGATAGCTGAATATTGCAAGGATATTTTGATGTGTTAGAGTACAAATAATATACGAGTCGTATTTAGAACATCAGCATAAAAATCAAAGCATATAAAAGAAAAAAGGTCAGTGATTTTGACAGACACTCTTAAAATGGACGGCCGTGTAATCTGTGTCAGGATATTTTATAACGCGCTTTAATAAAACGAAAAATGCATAAAGCTTTTATGGGTTTCATTAAATAGCATACTTGAATTTTCTTTATTATTATTTATTGATTAAAAGTAAAGCAGTAACTTGGCGTAAAGAAGTGTAAAGAAAAGAATAAAATAGGCCTTTTTTTGGGTACAAATCAAAAAGGTTTCGAGCACGCTACGTTCAAAAAGCATCTCATGCGAAGCTTCCTATATATTCATAGCGACTCATTATGTTTTGTGAAATTTGAATTGGTGAAATCATATTATTTCTTTCTCTGATAGAAACAGCTACGCTTTACTTCTTTAAAGAGCCAAACTCAAACTCATTCCAAAAAAGATTACAGACGAGTGTGGTGCCTGACATACTTTTTTTTTTGAAAGAACGTCAATCGTCACTTCAACTACTTTAACGGAGTTGAATTTCACAAGTTTTTTTCCAGTGAAGAGGACCAAAGTAAATAAAGTCTTCCATCTACTCTTCACATCTCTTGTATCATTTTATCGCTGACATATACACCTGCAAAAAAAAAAAACCAAGGGGAAAAAGTGCGTGACTATTTTCATATGCATGTGACTACTATAGCTAAAAACTATAAAAAAAAGCAAAAAGTAAACAAAAAAGGACGCAAAAAAACAGAAAAAGACGAGCGACAAAGATGCGAAACCTTATTTACCATCAGAAACTACAATTCTGCTCATGCGAATAGCTCATTAGCTTATATATAGCTCTCATCATGTTCTTGCAGAAATGAGTTTGTCAGAACATTTCGCATCAAAGATCAATTCTCTATTTTTCTCATTCAGCCTGACGTCCGATGTTGATTCGCGCATACTTTTAACAGCCACTCATGATAGAAAGCAAGAGTTTTCAGAGTAAAAAACAGAATGCACACGCGTTTAAAAATTGTTAACCTCTTGAGCGTACTTGGTTTATATACATACAGTCGATGTCTGATCGATTTCTTAGAAATATAGTAGAGTTTTGACCATTACAAGAACAATACCTAAAGTTTTATATATGACACCAAAGCTTGTATATATTTCTTAAAAGTGACCGTTGATGTTTCTTGACTTATATGTTTTCTCTCATATACGTCAAAATTCATATGTACAATATGCTTGATTAGAGTACCCATAGATCTATTATCCCCGCTCAAATTTCCCACAAGTAAGTTAGACTTTTCTAATTTGATATTAAGGTAAGCTACTCTTACATAGATTGATTATGTTATATTTTTGACTTTTGCTTCTATATGAACTTTTTCATCAATTGTATATAAAGCACAAAGTTTTGTAAAATTTGGCCAAGTCCTGACATTTGAATATCCAATCTTTTTCTTGGACGCCCAGTTTTCATTTTTTTTTTGAAGATTCATCAAAGCCAATCATTTTTCGAATTAAACTAGTGCTACATCCAACAGTCAAGCATCCAAAGCTGGTGAAAACCCGTAATATAAGCACAGTATATATAACGCATCTTAAACTACTAGCTATCCAGTGAAAATCATATTAATTAATCATTGTTTCTTTTATTGCAACGTTTTTCATACTCCTCTTGCACTTTCTCTTCAGACCAGCTAAACAAACTTGCCATCTCAAATATCATTTTCACATCTGCTTCAAACGCCTCTTTCTTCAAACGGTCTTCCCTAGCCTTAAAAAAATGAGCTTTTTGAAGGGCGAACTTCTCGTCCCGCCAAGCCTTGGTGGTGGCATCCACCACCTTCAACTTCTTCTCCGTATCTTTCCTTCTCTCTTCATCAAGTTGAGCATCGGTTAGGTCTCTCTTCTTGCCAGAGATTTTCTTCTTGCGGGATGCACTACTTAGACCATACTCGTTGGCGAAGTCAAAGGGAGTGCCACTGTTTGAGATACACGGAGATTCTGTTTCTCCTGGTCTTCTGATCTCATTTATCCTAAAAAATTCAGGGCATATTTCCTCCAGTTTCCCTGTTGAAATTTGAATTAAACTTAATAAACACTTGGATATGATATGAGATGAACATACGCTTGAGTTCTTCTTTTCAGCTGTCAGTTTGACTGTAATGACTAGGGAATTCCTCACTATGTCTCATAAGATTAAGAGCAGGGAGGTACTGCTTGTCAATTAGATAATTAATTCTGGTTTTGATCTGGGCAGCTGGCTGATCTATTCCTTGCTCGGCAAAGTATTCCCTGCAATCATCAATTATCATGGTTTTGGTGGTAACAAATGTTTCTCCTTCAGGTGTTCCATCAAAGTACTTGTTGAGATTATCCCCCTCGTCTTTGAACAAGAAATGGTAGAGTCTCTCTAGAGGAGTCCTGTTGTCTTCTCCTCCATCAGGTACCTTCCATAATTTATAAGAGGAGGTTACTCTATTTCTTTTAATTTTGAAAACGCCGGTTTTTTCGTCAAAAGACATGGTAGGGATTTTAAGAAAGCTAATAGTGAAAGAGTGGAAAGAGGAAAAAAGAAACAGTGGCATAGGAAATCTTTGTATTTTATTTTTTAGATCATCTCTGTCCTCTTACTTTAGATGGTTTTATATTAAAGATTACATCATACCATGAAATTAAACATCGCATCGGTAAGTTAATATATTTCAGACTTCGCAACATTGTTTGAAGTTTTGGAGGTTTTTTTTTTTTTTTTTTTACAATTTTTATCTCAATCATTATTAATTGGTGTGGACAGACGATTTTTTTTTTAAAAAAAAAGGGCAATTTTTTAATCTACTCTAATTGGCTAGTCTTCTTCCATTGTCATTTGGGTTGAGAAGAGGCGCATGTTTTTGATGAAGAATATGTGCTATAGGGTGCAAGGTCTTAAATAACTCGCAATAAAAGGTTTTAACTTAAGGGCAGAGACGAGATTATAAGCACAATTTTACCTAATATGCACTTGCACTAGTTCTTGAACTGTTTTTTTTTAAAAGAAAAAAGGTGTGGACAGCCATAAATTGGTCTGGTTGACTAAGTTCAGGATGAACTTGTTTTGCCATTTTTTGCCCCTTTTTTTTGAACCTTTAGCTTTTCCACAACAATAGTACTTTACTATTACCAATATACTTGACCATAAGTAATATTTAATTTATTGCTGAAATGTAAAAGTGTTCAATAAGGATCGTTTTAATCAAAATGACAGACTAAATACAGAAAATCAGGTATATGCCCCAATTCGTTAAGTAAAGTGCTTCTATAGGTATAAGTAACATGGTAGAACACAGTAAGATCCACTATTTCAAGGTAGTTTGATAGTGATTTCTCTAATATTGATCAAAACATCCAATTTTTTCATTTTAAAGAGCCATTTACTAATAGATATTTCGATATTTACACCACATAAGCATCTTTGATCCCAAAGTTCTTTCAGGGCATACACCTAAAAAAATCGAAATTTTGTGCTTTATTCTATTAAGTAAGGCTATGTATCAAGTTAATTAATACCGGCAAGTCCTTGTCTGACCGAAAACAGACTGATATTCATGGAGATATCGATAGATTTAAAAAATGACAATATCGATACTTCCACCACCAAAAGATATTATTTAAATGTCAGACCGTAAAGCTGTATACACCAAAGATTATTCGCACTGTGCGCATGGCAGGTTTTGTAATCATCTAGTACAGAAAGTTCTTAAGACAATAATGGTATTTATGTTTTTTTAAGGGATTTAAGCATAAGAGCATAATTATATTATGTAAAGCTATGTATATATATTTTATGATTTTTATCTTGATGCTTCAAGACAATAACCAAAATATCCTTTAGAAGAATGATTATACTTCAAAAAAATACACTTAACGTTTGATGTAGTAATATAGTAGTTATCTTTCTTCTTATAACTGCCACTATATAAAGAAATGCCGATAGATAGTGATAAATAGCAGAGAGATAAAGATTGGATAAGTTGTTATATCGAGCTTTGACCGTATCTTGATTATCGTTTGCTTGCATTTTTTTTAAAACATCGTCAACTTGGCTCCAAGTTCAGACCGGAAGAGATATGATATTATTGACTATGTAGGGCTACTTATCTCACAGGATAGTACTCTTTTTTTTTTAAATAAATAAATAAATAAAAATAAAGAAAAATAAAACAAACTAATAAATTTAGAAGCCAAATTTTCAAGATGAACTTGCAAAATCTAGGCAATACAACGGGCATCTTACAAGGTGAACATACCCAGCCTGAAATTATTAAATTATGAACTAAAATAAAATAAAAGAAAAAGAAAAAGAAAAATAGAATAAAACAGGATAAAACAATGCTTTCCTCTGTCTTACCATCAATCCCTGACCGATCGATTGTACCCCTACTATCATTATAGTGTTAATTGGTTTTAAAAACCTAGCACACACTTCGTTTAATTTAAAGCTTCTCTTGAATATCTTTGAACAAGACAAGGAAGCTAATAAAATGTGAGGCTTAGAACTCTTACAATAAATAAATAAAAAAATAACCACACAGAAACTTCCGTACAACAAGCTCTCTTCTCATGACGAGCTGTTATCCATTGTTGCGACATGTTTGCCGCCAAGATGCTGGTAGACTTGGACATCAAATAGGATTGAAACCAATCACTTCTGTCCAAACATGGAAACGATGGAACTCGAAGAGTACTACAGAAGTAAAAATAAAATAAAACATAAAATAAAATAAAATAAAAATACTTTATATATCATATACATGTGTGAATATGTATAAGTATATAAGTATATATGTAAAGTAATGTTTGGGCATTCACCTACATTGTCATTTAGAAATTGAAATCAGCCGATCCTACAAAGCTCATCGATCTCAAGACAATCCCAGCCGAAAATATTCGAAACTTTAGTATTATTGCACATATCGATCATGGAAAGAGTACGCTCGCAGATAGGTATGCCTTATATATATCTCAACTCATTCGATTTGAATTATTATTACTTTACTGACATTTGAATGTGAAATAAGGTTACTTGAATTAACCAACACAATTTCTTCTCGTGGATCTAATAAACAAGTACTCGATAAGCTTAAAGTGGAACGAGAACGTGGAATCACTGTTAAAGCACAGGTACATAACACTCTACACACTCTACAGAATTTACATGCTCATGAACTCTTACCTTTAGACAGTTTCCATGTTTTACAAATACAAGGGCAAAAACTATCTCCTCAATTTGATTGACACACCTGTAAGTGATCACACACACATACACATACATACACACATATCTATATATATATATACAATTAAAAAGCAAAGCTCATCAAGTATACGTTTATCGTTTGTATAGGGCCACGTAGATTTCAGCTATGAGGTTTCTCGGTCATTGGCAGCTTGCCAGGGAACTCTTTTGCTTGTTGATGCAGCACAGGGTATTCAAGCCCAGACTGTTGCTAATTTTTATTTGGCATATGGCCAAGGATTGGAAATCATACCAGTATTGAATAAGGTAAGGAAGGTCCCTTAAAGAACTAATGTGGATCTTTTAAGCATATATTCAACTATTTCTAACAACAACAACAACAAATTTGTATAGATTGATCTTCCTGGCGCAGAACCAGACCGTGTGCTTAAGCAAATCCAAAGTGCATTCGAAGTAGATACCTCATCTATTCTCAAGGTGTGTGTGTGTGTGTGTGTCTTGTTGTTGTTTGTAATAGGCAAGAAACATGGATTATGGGTACTCAAGGTAGGTACACAAAAAATAGATTTCTGCAAAGACAGGTATCAATATCGAGTCCGTCCTTCCTAGTGTAATCGAGAAGATCCCTTGGTAAGAAGAATAGGGTCATCATATATTAGACATATGGCAAGTACTGATATTTGCTTGTGTAGTCCAAAAGGTTCCATGACAAAACCATTCCGTGCTCTGCTATTCGATTCATGGTATGATAAGTATGTTGGGGTTGTTTGCATGCTTGGTGTAGTAGATGGAACAATCCGAAAAGGTAAGAAATATATACTTTTATTTATTTATTCAAGATATACGAGACCAAGATCACTTGTTCTGTGGTGCAAGCTATGTGACAAACTGTTGAATGTCCAGGGGTCAAATATATACATACATAAAAGAGGGGGAAGGATCAATTACTTTTTATTTTGCAAGAGGTCCACCACAAAAGAAAGACATTTTAACAGAATTATGGAACTTCTTATGTCCAGTAATGGCTTTGATGAGAGTGTCTTTTATTTTTTATTTTTTGTTAAAAGAAGAAGAGAAAAGGATTTTTATGTTCAAATGTGGTACTATATGAGTATCAGATTAATTATCTCTATTGTTGTGTCTCTTTGTGGGGTACAGCATATTAAGCAAAATAGTTTTAGTTATACCAATTAAGCGAAACTATATATTAATTATATATATATATATTTATGAACAATATGACTTCTGGACACAACTACATTACAGTTTTATATGTTGGACTTTCGTATCTTGAATAAATCTACAAAGAATCCACAGTATATATTGACATATCTTATCTATCAGGAGACAAAGTCGTATCTGCTTATTCAGACACACGTTATGAGGTTACAGAAGTAAGTCCTCCATTGAATTTAATTCTACGGTAGCCGAACTTGTGTATCCAAATAAAATAAAATAAAATAAAATACAACACAATAGGTAGGAATCATGCACCCAGAGCAGCTACCAACAGGCTATCTGTAAGAAATATTACTCTCACTTGGCACGATTTTTATATACTTTTGTTTATTTTAATTTAATTTAATAGGCACTCTGGACAGGTTGGGTATATTGTCTGTGGTATGAAAACAGCATCTGAAGCCCACATTGGAGATACTTTCCATCATATTGGTAAGAAAGTAGAAGCTCTTCCCGGTTTCCAGCCGGCGCAATCCATGGTATGACCTTTACTTTCCAAAATACCATATAAACTCCACTCCAAAAAAAAGATTATTAATAGAATTGGTCAAAAAAATAAATAAATTATATAGGTATTTGCGGGTATTTTTCCGGTAGATACAAATGACTTTAAAAAGATGGACGACTCGATCAAAAAGTTGACCCTTAATGATGCTAGCGTGAGTGTTCACAAAGAAACGAGGTAATTTAAAATGAAAAAAAGTTAAACTTAAACTGGTCTGTGCGAGAAATTGAACAAATTATCAGTAATGCACTTGGTCAAGGATGGCGCCTTGGATTTTTGGGTACTTTGCACATGGATGTGTTCCGACAGAGATTGGAGAATGTGAGTGTGATTAGAATGTGAAAGTTATAAAGACTAATAAAATCCAATCCGATTCTTTGTACATTTTCTACAGGAATACGAAGCCAATATTATTGTAACACAGCCTACCGTTCCTTACAGAAGTAGGATACACAAAATCATGCACATATATTCAAGCTTATCTAAATACATATCTATTCATATTATTAGTCGTATACAAGGATGGGACAACAAAGACTATCCGAAACCCTTCGGAATTTCCGGATGGAGACGAGCGAGCAGCCAGAGTTTCAAGACTACAAGAGCCCATGGTGCTTGCTACCATGATATTCCCTGATGAATACATGGGTAAAATGATCGAGCTTTGTGGTGTAAGCTAATCAACATTTTGTGTACCAGAATAAATTGACAATAATAACTTATCAATTTCTTTATGATAGACTCGACGAGGAGAACAGCGCGAATATGTCTACGTAGATGAGAAGCGTGTGATGATGAAGTACATTTTACCACTTGCGGAAGTTGTCACAGACTTTTATGATGAATTGAAGGGAAGATCTTCGGGTTATGCTACATTTGATTATGAAGAAGCAGGTTATGAAGATAGTGAGCTTGTGAAGGTAAATGACAAATAATAAAAGCAAGAGAGAGAGAGAGAGAGAGAGAGAGAGAGAGAGTTTTGAATAGTTTCTCACATACTACTGATTTTTATGTGTTATGGAATTAGATGACTGTATTATTGAACTCCAAGCCTGTAGATGCGCTTTCTGTTATTCTTCATCGATCCCAGGTTGATCTGGTCGGACGAGACTGGGTAAAGAGGCTCAAGGGTGTCATTCAAAGACAGCTGTTTGATGTGGTCATTCAAACTGCGTTAGGGACAAAGATTGTGGCCAGAGAAACGTAAGGGCTTTTTACATAATTATTTTTTTTTTTTAAAAAAAAGGATCTAAACTTAATGCTTATCTTCATTACAGAATTTCTGCGCTGCGAAAGAATGTTACGGCAAAATGTGTAAGTGAAGTTTGAGCGGCTTTGAACGCTTTCAAATGATTTCAAATGACTAAGTATTTGAGTTTTAGTATGGTGGTGATGTATCACGTAAAATGAAGCTTCTGCAGAAGCAGAAGGAAGGCAAAAAACGGATGAAGATGATTGGTAAGTGGAATATCTCGCAAGTTTCAATTAATCGACCAATCAACTAACCGATCAATCAATGTTTTCTGTATTCTAGGAAATGTCGAGTTGCCTCAAAAAGCATTTTATGATTTTATGGACAACAACGCATCTTGAAAACAAAAATAGCGCTTATTAAACCACATGCTGTGATACTCCACAGACCAGCTTTTGGGATAATTAATTGGTATTTGCTTTGATAGTCCATGGCTGTTTGTTTGTTTATTTATTGAGCCTTGAGCTTCATTACTTGATGAGTTTGTAGAAATAGACTGAAAATTTAATTAAATAAATATATACATAGATACATTAAATGTATAGATGTATTCAAGTGTATGTATATATATATATATATATATGTTGCATAAGTAAAATTGTATTAGGGATGATTTAAATTCTATTAGATTGTAAGCTGGTTCATACATTAAAGATAGTAGTATTAATTGTAGTTGTAGTTGTAGTAAAGAAGATAATTATAATAAGGATAATGATAGTAATAATAATAATAATAATAATAATAATGACAGTAATAAGGGGGGAAATCGGGATGTGAAGGATCAAATTAGTGGCGAGTATAGGAAAGAATAAGACATGAAATAAAATAAAGAAGTAGACCACAGAAGCTGGGTGAACCTGCACCTGTGCTAAATTTCGAGCTCATGTGGGCCCGAAGCGGAGATATATGACAATAGAAACGTGCGGATATGACAAATTGTTTGATTACCCAGAGTATGTTCGACCAAAGGTACTCCGAAGATCTTCTTAAGTCAACCCTTCAGGTGTCAGGGTGAATTTGAGTGTGCTTCCACGGCGACCCGAAATGAGATCTTCAAGGATTTGCCGCCTCCGTTCCTGTTCGACATCATGCACACTTTTGGGTTTTTCCGGGCTTACGGCTTTCTTGGATTTGGCATGGACATTGTAGGTTTTGATCTTTCTAAGTGGAGTGGACTTGCTGCTCGAGCATCCCATAGTAGGGGAAGATGGTAAGGCAGCAGCAGCAGCAGCAGCGGATGATGCTGAGCGGCGAGAAGACTCTGTATGAGGTGTGCCATCGACTGGGATTTCGAGGGCCAGATTAGGCTTACTACTGGTGCGAAGAGGGGCAGTCATTGGGGGAGCCAATTGTTGGCTATAGTGTTGGCGAAGGATATCGGTGGAAGAACAAGAGTGACGACGAAGAGATGGCCTTGCGGGATTCTTGCTCTTCTTATGTGCTTTGTCATGGGACAAATCGTAGCACTCCGCAGGAGCCTGTTGGTTATGGCTGCATGTCTTCATTTTCCTGGCACGTGGTGAGGTGACAGGAATGTCCTCTTCTGAACTAGAGGAGCGTGGTGCCGGCGAAAGGGAATTGGTGTACTCGGGGGTTTGAAGTCTCTGGAAAGGCTTTTCAAGGGGAATCTTCATGGGCTGATACTGGGCCAACAGTTCATCCAGGGCATAATCATCAAAATCAGCTCGTACTGGGGACACAAGTGAGTAAATGCTAGTCGAGTGTTGTAAGATAGGTGATGAGATAGGGATCTGAGAAGTTCCAGCGTTTTTTCGATGAGATCCACTTGTCAGGATAGGCGTTGGGTGGTGGCGAAAGATCTTCTTGAGCCTCAAAGCCCTTCTGTTACCATCAACTGCTTCTGTCATTATAGAATAATAAAGGTAGAAAGTAAAGAAACTGAGAAAGAGAGTCGTAAAAAAAAACAGGTAGGATTTTATGTGAAAAATATTTATAATAATAATAAAAAGGAATTTTTTTTCTTCTTCTTGTGATGACAGCTTGGTGAACAAATATTGAGGTAAACAATATAAAGAATTCTACTCCCGGTACATCTTTTTTTATTTTATTATATAGTCAACGTCCTTTTTTTCATTTTTTTTTTTCATAAAGCGCCAAAAGAGTAAGCAAAGTCAGGTCAGCCCTTAAAGGAAGTTGCACGCACCTGGCGTTATACAATCCTGCGCATCTGTAAGACAAAATAATTCTCCGCCCCGAAATGGGTTGGAACACAAAGGAATTGATATAGACGACCGTCAGCCCATCGTAATGACATGCCATTTGTGTCTATTCAACCATGAACAGAATCCTTAATTGATAGATAACTATCTTAATTCTCAAGTGTACAAGAAATTAAACTCTTCTAATAAAACGACAGACCGCGCGACATGCTAATAAGTAGAGCAGATCAAGCCAGTTCCCACAACTCCTCATCCTCCACACCTTCCTTAAAGAAAAAATTATACAGTTTTCATCTGGCTTGTGCCACAAACACAAATACAAGCAGTATCCTAACGAATTGTTTCCATTTTCTTTGCTATTTTTTTTTTAAAAAAATCGAACTCTTCTTTTTGGTTGTCATGGCAACTCACAAAATAAACTACACATTTTCGTACTACATTCCCAGAATCCAACTTCACTTCATTAGCAGTTATACCAAAATTTTGTTTTTAGAAAGAAAAATATAAATAATTAATAGGCCAATTTGAAAATGATTTTTATTAGAGTATACACAGTAATCGTGTAGACAAACTAGAGACGACGACCACGACGACCACCCTTTCTGCGGGTGCTGTCAGTGGGGATGGGAGTAACATCCTCAATGCGACCGATTCTGAGACCGGAACGGGCCAAGGCACGGAGAGCGCTCTGTCCACCGGGACCGGGGGTCTTGGTGCCAGTACCACCAGTGGCTCTAAGCTTAACGTGGACAGCGGTGATGCCGACTTCCTTGCACTTGGCGGCAACATCCTGGGCAGCCAACATGGCAGCGTAGGGAGAAGACTCATCACGATCAGCCTTGACCTTCATGCCACCGGTGACACGGGAGATGGTCTCACGGCCGGAAAGATCGGTAACGTGGACAAAGGTATCGTTGAACGAGGCAAAGATGTGGGCAACACCGAAGACGAGCTCGCCCTCACGGACCTGGGGACCAAGGGTGACGTTCTCGACGGGAGCCTTCTTGACAGCAGCACGCTTAGACTAAGATGAATTCTTAGTTAATATACATATTTTTTTTATATTTATAATCATTATATGTATATGTTGGTTTCGCTTCGCTTCGCTTCGTTTACATATCCATCCATCGATCAATCAGTTCATCCATCTATTATAAATGTCTATCTGTCTCATTCATTCAACAATACTCACCATGATGGTTCAAATAGATGAAGAGAAGGATTCTACAGTTGGGAGGCCATGGGTTGTTCTTTGTGCTAGAGCACACCACAGTCCAGTGATGTGATGTGACGTCTTTATTCTTAAAAGGAAACTTTTTTCTATTTTAATCTACCGCTTCTCTCGCTTCTCCTTTATTCTACGAGCTAACCCCCATCTAGACTTCTTGTCTTCGACAGAAGAAGATGTGGTAGAAACTACAGGTACACTAATTGGAAGGGAAGCCTGTGGATGGTTCTCTGTATGAGCCTGCACCTTACTTGGTGACTTAAGTGCCTCAAAGCTTAATTCAGTGCGTGATGTATCAATATTCAACGCAGTGGGGGTCGATGCTACTGACGGCCTGCCGTTGCTGTAGACTTTTTCTTCTGCCTGCTGAGGCTTTCTATCCATTCCATTCCATATATCGAGATTCTCCATAGAGAGATTAACTGCCTGGTAGAATAGTACATATCCACAACCTGTACCCGGGAGATCACTAAAGTATTTCTGGATTTCATCCTCTTGAATCGTCTATAATTTCACAAAATAAGCATCTATTTTCCTTTCTCATCTCCCCCTCAAATATGCATCAACCGTTATTACCGAAACAATATCATCATCGAATAACATCCACCGACCATTACTCTTCACAAGAGTTACATAATGGCCATGATGAGGACCACTAAAAAAAATATCTGGTCAGTAGAATCCATAAGTTTTACAAGCATTGTATAGCTTACCTTCCGATATGAACGACTACTGCCCACAACTCGTACATTCTGTCCGCATCTTCTGTTTCATCACACTAATTACCAATGCAAATCTCTTTTATTAAAAAAAAGCAAATGTTCCTTCCTTAAGAAAAAATCAAAAAGAGCACTTACCGTATTAAATAGTCGTAACTCAAAGGGAAAAACTACCCTATATGTTAATTTGATGTATTTCTGGAGTAGTTCTTGATATTTGAAGCGTTTCAAATGAAGCGCTAAAATATTTGGGAGTTTTTTTATTTTCATCCTAAATGCACATTGATAATTAAGTATACGCTTATAATTTGATAAATTAATATTCGCCCCTTGATGCATACCGTCGTTCTGCTTCTTGTAATCCGCAGCATACATCACAGAAATATTTATTTTTGTGGCATAGTGTTTCACTGGCTGAAAATTGTCGCAAACAGGACGTTACGGAAGAGTTTATTTCTACATCGATAGAAAGATCCATAAAAGACTCGTCTCTACTCGTAACCTTGATTACAAACATCAGTAAGTTTATAAATTCCTCTCACATCATTCACTTACTGTCTCACACATTAAACACTTGGTCTCGTTCGAGAAGACACCTTCAAATAGTTGATGAACCCACGTTGACTGTGTATTCGAACTGTGGTCTGAATTCTCAGCTAATGAATGTATTAATATGTTTCCACGTCTGTCTATATTTTACATGAACATGCCATTTTTTTTTAAAAAAAAAACTTACTTGAACTTGTACCTGCATGATCCTCGCGACTGCTATCACTGTCGATACTTTCCTGTCTATCCTTTTCCTCCTTTTCTCTTCCGGCATCTTTTGCTACATTCCTTTGATATTTTTGGACGTCATCTGCAATTGTATTAAGGATATAGTTCAAGAACTCATGCGCGTCTTGATGCATGCTTGATCTAAAGAGCTCTAAAAATCACACCAATTATTATTATTATTATCATTACTGGCGAATATTTTCTATAGCCTTACCATTCTCTTTTTTAACCTTGTTAATAAAATTCACAGGTGCAACTATGCCTGTTTTTTTCTTATGCGTGGATATTGTCCAAAAAAGATTCTTAAGTGCGGCGAACAAGGTGTCCTCCATACCTGGTGATAGGTTGAGGTTATTTTGATCTTTATCTGCTGATACGGCAATTACGCCGCCAGTAGCTCCACGAGACTGTGACCGTTGCAGTAAAGAGCTCTCCTTAGTCGCATTGTTGGTACTATTCATTCTTGGAAGAGACGAAGCTTGGGTGCTTGTACCAGGAGAAGCACTCGAAAGAAACGAATTCCCTGTCATATTCAGGGGAGATCCAGGTGTAGGCGGGAGAGGTGTTGAAGGAGGAATTATCGGGCAGGGAAAATTAGTGACACATTCCCGAAATGGCTTGCAGTAGTAGAGAGCTTGGACGACCGAGTTGCTATAGCTATTGTTGTTATAGTGTATACATATATAAACATTAGTTCTGTTTCGCATTGTATTATTGCATATATCTGTACTCTTCAATACAATTGTATACACACCAAGTATTTCCAAACTAATGTGGTTAAAATGGTTAAAGTTAGTTAGGCTAATCAAGAGGCAATTATTTGTTGAATAAAGTCTAGTGGAACACAATAGACAATGATAACAAACAGATGGTACTTACATTCTCGAGTCCAAAGTAACGCTCTCCTTCATCGGTAGACTCGTTTTCTGTAGCAGGTTTTCCGGATTGGCCCTAAGGATTTAACATTAATTAGTTGATTTCATCAAAACCTCATCCTGTGTATTATAAATGAAGATCTGTTTACCAAACCCATCCATTTAAAGAGAGAAGTGCTGGTCATTGCAGATTAAAGAATATTACTAATAGTAATAATAATAAACGGGACCCAATGAAAATGTAGCTATCTAAAAAAAAGGGTCTTTTAACATGTACTGATGATTAACACCTTAAAGAGCGGAAAGAAGCCCAAATGAGATTTCTACGATGACGTCTTCCCGTCACACCCATGATGGCCAAGTCAAACAAGGCGGACCACCCAAAGCCAATAAGCATATCTTTTCTGCGATAGTAGACACAGAGGAGATATTCTATTTATCGATAGGTGTTTTATGGCTCGAACTGTTTTGCTTTGGTTTTATTTTATTGGTTTTGGAAGTCGTAAGATATATGACATTAAACACTTAGATTTTTTTTTTCACATATGCATTTAGTGCTATAATATGCATTTATCTCTGTATTTTAAAGAGAGAGGAAGAAAATAGTATCTTATTGGCACTGATACTACCAATGAATATTCCAATATTGTGGTGTTAAACCAATCGGATATTTGGCCTTAAAGACCATCATATCTTGACCGTTCAATTGGTACTTGTGCGCGTGTGTGTATGTGTACGTATATCATCCAATTGAGATACTGGAAAGGACTGTGGCTGCAGAGATATATAAAATACATACGAACCAATTGCAGACCCCAAATAAACTTACTCACCCCATAAACTCTTGGTGTGTTTATCTTGGTTAACCCTTGCAACACACTTTACATGGTCCAGAATGGCATTTTGTTTATTGAATGACGATTTGGATATCAATTGGCCTTTTATGAATATTACAGAGCTCAATTGATGTACATTTGTAATCCTGATAAGACTTATGTAGTGTTTACCTAAACTCATTGTCCGGTGTTATCTGTATTATTGTTGTTATTGTTTTTTTTGTATCTATTCTATCCCCGTTTTACCTGAGAATAATGATATTTAACCATGGCAACCCTTATTAATCAATATTAAATAACTTGGTGCTTACTAATCTTTTACATATTAAAAAAAGTCCAGTTTGGAGTCAAATAGGTCTTTAGGTTATTGGATATACAGTGAAGACAGTGCCAATGGACGTTTTTAAATTGTCAAAAGGTAGTCTTTTTTTTCATTTTCAAAGAGTAAATCAAAGGGCGCTTTTATTATTATATTTTAATAGATAAGTGAAGTATTTAAATAGGTTCATTTCTTTTACACTTTTAAAAAGTATCTGCAGAGTGCTGAACAAATGCTCTGAGATGGTTAGGAGGAACGGAGTTGTAAGCCTCCGTTATTCTTGTGATTAAATCACTAGTGTCGTCGAATGTGCTTCGCTTGACCTTGTTTTTGATTACGGACCAAAAATTTTCAATTGGGTTGAGTTCGGGGGAGTATGGAGGAAGATAAGCGCACCTATATCCTCTCTCTGTGATCATTTCGATTATTTCATCGTCTGTATGAATGGAAGCATTATCCATGATCAAATAAAATCCTTTCATTTCTTCAAATAAATCCATTTCGTTCAAAGTTTTATGGATAAATTGCAAATAATGTCCAGCGACCGTCCCTTTTGGGGTACGCTTGCTTGAATTGGTGGGAGCCTTTCTTTTACGACCAACACTGTCAATTTTTATTCTTTTCGATACCTGGGGGTTCCTGAGCTCCATCGCTACGACAAAGTTAGCGCTAATTGCTCCCAAGATAGTGTGTGATATTGCTCTGGTAGAGGGTGTAGTAGCTATAACTGGAGTGCCCTTCCCTGGCCAACCTCCGGGTGGTCTCATATTGATGTCAAACCCTGATTCGTTTATAAAAACACAATTGTCAAGAAAGCTCATATTTGTTTTACTCCATTCTTAAACCCACGCTTTTCGATTCGCGAGTTTTAATTCATTGTTTCTTGCTACAGGATGACGGATTATTCTTTTGAATAAGAGATTGCATTCGTTTTTCAAGAAAACTTGAACACTGGAATTCTTCAAAGTGAAGTTTTTGAATTTCTCAGTAAGAGACGCAACTCCATCACTCACTCGAGCTTGAGGATGCTCGTCGTAAAAGTTGATCAAGTGAACCTTGTGCTCTTCTTGAAGTTGACTTGTCTTCCTATTCACTTTGTTCGCTTGTTTTTCAAGAATGTTCCAATATTTATTCTCTTTGAGCCTCTTTGCCCACTTTTGTGCTGCCCGTTCGGCAATTCCACCTGCTAGTCTTCCAGACTTCGCAGCGTTGTATAGCTTCACTCAGTTATAATACACAAAAAGAAGCCTCTGCTCATAACTGTAGTTATTATATGATGTTTGCTACTTATTTACTGTTCCTAAAAGATTGGCCACGTCTTCCATTCTAGTGTCTAGATCTTTAATAAGCGACTCCTGTTCTGGTCCCTGAGATTCGCAGTAATGTCTGATGTTAGTTAAGGTTTCAAGATGGTATGGATTAACATCCTCTTCTACATTCATAGCATTATTTCCACTTTGGTCATATATTTTCCCTTGTCCATCCTCGTAAAGAAAAATAGCACTCATTTTGTTCTCTTGTCAAGTTATAGATATGAAGAAAAAGCTGCCTTTCGACAATTTAAAAACAGCCCAATGAGAAAAATAAAACTGCCTTTTGGCACTGTTTTCACTGTACACATAAGTTCTCATTATTCAGTACATCAACCCTCAAGGTGGCATTAATTATCATTGTAATGAATATAGTATTTAGTTGCTAGGTTACAATAATGAAAGATTTATTATTATGGAAAGTGTAATTAGCTCCAGTTCAACTATCGTGGAGCTCAGCATATTTCTACTCTTCAAAAGAATATGGGTGGGAATGCTTAGGATCACACCCTCGGTTCATTCCAAAAAAAGATAAGCAAGTATGTATATAGATATATATATAAACGCGCAGTCAAGTTTGATCAATCCTAGAAAATTAGGGTCCAATACTGGAAATTCCAAGTCATGCAAAATTTCCTCGTTTAGAGGGACCCTCGCTGTACTTCTGTGTTCAACATGTGTAGGGCAATGTGTAGATATCGTTAGAAGCCAACTAAGCGGCTAACCATTGGTGATCTCCTCTTTGTATACTGGTAACTATGATCTATTTCGGATAAGAATTGGACACATCCAAGTTTACTTCATTTAAAGTAACGCTTGTATTTCTTTTGTGTTTGTGTTTGTGTTTGTTTCTTCTTTAAATTGTTTTCTCTGAATAAGATTTGAAAACTATAATCGTTCTGTTAGTTTTCTGTCAATTACTTTTTTCAGTCCATCTGTATATAGATATACAGATCTCTCTCCCTCTCTCTCTATGTGTATGCGAGAGAGTAATTAGGTATGAATATCGGTGATATTTCCATGTTTGCTTTAAATGTTTTCCTCTACGGTGACAGTGCCAGTGGCAGTAGCAGTAACCATAATAATAAATAATGTTTCAATCAAAAGGCTAACGTTTCATATTAAATTCTCAGCTCTTTAGTGTGAAGCAGATATTTCTTCCCAGTCAAAAAAAAAAAGAATTGTGTTACAAAAAGGATAAAATATAAAGGTAAAAAAAAAGATGCTATGAATTTTTATTATATTTTATTTTTTCTAGTCCCCACAAAGAAAAATATAAAAATATAAAATATAAAATAAAATAAGAAAATGGTTCCTGAAAAAATATATATATATATAAATAAAATAAAATAAAATCTAAATGCCTTCAGCAATGACCAAGTCGTGACTGTATATGTCCGGACCGTGACGCTAAACTATCGTATCGGGTTTATTCGTGACATCACAATCAAAAAAGCCTCTTTTTTTTCAGACAAAAAAATCGTACACTCGACACGCACACGCTCACACCATCAAGGCCAATCCAAGACTCTCAAATATAATGGCTATTGACTCCATGTACGTACATTAGCTAATCAACCCTTAATTCGGCGTTGTAATGGAGTACTCGCTCTATCATTTAAGCCGAGTACGCTGACAATCCCGGTCCGTTATCACTAGTGCGCTGACAAAGCCTTCCTGGGCCGACGAAGTTGAAGAGGAAGAAGGTACACAGACAAAACGACTTTATTTTTTGTATAATTCAACCAACATTGATCAACATACAAACTTAACATGACAAAAATCAACAGATGCCTTCCAACCAAAGGCATTTACCGATGAGAACGGCATCAAGACCATTATCGAATACAGAGAGAACGAGGATGGCAAAAAAGTCAAGGTAATACGCATTGCTTTACTAGGTGCCTGTTGATTATCCCGAACAAATTACCAATAATATCCAAACGGCACCAGGTCACTCGTAAGATTCGCTCCAAGCTCGTCACTGAGCATGTCAACAAAGCCGTTGCTCAGCGTAAGAAGTGGAGTAAATTCGGTGACGAAGAGGGAAACAAGCCTGGACCTGATATGGCAACAACTACAATTGGTGAGAACATCCCACTCAAGCTCGGATCCAACACCGGAAAGGTAATTTAATCTTAAAATTATTAACAGAAAAAGAATATCTTGTTTGACCAGGTAGATCATTTAGAACGTAGAGGCTGTTGCAGCAGAGGAGGCACACGACAAAGTTGCCAGTCAGCTTAAAGCAAAGAACATCATGTGCCGTATCTGTAAGGGCGAGCATTTCACATCCAAGTGTCCCTACAAGGATACTCTGCAGCCCCTCGACGAGATCGAATCTTCCCTCGAGGCTGTCAAGCTCGAAGGTAACATTGATTTATTACTTTTTTTTTTACATTTTTAGAGGAAACTGCATCTCCTTTTTATTTTTGGGGAGTGTGAATATGAATGTAGTGGTGCATGGGATTGTGAGTGTGCATTGTGCACTGTGCTTATGTTCTATGTGTTCTTTTTTTTTTTAAAAAAAAAGGAGAGATGGAAGCTGGCGAAGGTGGTCTCAACAAATACACACCCCCTCATCTCCGAAACAAGGGTCCTGGAGGTGCTGGCGAATCTATGCGCGATGCTAAGCGTGATGATAGCGCCACTCTCCGTGTCACTAACTTGTCTGAGGATGTGACCGATAACGACATATACGATTTATTCAATCGCTTTGGTAATATTGCCCGTGTCTATCTTGCACGCGATCGCGAGACCAGTCTCTGCAAGGGTTTCGCATTCGTTTCCTTCAGTGACAAGGATGACGCAGAAAGAGCCCAGCAGGCAATCAACGGTTACGGTTACGACAACCTTATCCTCAGAGTTGAATTTGCTCGCAGTACATAACTTCCCAATAGTATTTACCGCTTTTAGTATTCAATCTTTGTTTGCAAACCACCCTAAATTTGCATATATGGCATGTAAAAAGAAACTCAGGGTTCGCTTTTATAGATACGAGCAGGACTTTTATTTTTATTTTTTTATCCATGTAAAAACGTGTGCTAGTGTGTGTGTATGTATGTGTATGTGAGTGTATGTGCGGTTGATATTTACTATAAAAAACAAGGGTAATGTTTATATATTGTGCCTATTGGTTTCAGGTCTTTTAATGGAGCTGGATCAATACTATGAGGGTGCTGATACTTATATTTTGGTATCCGTTTTTTGAAAGAAAGGGAAATAAGAAACATCTTAAATATATGACATTTGTTATGCGCTTATCGTCTTTGGGAAGAACTTCTGCCAAAAACGTATTGAGCTTTGATGCTAAAGTAGCTTTGAGTTAGATATCTCTTGGTGACATTTTTGCTACTGGTCTTAATTTAGAAGATTGGATAGTACATATTCCTATACTGTATCGGCTAATACATATTTGGTTTCATTTACCATCAAGTAACACTGTTTAAGTGGGGGTTGCATTAAGTATGTGCTTGTGGATCAGAGAAAAAAAAACAGTAAGGAAAACAAATAAACAAACGAATAAATACTACTAGCTTAATTAACCCTCACATAAATAAAGTTGAAACTTAGATATATGTACATATATGTATACATACAGTCCGATAGTAAAGACACTTATACCCCTTCATAACCAATTGTCATTGCTAATATTAAGTATGGGTAGATATTTGTCCATTTTTAAAGTGTGTAACAATTCGATATTTGAAGCACGCCGTGACTTTGATTTGCTTTTACTTAATCACTTCACTTTAGGTATTGCGATTAAATTTATTTCTATTTCATTGCAAACATTAGACATTTACTTTTATATCTAATGAACCCTAAAGGAGAGAGATGGGCTGTCGATAAGAAGGAACATTGGGATGCGCTTGCAAATGAGAAGATTAATCTATTGGAGAATGCATTCCAGGAACACATAAATTGGATTTGTCAATATGCCATGCAAAAGTAAGTGTAGTTTAATTCTCTGAATGAATAATTGAGTATATATATATATATGGGGGCCTGTGTGTGTGCAGCTTCTTATTCTATAATAATAATATTAATTTTAGAAAAACTACCGAGAGCTCAAAGGTAAAAAAAGAAGCAGCAAGATTATTGTGCCTGAAAAAACTAGTAGCCTGGACAAAGAATTTTCTATTAACTTTAGATTTGTGCATTATCTTTATTTTATTTTCTAGAGGCGCCTTTCACAAAATAGTACACTAGAAAAGTCCCTAGCTATCAACAATACATCCGAGGACTACGTTAATCACGAATCGTCGAATACATCTCCAACCTTGCCACTTGCCAAGCGACAATGCATTGACCTTCGAGACTCAAATCAAGCATCATTAAAATACGAAGGAAGCCCAGAAACTGATCCAGATGATACTGAGAAAAGTGTATCAAATATATCTCAGGATATACAGAAGGATTTTGTAAAAAATGATACCAAAAATGAACGCATTTCATCAAAGATAAATACCAGTGATGAATCAGAAAGAGTCCTTTTAATTCAGAAATCCCGAATAAGCACAGGAATTACCAAACTACTAAGAAGAAATGATGGATTGGATGAAAATGATACCGTTAAGCTTCTAGTCCCATCAAAAAGCAAGAGTACTCCAATTAAGCTAGAAGGAAGTCTCCAAGACAGTATAAGCATGCGAAGTCTATCTTTTGGAAGGGGTTTCAATCACGCTAGATCATCTCTTACGGACCCAAAGTCTTTTACAAAAACAGAAAATGCTGTCCAAATGAAGAAACCAGACACTATTTTGCCACAGCTGAATACTCAACAAAACCACCCTTTAAATCCTACTAAAGCAAATATAGAAGCAAACACAAGCACTGAGCTGGTAACACTAAATTTACTGAGGAGACAACTTTTCTTGTTTTTTTTTGTATTAATAATAATAACGCTAGATGCCGCCTCCAAAAAGCACAATTCCATTAAAGTTTCAGTTTGCAGACATTCCATCAGAAAATGTATATTTGTACTTATATGTTTATATATATATATGTGGTCTGATGAAGAGAATGATTGGTATTTACTTGTGTTTTATTTTATTAGCAAGCTACGCTTGTAGTAGAATCAATTGAGAGAATTGAAAACAAGGTAAAAACAATATTAATATCTACTATTAGTCTGGGTTTTATGCAGTCCATTCTAGATTGAATTCTCAAATTTGGTTACATTTATTCTTACTATTTGCTTGTGTTCATATTTCTGTTTATCTGTATAGAGGGAAAGAACAACAAATGAAAGCATTAGCACCACAACTACCCAAGAATTCGATGATGAATTTCTGGACATATTAGATGTCACTCCAGATTGGGTAAAGAGCCCGATGTTTGAACAGCTTCTCGAAAAACAAACCCACATGGATCCAGATAAAATATTTGGTCGAATCCCACCTATAGATTTAAAAAGTAGGGAATTTGTATAATTTTTTTTTTACATTAAGCTAACAAATTATTTACAGATATCTTCACAAAGCCACGCAAAACAAAGCACTGAGAAGTTTATATATCAGTAATCAATGCATGAGCACTCAAGTATCTGGTCACTCGGATAAATGCACACATATGTAGAAAGCAAAAACAAAAAAGCAAAACGCATAACAACAATATTGATATGGAAAATAAGGAAGTTTCTCCAGTAAATAGTAAGGGTCAACAATTCAATATATCAAATCAGTACATAACATTAGCCAAAACAGTAATAATTATAATAGCTCTAATGTGTAGACCATACATATGTAAATTAAAAATTATTAAAGAATTCATTTAACAAAAAAAAAATAAGCAACAACAACAACAGCATTTAATCAAGATTTTAAGGTAGTCTATAATAAGGTGGTGTATATATAAAACAAAAATCAATACAATCAATGCTCACAGAGCTTATCTATTTATTTATTATATTCTTTAAATTAAGTATCATGGTCATATTATAAGTAAAATATTAAAGTGGAAGCTATAACTTACATTTTTTGACTAATCACGTATTCTCTAACTTAACTTTTAGCTTATCCACCACGTATTACTAATATAAAGAAACAAGATGATTATGTAAAGTTAATAATTAGATCAATAATACACTGCTACTATTACATAATAACTAAACTGGAATAATAAATCAAGTTAGAGATAACCAATTATTTAAAGTAAGTAATCAAAACTCTCTTAGATACACATATTTATATATAATGTTTTCAAGTAAGAAAACTAGTGATATTCAACGGCTATTCTATAAAAGGCTGGTAAAAAATCGACACTTGTGAATGGTGTATACAATTTAGATATGTATCATTGAATTAAAGATAACGTGTACATATAATAGTTATATATTTCTCAAGCAAAAGGTCTTTTAGTCTATAGTATTTTTTTATTGTTTTATTAGTTAAAGAAAGAACGATTAGGTATGCTTTGTATGTCATTAAAAACACGGTGGTCCATCGACAATAACCTTTTGCTTTTTCTAATTTGTCTTGAATGCACAGCAAGGCATGTGCGCTTTGGATTTTTTTATAATATACTGCCTGTTAAACTGCTTCAAAATGTTAAAGGTAGAGGAAGAAGAATTAACTTAAAAGAAAGGAAGAAATTGAATTTTCTATTCATCAAGAACGTCCATTACATGAACTCGATTGGGGAAGTTTACCCTCCTATTCTAAATTTCAGCCAATCACATTCCAGTATATGAACGTATGGCAAAGAAAAGAAAATATAGAATTGAAAGGAAAGTATTCTTATTTATAGCCAACCCTTGAGTGAAATTTTCTGCGACTAACTTCTAAGGTATTCACATGATATTAGATACTGGTGTTGCTTGTGCAAGCTAATATCTTAATGACACAAATACAAAAGTTGCAAATTCATGCATTAACGCAGAGACAAAATCTAAAGTTATGCGCGGTGTTTAAATAAGCACCGACTTTTTTCATGTACTTCTTGACACTAAAACCCAAAATGTATGCGAGTAAATCCAAATCAGCTCAATTGTCATTAGACTCACAGGTTGAGGCACACTTTTGATACTAAATATCAGGTGCTTATACGTGTGTTCTAATAGTCATAAAACTAAAGAAGTTCAGCAAAATGGTATTCTACATCATAAAGTAATTCTCAAATGGCTACATCAAAATATAAATCAAAACTTTCTTTTATAGCATTTATTCTTTCTTTCTCTCAATTATTTCTAGAATTGAGGCTCTCAGAGATCTATACTACTAAATACACATTAAACAAAATGAGCAAATGTAAAGTTACATCCTGATTCAATTTATATAAAGGTAAACATTCTATATTGAATAACTCATCGCCATAGCTATCATCGGTACTGTTAATTCTGAAGCTGACGTCAAAGTCTGGGCGGCTTTAAGAATTCTCTTTTTTTGGAATACATATAACAGGCACAGCTTCGTAAACCAAGAAACTGGTTTCATTTTTATCTTTTTTTTTTCTATGTTAAAGTACCATCAGACGCATTATAATGACGTCACTTTCCACGTCACGGAGGCCGACGCGTCTCTACAGGAGAGGGAAATTGGTGAAATTGAGAGGTTTGAAGTACGTACAAGTTTCCTTGAGTTAGTTTGGTATATTTCTTTCTCAACACACAACCATGGACCATTTTCCTTCAGCCTGGGGCAAGCCTCGTAACGAAGCCGTCGACCAGTACAACACCGTACCCCTCACCCGCACTCTTCCTGATGCTGCTGTTCAGGCAGCTCTTGGTCCTACCACCAGAACACAGTGAGTTTTGTGGATGGTTTATTACCGCAGGAAGCAAGTCTATGCATTACATTTTGCTAGACGCGTAAAACATGACCATTGAGTATTTACCACAATGTATTTGTATTTATATGATAAAGGGCTCCTCTTGTAACAGGTACATCTGTCATCGCATTCAAATACAAGGATGGTATTATGATGGCAGCCGATATGCTTGGTAAGTTTATATACTTTTCATTCCAAGACTAAAGAGAGGATATAACAAAAAAAAGGAATACATATAAGTCTGGATCAGACTTGAGAGAGAATTGAATAATATGTACCTATATTCATTCATGCGTGAATTATTGTTATTATTATTATTTTAAAAAAAGGTTCATATGGCTCTCTCTCTCGTTTCCGCGACATTGAAAGATTACATCCTGTTGGAGACCACACCATTGTTGGTGCTTCGGGCGATTTGTCCGATTACCAATACATCGAACATCTTTTGGATTCTTTGATGTAAATGAAATGATAAGAAATAGAAAAAGGGGTTTTAAAAAGAAGTGCTGACAGACTTAATTTTGCTCTGTAAAGGATCAAGGAACATTGTGCAGATGATGGACATGTGTTGGGTACTCCTCACATTTATGAATACCTTTGGAGAGTTCTTTACAACAGACGATCTAAGTTCAACCCTCTCTGGAACTCGCTTGTTGTGGGCGGTCTTCACAAGGGAGAAAAGTACGGGACTGCTCTATATATATATATTATGCAATATGAAGAAGGAAGAGAGAAAGGGAGAGAAAGGAATATTCACTAATAATAATGTCGTGTGCGTGTACTTATTAGGTTCCTTGGATACGTTGATTTGAGAGGTACTACCTACCAATCAACCACTATTGCTACTGGTTTTGGTGCTCATTTGGCACAGCCTATCTTGAGAAAGAGAGTGGAGGGCAGAGAAGATGAGATCACTGAACAAGAAGCAGTTGAGATCGTCAATGATTGTATGCGTGTATTGTTCTACAGAGATGCACGATCAATGAACAAGGTAATTCAAATGATTTTTCTTTTTAAAAAAAATAGAGGGATAAGAAATTATATATGTATATATAAAGAGAGAGATATAGAGAAAAATGAAATTAAACGATGCTATTTGCGATATATAGTTCCAAAGAGCAAAGATCACAGAAGCTGGTACCGAGGTTACCGAGCCTTATAGTGTTGAGACAGAATGGTCTTTTGCAGAGTCCATCAGAGGCTATGGAGCCTAAAATTATCTTTTTATTTGGTCAATTATATATCTACATCTCTTCTCTTTGTGTATGTGTGTATACGTCCGTGTGTGTGCGTGTGCATGTATTTTGAAGACACAATAAAAATCATATTGGTCTCTAACTGTTATAAGTATGTGTATATGTATATATTATAAAGATAAATAGCCAAATTAAAGAAATTCAAACCAAAAATCAATAGATAAATCAATAAATCAATATTAAAGCTAAAAGTACAAAAAAAAGAAGATAGTAAAAGCAATTTTTTATAAGCCCAACTCTTTGTTAGAAGGACTCTGCCAGGTGAAATTCTTGTATGGCTTGAGAATAGCATGGATCTGATCAAGAACTTTTTGTTCAGTCTCAGATAATTTTTCTTTTCCTTGCTCAATATCTTTCATGCGCTTAATGGCAGCTACTGCAGCCTTAGCTTCTTCTCGCTTTCCGATGCCAATTACAGTTGTATCAAGATTAAATTGCTGACGACCAGAGAACGAGAAGCGAGAGGCAATTTCAGAAATGTTGAGTCCATTTTCTTTGGCAAGCAAAGCGCACTTGTGAACAGCTTCCCTGAGTTCAGGATGAGCTGGATGCCATTCTGGAGGACCGGACTCGCGGAAAAGTCCCATACTCAATGGGGATGCGTTGAGAAGATAGCGAACACCAGCAGCACGGAAAGCATCTGCATAATCGGACAAGGTTGTGTCGTTGAGGGAATAATGGCAATAAGACAATATTATGTCCAATGGCTGTCCCTTGGCGTGTTGATGTTTGGCGATCTTCAATAGGACAGGCAAAGGATAGCCTTGATCCCACAAACAAACAAAAATTAGACAATTAATACCTAATATTATGGAATTTCCCTCCCTCTCCCTCTCTGTGTGTTTGTGTGTGATGTTTCTACCTGTACATCCGACGTAATTGATCTTATTTTGCTTCTTAAGTTCAAACAGGGCCTCCAAAGCACCACCTGGTCCAACAACTTTGTCAAAGTCTACAAATTCAACATCGTGACAGAATACGATGTCGAGATAGTCCGTATGCATTCTACGCATACTTTCTTCTACACTCTTCTTTACACGCTCAGAGCTGTAGTCAAAGTCCTTTGCAAAATACCCATATCGTCCAACTTTTGTGGCAATGTAATAAGATGAACGAGGGAATTCCTCCTTGAGTTCATTCAAAGCATCTCCCAAGAGAAACTCGCTGTGTCCATAATATGGAGATGTATCAAAAGTATTGATACCTACGCACGTGTATATATATAACATTAGTAAGGGAAACAAACCATTAAGTAAATGCTTATATTTTGTACCTGACTGCAATGCTTCTCGACATGCTTCTACAGGCCAATGAGCCTCAATCTTATCATAACTACCGGAAAGAGCTCCGGCTCCAAAGGAGATCTCAGAGGGCTTAAACTCGGTTTGGGATACTTGCGTGTACTGTTTTTTTTAATAAAAGGAATTACATGAGCATTACAAGAATAATGTGTGTTTGAGATGCTTACATTGGGCATGGAAAAGCGAGAATGAAATTATATAAAAAAGGGGCAAGAAATGAGTGCTCGGATAAAGAAGATTGTGCGCTACTTAAAAAAACAAAAAACAAAGTAAAAAAGAAAGAAATGGTAAAAGAGAGATGCGCAAAGGTAATAGCGAACAAATTTCTTTTATGTGTTCGTACGTTCGATCTTTAATATTACCCACGGTTAGAAGGTTGTATAGCTGAGACCAAATATAAGCTAAAGAAGTTTCCCAAGGAGGTGGAGATAGGTTTATGATTGTTGAAACTAAAAGAAAAAATATATGGATTTTATGTCCCCTTTATTTACTTTTTTGCCAGTTTATTGAATGGCTTTATATGGGAGTGTTTAGTTTTTTGATCTTGTACATGATTTCTTAATATAACACCTGCTCTGTTACAATACAATTAGAATGAAGATTGCTTTTCTTTTTTACTCTATCCATTATCTGGGAAATTATATTCACACAGCAAAAATAGTAGTAGTTACATGTTAGAATATATTCCCACCTTCTCGGGTTATTCGGAGAATATTTTCAAGTTTTATTAGAGCATCTCCAGCAGTCAGCCAACTTTTATTTTATCTAAAGCCATACGCTGCCACTTTAGCTAAAATAAAAGTCATTTTTCCTAGCAGTTGAAGTTATCTTTTTTTCATAAAATAAAATAAAATAAACTACTGGGAGCATGACCCTTAACTAAAAGCCTAAATACGGGATAAAAGTCGTGATAAAAGTGGCTGCTGGAGATGCTCTTAGATGCCAACACCAGTCCCTCTTTTTAATTAAACTGTATCTTACAGGACACTTGTATATATGTTAGCAAATTCAATGAATAATTCACAAGTCAAAATATTTCTTTTGTTTTGTTCTCTAATGGACTGAATACTCTAGAACTACACGACTGTCGCCAAGCACTTTGGTACTTTCAAACAATTGATATATCTATATACACTGATATATTAAGAGGTTTATCAAGAAGGGATAACATCAACATATGCAAGTTAATTTCGGGTTGTCTCATATACTACAAAGCTCAAGTAAACTTTGGGAGAAAAAAACAAATAAAGAAGTAAGAGGTGGTGCTATTATCCAACAAGACTTTTAGTGTCTTACCAAAATCAACAAGTATAATCATCTACACTGGTAAAGAAAAAAGTGCCTTTAGTGATAAATATTTGCAAGATTTTCCGGTTTCATAGAATGCTAGCTGATATATAGTGCATGCTTTATTTGATGGTAGGACTATTGAACCAGAAGTTTCTTACAATAACCTACAATACAATACATTGTATCAAATATTTACTAGATAAAATGATGTATATCTATAGCTCTTGTAATGGTTAAACAAAACAACATTTAGTAACTCTAAATATATATAATTTTACAGCTTAAATTTGACTTTAGCTAAACTTATTACTGCATATAAAGTGATTTATTCTCTTCTTTACATACTTCTTTTATTGCTCTTTTAATATTTTGCTATAAAGCATCATTTAGTTGTTGGACCGATGTAAAGGTTACTAAATGTACCTAAAAAAAAAGACATATATTAACCATATTAAAAATATGTGCTGGCTAAAACGTAGAAGGTGGTTCAGAATATTACAAAATTCATTCACTAATAGTAAAACTAATAGGCTTAAAATCTGATATTCTATTGCTCAAATGAAATATACGCGCGCGTATGTTTTCTACGAGTACGGAGTTATAAATCCCGCAACCTTCTACCGTGATATAGTGTTAACTCAGATTAACCATTGGTCCGGACCGAAGCCTCGGACCAAATATGCTATGTCTTATGTAATTCTATGTTTTATTTTGTTTTGTTTATCATATTTCTGTTTCGTGACTTGCCCTGTCGTGTCCGAGTGTGTGAGGTCAGTCCCAAAAACGTATTAATTCTCCTTTTATGGTAGATATTCTAATTACAGTCGCGCCATTTTGATGCCATGTACGACCTTAAAAAGATAAAAAGTACATGGTCTCAACTCACAACAATAGTATTATTATTATTTTTTATTTTAAATAATAATAAAATCAGAGTATCTGCTCATTACCCGAATATATATCAAGTATTTAAGAGCACTATAAATAATTAGACTGGCGTATTATTCTGATATCGTAACAATTCTCATACAACAACATAGTATATATGTATACATGCAAACATGAGAGACCCGGTGCTGCTGAGGTTCCGGCCTCCAACTTCATCCTATTTTAATAATAGGTTGACTTTTTGTGTAATATTTATCGGAGACAGTATTTTAAAATGGCATTTTAATTAGACAATAAAATAATCGGCATTATAAAAGAGAGATACACATATCTTGCGTTAATGACACTGATCATATAGAATCCGCTTGTCTTTGCTTATACACACAGTCAAACAAACAGATAGTACAAATGGATATTCTTATCATAAATAAAAAATAAGTGTATAAACAATTACTGTACAGAATAGATGAACTCCTTTCATTAATTTTAGCCTTGTTAATAAAGCATACTGCATCATAAAAGGCCTTTTTATTTTATATATATTATTTTTCTGACATTGAATTAATATATAAACTCTCATTCGGCGATTAACATTTTTAAGCTAAGAGATTTATTTTTAAATGGCCAATAATCTGACTTTATCATTGCTTATTTTTCGCACGGTTGAGTAAAAAAATAAAAACAACAGGGGAACACAAAGATAGCTAAAAAAGAGAAAAAGAAAAAGAAAAGGAATATATTTTTTTTAGAGTACTTAACTTCAAAAACCTTGTTTCGCGTTCTCTTTACCTTTTTTCCATTACACCATGGCATCTACTCATCTAATCAAGGATCCCAGCAGTCTTTCAAACCTCTTGGAGGTTCAAACCACTCATCTTCACCTTGACTGGACAATTGATTTCGAGAACAAGCGAATTTATGGTTCGGTCTTTTTGGATCTCATTGCTCTTGCTGACAATGTCACAAAGGTTGTACTTGACACAAGCTACCTTGACCTGAAGTCTGTTTCTTTGGAAGGACAAGAATTAGAGGTAATTTACAGATGTAATAAATACAAATACATAAAAGTGTGCATAATTATAATCTATATATATGTGTGTACATACAAATATAATTATATTGACGCGTGTATTAAATGTCTTTATTTCTAGTACAATGTTGCTGAGCGTAATGCCAGCCTTGGCTCTGCATTGACCATCCAATTGCCCAAAGCCTTGTCTGAGGGTGACAAGATTAAAATCAAGGTCGAATACTCTACTACCGAAAAGTGCACTGCTGTTCAATATCTGTCGCCAGAGTAAGTGAAAGTAGATTTGGAATCAACTTCCTCCTATTCCTGAAATATATTATTTAATTGTCTGCATATTAATACACTGCTTGTTCTCTAGGCAAACTTTTGGAAAGAAGCATCCCTACTTGTTCTCTCAGTGCCAAGCTGTAAAGTCACCCTCTTTTAAGGAACACAATAATGAATGCAAGATCAAACTTCTCAAACCCTTCAAATTTTCTCTGTTCTTTTTTTTTGTGCGTATGCATATATAGATCCATGCTCGCGCCTTTGCTCCCTGCCAGGATTCTCCTTCAGTCAAACTGACTTACTCTGCTGCCGTGACCTCACCTCTCCAGGTTGTAATGTCCGCTCTCCACACGACTAAGGAAGAGGCTGGTGAAAACACAGTCTATCACTTTGAACAGAACACCACTATTCCTACTTACCTGATTGCGATTGCTGTCGGTAACTTGGCCGGTCGTGAAATTGGCCCTCGTAGCACTGTGTGGTGTGAGCCTGAGATGGTTGATCAAGCTGCTTGGGAATTCGATGACACCGAGCGTTTCATTGCTACCGGAGAAGCATTGTTGACTCCTTATGAGTGGGGACGTTATGATCTTCTTGTCCTCCCTCCTTCTTTCCCTTATGGAGGCATGGAGGTAAGACTCTTGTGAATTTTGTTCAAAGAAAAAAAAAAGAATAATTATGATTATAATAATAAGATCTAGATCTTATTATTATTTTTTATTTTTACTAATCACAAAACGCATGATTTGGCTTTGTAGAATCCTTGTCTCACCTTTGTTACTCCCACTCTGTTGGCTGGCGACAAGAGCGCAGTAGATGTAGTGGCTCACGAAATCTCTCACAGTTGGATGGGTAACCTGGTCACAACTCAGAATTGGGTAAGTTTCTAGTCTTACCTTGCACAATAATTCTCAAGGAAAAGAGGATGGTATCAATCGAGAAGATAATAGAATATTATTATTATTATTATTATTTTGCTTTTGGATGAATGTGTAAAAAGGAAAGTCTGGGCTGACTGAGTGACTGATTTAAATGATCTTGTATATTTTTGGGATAACCTTTAGGAACATTTCTGGCTCAATGAGGGCTGGACTGTTTTCGTGGAACGCAAGATTGCCCAGCGCCTCCATGGTGAGGCCGAGCGCCAGTTTAGTGCAATCATTGGTGAGTAAAGATAAGAGCTTAAATGTCTATGAAATGATATTAATTTTAATATTAATGTTAATATTAATTTTAATATCTTCTGCCTTTTGTCTTGGTATCAAATAGGCTGGAAGGCATTGAAGGAGAGTGTCGAGTTGTTTGGCGAAGATTCCCCTGCAACAATTCTCAAGCCTGACCTAAGCAGTGGAATTGATCCTGATGATTACTTCAGTTCGATTCCCTATGGTATGTGTAGTTTAAGAGATTATTGTAATACCAAAAATAAACATAAACACAGACACAGACACAAACATAAACATTATTAATATTAATATTGATATCAACATCAATACTTTATTCTATTTTGTATGTAATTTTAGAAAAGGGATTCAACTTGCTCTACCATCTTGAAAAGGTTTTGGGCGGACCTGCTGTTTTTGAGCCTTACATGAAGGCTCACGTTGTGCGTTTTGCTTCAAAATCCATCACAACCGAAGACTGGAAGGCACACTTGTACGAGTACATGGGAGAACACCATGGTCAGGAGGCCATTGATAAGCTTGATGCTGTTGATCTTGATAAGTGGATTAACAGTACTGGTATGCCTCCTGTTGACCCTCAGTTTGATACAACCTTGGCTGATGCCTGTTATGATCTTGCTAAGCGTTGGGACGAGGCTAGAGACAGCCACGATCTTACTCAATTCAAGTCCCAGGACATTGCCGAGTTCACTGCAACTCAAAAGAGTAAGTATATGTGATCTAATGTACAGTAATAATAATAATAATAATAATCAATGATTGAATTATTGTAGTTGTATTCTTGGAGAGATTGACTGATTGTGAGCCCTTGCCCCATCATTTGATTGAAAAGATGGACAGTCTGTACGATATGACACCTATCCGTAACGCCGATGTTCGTTTCAGATGGCAACAATTGTGTGTAATGACCAGCTACGAGCCAATCTACCCTGAACTTGTGAAGTTCATCAGTGAACAGGGTCGCATGAAGTTTGTTCGCCCTCTTTACCGCCTTCTTCACCGTGCAAAGAATGGAGCACAGCTGGCTGTTGATACATATCTTGCACACAAGAACTTTTACCACCCAATTGCTGCTCAATTGATTGAGAAGGATATTGGACTTCGTCAGTAAATAAATATACATATGCTACATATCATTGTGCATAGTGTAGTGTATGTATAAAATAATATGATCCTCTTTTTTTTCTTATTAAAAACAAATCGGGTTCCATGAGAAAATGAAGGAATGCAAATGACAAGACTGCTATTTTTCCTATTTAAAATATTTTATATAAAATAACAATAACAATAATGATAATGATAATGATAATGGTATCAATCATGAAAATCGAAAATGATTTTTATTAGGTTGATTTTTCATTGACCACTTTACTGCAACTGCAGCTGTGTGATAATTGGCGATCTTTTCTTCCTCCCCCTTTTTTTATATATCAATCTTATTGTTGTTGTTTTTGACTACTAAAAACAAACGATCGAGAATATATATAGTATGATATTTTGTGTGTGAGAGTATGAATATGAGTGCGAGTGCGAGTGTGTTTGTGTGTGAGAGTGTAAATGGTTAGTTGGCTGTTTTTGTCCAATATCTGGGTTTATCCTTTTGGGGAGGTTTGAGGGACGGGAAGCTTCCGTTTAGTGAAATGACAAGTATTTTCTTTTTTTTCTTTCTTCCTTTGATATACATTCATATATACATATTTAAAATTATATTGTAGTTTATACTATAAAATATGTTATTTTTTTTTACAATACACAATGATCGCACACACACACACACATATACTACACAGTATCTTAAACACAAACTACTGGTGACATATAAAGTATCTCTGTAATGTACAAGCATCACATCTATACAGTATTTGCAAAAAAGTACAGAATTGACCCACCTTTCCCGATCAGTCTTGAGAGCCTAGTAAAATATTTGAAATTCAAGAGAAAGACTAATAAACAAAAGTCATTGAAATGGCATCTCAGTGGATTGGCGAATCATCCATTGCATGATGAAGTTTGGAAAAAGAATGTTCTTCAACACCCTACCATAGAAAATATGTTGGCCGAGTACAAGAAAACGGATGAGAAACTGGTGAAAAAAAAGTCTTCGAGAAATATTATAACGTCTACGAGCACAGAACAGATCGAAGTTGAAGTTAAGAAAGAGGAGGAGGAGGAAGAGGAGATAGTGGATGATGAGAAAGAGGAGGACAAGGACAAGGTTGATCGTGAGGGAGGCGGCGGGTACAGGGCCGTGTACGACAATGAGAGTGCGGATCGCGTGGTCAAAGTTCCTAGAGCCAAAGGTACAAACCAGACAAAGTCGGTCTAGTCAACTAGTCAGTTAGTCAGTCAATGGACGACGTTTTTTTTCTTTGTTTTTTTTTATTACTTAAAAAGAATGCCGTGTTTTATTGCGCTGTACTGTGATATACTGTGCTGTGTTGTGCTGTGCTTTGCTGTGCTGAAAACTCCTGTACTATACTGTATTGTACTTTACTACACAGTGGTGTACTTGGTTTTGATATCTTATATGTACATGTATATTTATTTATTTATTTATGTATTTTTTGGGGTTTTCTTTGTAGGCTTTATGGTGATCGATTCTGATTCTAATTCTGACAAGCCAGAAAATGATGTCCTGAAATTAAGCAAGAGGTCTGAGCCGATCATTCCGCTTAAGACTTTGAGACAGCACAAGTTTGTCGTATTGATCAAGAAGTGACTTGAGTTCTGCGCCATCATGACGAATATATAAATATACATATATATATATATATATAAACATATATATAAAAAAAAAGAACCTTGTTTAGTTCTGTACCTGGGTTTACTTGTAACTTTTTATTTTTTATTTTTTATTTATATTATTTTTACTTTTATTTTTATTAATAAAAAGCTAAAAAAATTAAACCAGATATTCTACTCTTTGGTCTTGACCTCTCTATTTATCTCTTCTGTTTTAACCCTTTAAATTTGCTCATTTTCTTTTTCTTTTTCTTTTTCTTCTTCTTCTACTTCTACTTCACTTACTACTATTGCTTCACATAACACATATCATTCTATCATCTATTACTGATCACCCAGTGATTTTTTTTTAAAGAAAAAAGAAAAAAAATTGTTTATTATTTCACAAATGTCTCCTCAAAAACGATCCCGTAACCCCAACCCCAAGAAGTTCCCATGCTCTGGGTACGGTGATTGTACCATGGTATTTACTCGTGCAGAACACCTCGTTAGACATGTCAGGTAAGCATAATATATTGTTGCTGTTGTCTTTTATATAAAAATAAAAAGAAGTCTAAAAATCTAAATATTAATATAAATGTGCTTTTGTTCTTCTTTTGTTTATTCAATCAATAGAAAACACACAAATGAGGTAAATATAATATGCATATTTATATAATAAGAATAAGAATAATAACTAATAAAAAAATTACAAAAACAATCAATTTGTAGAAACCATTCGAGTGTGTGGTAGAGACATGCGACAAGACATTCAGCCGATTTGACAATATGCTTCAACACGCTCAGACCCACAGACGGGAAATGAGAGAAGAAGAGGAAAATCAGTCGATTGGCGGTGCTGGTGGTGTTCGAGGCGCACGCTCCACCCGCGCCCAGAGTAGACGAAAACGAAGCCTCCAGACCAGTCCAGAGCCGTGTGAGCCGCCCAAGACATCTGTCCAGAACAGGACCCAATCCGATGCGTGTATTGATCACGAGCATCTTACCACCGGCCTACCCTCACCAATGTCCCAGACTTCTCGACAAGAACCTTCACCCACAGGTCGTCGTCTATCTCTTATCGACATCTGCAACCCAGTCAATGTCGATGTCTATTCTCCACATACACCATCAGCCACAACAATGGACGGTCATTATCTATTTCCAGATGTCAATGCATTTGAGTGGTGAGCTTGTTGGGAGTTTAACAACAACTTGTCTCATATCTTTCCTTTCATCTCCCCCTCACTTTTACCCCCCTTTCTCTCCTTCTGTGTGTCCATATATACATATATCAAACCTATCTTCTTGGTTCTATTACTGTCAATAACTAGAACCGTGTACATATTATAACCACTATCTATCTACCTTTTTTCTTGCCTTTCTTTTTGCCTTTTTTCTAAAAAAAAAAAAACTTTTTATATATACGTATATGTGTGTTTATCACCATTTCCCTTTTACTTTCCCAATATATATAAAAAAAAAGTTACTATTATTATTATTATTATAATCATCATCATTATTGTCATCATCATTATTGTCATTATCATTATTATTATTTTGGATCTTTTTGGTATCTTTTGAATAATCAACTGGTAACAATCCAAAATAGCATATCCAATCGTTATTATTATTATTATTATTATTTGTTGAAAAAGAAAAGAAAAAAATCGATGGAAGTACAAGGCAAGATAAGCAATTGATTATACAGAACAGCATTCTGGCCTGTTTCTTAAGTTGAATGGCGTTTGATAACCATCAGAGTTCATTCATTTCCCTACATTAAATCAATATAATATTTTTATATATATATATATGGTGCAGGTACCATACAAATAGTTCAAAAAGGGGAAATCACACCTGATGGTCTTGATTTGACATGTAGATCTAGTGACCTGATTTTTTGTATCTTGCCAAGTCTAACGTAAAATGTCCCACACTCCTTTAAGCCATTCAAAGAAAGTAACAGTAATTGGGCCATCAAATAATGAAATTCCTTCCAATAGATTCTTTACATTCTGTGTGTACCAATGTACTGTAGTTAGATTTAACCACCTCATTGGATTTAGTTCCTTTTTATTTTATTACCCTTCTTTTTTTTTAAAAAAAAAAGTTGCCTAGCAACATATCACAAAATATAAATAATATAAAATAAAATAAAATAAAAAGAAAAATACCGATATTTATTTTTCTCACAAATCTAGGTACCAGATGACTAGATTTTTTTTCTTTCTTTTTTTTTACTTGCTAATTAACAAGCCTAATCAATACAGTAAAATACAGTAAAATAAAATAAAAGCTATTATTATTTCATTAGTTACCATAGATGCAATCTATTTGTATACAGTTCTTCGTGTGTATACATTTTATATCCATAGTAACTGATGAAAAATAGTTCATACATCTTGAGATAAGTATTTCGGAATCTCTAATAAGAATATGGAGATTCTTAGTTTGAGCGATATTTCGGATATTGAATATAAATATTTATAAAGACCAAAATAAAATAAAATTATAAGCCAAAAGCTGTGCAATAGAAACCATGCAGCTTCTTAATTATACCAAAAAGTACGGTAGATTCATTTTCATGACGTAATAAGAACACCTTACAGGGCTCTAATATCATACAAAGACATCTAATTTCTATAATGAAGTTCTTATTAGTTTGGAGCGGTATACCCAGTACAATATTATAAAATATAATATAATATAATGCAATATATTATATATAAATAATAAATAATAATAGCAATAATAATGATATGAGATCTAGCTTGAGTTTAAACCGTTTAAAATAAACATAAAATAAAGATTATGGTATAATGACGCCAGGACCTTTAATGATTTCATCTCTATAGCAACAGTTTAATACCTTTGAGAAAGAAAACAAAGACTGTAATTCAATTCAATTGTGTCTGTTGTCATCCTTTTTTTTTAGTATTGAACACAAGCTTCTGCTTTCGAGAATCCATTAGTATCAAAACCACGAACTACCTCCAAATATAGATAATGTAGATACACATACAAAATGCTTATTTTTTTTATCCAATCAATAATAATTTGCTTACTCTAAAGTTTGTGTCTGTGTCAATATAAACTATAGGTGTGTTTGTGTATGTATTGTGTATTTATGGTTAGATAAATACATACATAGGTATTTTACCATTATCCTTGTAAAATATCGATATTAGAGCATATTAATATACTTACAATTAAACTATTAAAGCATGTCAAACCTACAACAAGATGTACCTACAGTAATCTACTTTACAATCGAATACTCTTAATGTTTGATAGTCGTTCCTGACAATAAAAGTAATATATACATATATACACGTATACACGCATATATTTATTTATATATACAGCCATATCTGTAAATAATCTTGGTCAATAATCGCTATAATAAAAGAAAAAAGAACAAAAAAAGAACAAAGTTAGAATTTACTTGGTTTTTTCTTTATCAGATTTTTCGGTACAAATTTAAAATCAAAATATCCTGTATACTATTTAGTCCACCTTTCTCTCTCTCTCTTTTTAATATACGTGCATTTTTTTTCACCCACACGTCATATAAACATACTTTTATAAGTATAATTTTTTTTTGAAATTATTTGAGTACATTCTTGGAATTATTTAATATAAAATATACACATTTATGTCAAGTTACTATGGATAATTTGTAAAAATGGTGCACATATCTTTTCTTGACATGCTTTTTTAATGTATTAAAGTCCCTGCACAGTTTTGTTTCGACTTTAATATTACTTAAACTTTCTCAGTGGTCTCAAATAAAACAAAGCATTACAATACAATACGAAAAAAGGGGGGATCATACTTTATATATGCGTGTGTATCACTTTTCTATGCTTTTTTTTAAAATAATAATAATAATAATATATAAAATAAAATAAATTCTAATAATTAAGAATAAAGAAAGACGGAAACGAAAAATAAAATAAAAAAAAACGCGTCGACAATGCAGTTCTTTATTTGAACGTGCATTACATGTGAAGGTGGGGACTGATAAAAAATAACTTGTTTATTTTTGCCGTTCCGTTCCGTCCTAACGAAGTCGAAATGGAATAGCGGCAAATGTTGATGTGTATATATGTTTTTATATATAAAAGACATATAAAAGACATATAAAGATGTAATAAATATCATTTCTGTCTAATTATTATTTATTGTAACTCTTTCTCTGTGTGGCTGTGTATGAGAATGAATATAAGTATGAGCATGGGAGAATGTGTGGGGAATAAATGAGCGAGGGAGCGAGGGAGTGAGGGAGTGAATAAGTGAGTGAGGGAGTAAAATAAGTGTGAATGTGTGTACGACAGACTGGTTCCCCAGTCCACACAACCAAGAACCCCGTTCATTATATTTTGAGAATAAGTGTTGATATCAGCAGCCCATCAATCGATCAATCAATCAAGTGAATTGAATTGAATTGAATTGAAATGAATATTTTTATTTATTTATATAGTGACAGGGGGTGGGGGTGGGGGACTTGTATTCATTTTTACACACTTTTTTGATAATTATATAGAAATTCCCAACGTCACAAAGTAAAACATAATAAAGCGCCTATTTAAATGCTTAAAGTAAAATAAAGTTCCGCATTTTATTAATTTAAGTGTCCGAAAGAATCGATCTTTCTTTTATTGTATATATATGCGTCCTTGTTCCTTTGCTTGTTTCTAGATTTTAACTCTTCTTTTCCAATCTAAACAAAAATTCTTGTAAGTCAAACTTACCTAAGCTTTCTGCACTTTCTCACCGTACATTCACTCATTATTTATTAAACTTCATCTACAGTCAAAAATGGGTCGCAACTTTTTCGTCGGTGGTAACTGGAAGATGAACGGCTCCTTGGCCCAGGTCAAGAGCCTCGTTGCTCAGCTCAACAACACCGTCATCCCCAGTGGAACTGGTAAGAATTCACGTGCAACTAAAGATATCCATGTATATCAACGTGTGTAAGTATATATGAGGTGTATTAATCTTTAGCATTATGTGCATTTAAACAGAGGTCGTCATCTCCCCCCCTGCTATCTACATTGACCGTGTTCGTCAGGAATTGAAGCCTGAGATTGGCGTTGCTGCCCAGAACTCCTATACCAAGGCCAGCGGGGCCTTCACTGGTGAGATCAGTCCCGAGCAGCTCAAGGATCTCGGTATTGACTGGGTTATCCTCGGTCACTCTGAGCGTCGCGAGTACTTTAACGAGAGCGACGAGGTGAGATATAAATATCTATAAGGCTACACAAACACGGTGTGCTTACATGTATGTATGTATATTTCTCTTTTTTTGTACTAGTTTGTTGGTGAGAAGACTGCCCATGCTTTGGCTGCCGGTGTCAGCGTTATTGCTTGCATTGGTGAGAAGCTCGAGGAGCGTGAGACCGACAAAACCACTGAGGTTGTTACCCGTCAGTTGAAGGGTATTGCCGACAAGATCAACGACTGGACCAACGTCGTCGTTGCCTACGAGCCTGTTTGGGCTATGTAAGTTTTCTTTTATTCTACAAACACTATATTATATTATACAATACAATACTCTATACACATATACAAACAATGATAAATAAATAGAAAGAGAGAGAGAGAGAGAGAGGAAAATCAGTCATTACTCAAAGGGTTATTGGGGTCAAAAGAAAACATCAATACCCAATATATCGCGTCTCCACCTCCTGTCGATATTTCTCCTAAGCTATGATTATCTACCTTTCCGTTTCTCTGTACACATATTCACATGAATTTTTCTCTTTTTTCTTTTGTGTCTAAAGTGGAACCGGTAAGGTTGCCACCCCCGACCAGGCCCAGGAGGTCCATGCCACTCTCCGCAAGTGGTTGGCTGATAACGTCTCTGAGTCTGTTGCTGAGTCCACCCGCATCATCTACGGTGGCTCCGTCAACGGCTCCAACGCTGCTGAATTGGGTATGTTTTTTTCTTTTGTCTTCTTTTCTTTTCGTATTCGCTTTGCATAAATAAAGTCCCTAGAAAAAGCTATATATATATATATTTGTTTCTCTCTCTAACCTTTTGCTTGTGCGCGTAATTTTCTTTTAAAACATTAGCCAAGAAGGAAGATATCGATGGTTTCTTGGTTGGTGGTGCCTGCTTGAAGCCCGAGTTCTCCAACATCATTGCTGCTCGCTTGTAAATTCTCCACACTTTCTCTTTTCCCCACAAAAATACATATTATTCCTACACGCCAGTAAATAAATAAATAAAACCAAATTACTTGTAAAGAATTTATTGCTTGAATGGTCAAATACGCACATACAGATATAGAGATAGCACTAGAGACTGAATCAGTAGTGACCCTGTCCATTCACAAACCCTTGAATTATCTTGATTATCTTAACTAAAGTTAGTACGTTTGTGGAATACCAAGAAAAAGTGATGTGTACGACCGTTTTCCACAACATGAGCCAGTTTTTTTTCTTTAAAAAAATAAGAAAATGTAAGCCGTGCTTTTGATATATTTCTTTTAATAAGGATAGTCAATTGAGCGGGTACCTCTTGAGTGGAGAGCCTTCCCATATACCCAAAAAATGAGTATCTTTTAAAAAAGAACGATTTGTTCTTAAGAAGAAAATTGCTTTAATTTTGTATAATCTAAAATATCAGATATTTTTATGAGGCATTTCAACATATCTTGACTTGTATTAAAGTATATCATATATCCTAAGCGTGAATTTGTCATCAGAGTAATTAAAAAAAATCATTTTTATCTCTTCTAGCGAACTATATTTATTTAGAAGAGTATACTTTTTTAAAGGATACTCAATTGACCACCCCTGGTGTTCATGCATGAATTTCACAATTCTTTAAAAAACAAAAACATCGTAACTTTGCCTCGAAGCTTTTTATATATAATATTTTAGCTTAGTAAAAGACATTACTATTCCTGTGCGCCTAACTTTGAAACGAACCTGAAACTTATTTTTCAAGTAAACGTATTGTATATTTAACTTAAAATACGCCAAGTAGCTTTTCTACAAAATATTCTATTTATTATCATTACTATTCTGGACAGCATAAAGCCCATAGAATTTATTGGTATATTCGTCTTATCTACATTGTACACGCTCTAAAATCAATCTATATATATATCTTTTGTTAAAAAAAAGTTTCTACCACATTACTTAAAACATCATGAAAAGAAAAACATGTATATCAAAATGCACACACTCCTCAGTTCTGCTTATTCTACTTCTTTTTCTAGCCTTATCTTATCTTGTTTTTTTTTTAAAAAAGAAGCTTTAATACACTTATTAGCCTTTTTTCTGCAACAATACGCTGTCTATTTATATCTATGTATATTTATTTTATTTATTATTAATGGATAAGGTATAGAGCATATTGATGAAGCAGTATAAAACATCTTACAAAGTATGCTATTTTTATTTATTCATTTTTTGGCTGATTTACAAGGCAAATTTCCAAAAGTCCTTACTGTTTTACACATACGCGCAAAAGTGGAGTCAAATATCTAGCTTTCGTATCTCTATTGTGTACAGCACGTTTATTCATTGAAAATAGTATATCTTTTTAACGATAAGCTCTTGGGTTCTCGACAAAGATTCCAACAGAAAGTCGTCTTTTTTTTTTTGGTTTCATAGCTGGTCCAGTTTCTTTTTGGGTATATTTACATTCTATCGGTTATTATGGCTCTTAGATTGTCTCTGTGTACACACACACACACACACACACATCGTTACACACAATTGATACACCAGCAAAATATACAAAAAAAGGAATCTTCCCTTCCTCTCTTTTTCTGTGCGCGCGTGCGCTTCGGTGTGGCATGGAATGGTATGCCTTAGCTTTACATTGCCTGGTCTGGCCTGGCCTGGACTGATCCGATCCGGTCTGGGCTTGTCTTTTCTTATAACTCTCTCTATACCTATATACTGTACAGATACATATAAATATATAAGTATTCAAATATGATATACCGAGTTTCTGTTTTTACACAGACCAAATAAAGTACAGATCGACAGAATCGGTGTCTCTAGTTTACCTAAAGCCTCTTTTTCTTTTGGTTTATCTCTTCATCATTACAGACAAATATAAAAGACTAGGTTATGAATAAATAGACAGATAGACGAAAATGAAGAACGTTTATTTTCATTTTCTTCCATTTTATTTTAGTAATATTTATATATTGTTGTTTGAGTCCGGAAATTGTTTTTATTGCGCGTGGGTTAAAGATTAACAGACAAAAATCTAAAAATGGGATTTCAAGTTATTTTGAGGTCTTTTCTGAACTAATAATAATACTTCTTCTTCTTCTTTGTTACTTCAGATCTACTCATGTACGCACTAGCAGATTGATTTCAGCTATGGTTATGTACCGAAACATCAAAGTATAGAGATACTGGAATACTGAGATACTGAGATACTGAGATATTGAAATTAATATATATATTTATATTAAGCAATAAACATATAATTTCTTATACAAATTATTTGTTTGGAACGTAAGATATATTTAAAAATGGTTGCTTTCTATTTCTAGAAAGAAAATACAGATATAGTATCTATAAAAGGATATTTATGTGCCAATATCCTTGTATAGAAATGTGGAGTATTCTAACATGACTTGAGATGGAAATTGTTACTTTGGTTTAGAAACCAAAAATAGGATCGATTGTCAAATAAAGTTGTTGAATGTGTGTGTTACATAGTATTTCTTTTTTTAAATGTTCTCTGGCGTAGCAGCTTTACACGATTTGCCCAGCTATAATTACTAACAACCAAAACAGAGAAACCCATATGAATAAGCAAAAAGCAAAGAAACAAAAACTAGAGAGTTAGGTATATATATAGGTAAGAAGAATACCAATGGTAAAGACGGTATACCCAGAAGATTGAGGCCTATACATAAAGCTCTTACTCTACAGGCGTATTCACTATAACAAACATATAAATTCACTTCTTTGTAGGTTAAAAAGTGGTGTGTGCGTGGGTAGAAGAAAACTTTATTAAATATATAAATATATTCATCGTCCATAATCTATATTTATTTATTTATTTATTTATTGATTATTATTTTTGGGTGGAGATTATTTTATGACGCAGTTTACATTGTTCAGGCCGATTTGGCCTTTATTCAGCCACCCTTTTCTCTGATAGAAAGCTGGCAATATTCTCTCTCCTCTTTGACCTCCACCCCCCCTCCTCTTTACACCCCCTTATATTTCATTTCATTATCACTCTTCCTTTGCCCTCCCTCCCTTGAATACAGTTTTTTCTTAGATTTATTTTTGTTCAAATTCTTTCCTCATGGACAGCTGTTCTCCAAAACCAATGTCACCCTATTATACTTCTCAACCGTCTTCTGCCTTCCCATGGCCAGCGCCCTCTCCGCCTTCAACAAAGCAAAGTTCACATTCACCTTCGAATGAGGTTTCAATCAAGGAAATACTTGAACGCTACAAGGATGATCCCGAATTATTAAAGCATGTACTGATTGCGAAAGCAGAAGAAGACAAGGTAAGCTTGCTTTTTTTTAAATAAAAAAGTACCTCCGCCAAGAACAAGAGTAACTGAACCAATTCGCTGTACAACTTAGAAACAAGCAGCAGAAGATAACCTCAAAGCAGAACGGGCACGCATTCATCTCCGGCAGATGGATTTAGACTTAATTCGTGAACAAGCAAAGTTAGGGAGATCAATATCTGAAAAGACGCACTATTCATCACATCAAAACCAACACAACAAATACCAAGTTCCTTACCATAGTCTCGCTCCAGTCCAACAGCAAGTTCTTGCACGTATCACCGGCTCAGACACCGCCTATCATCAATCTTCTTATTCTCCATCTTTCATTTCCGAACCTTACCCTCATTCTCCCTCCCCCCCAGTTTATCCTCATTCAGCACATCCTCTTTGCCCAGCACCAATTCCATCATATCATCCATCCTATCATTCCCACAACCATTACCATGCACCTGCTTCTGCCTCTGTCCTGGACAATCGCAGCAACAGTAGTAACAGCAGTCATAATAGTGTCTTTCGTCCAAGTCATTTCCAAGCACGAAACCCTCTACCACCACCCCATCAACCACAGCAGCATCAACATCAACATCAGCATCAACATCAACAACCAAAAACGCAGCCACAACCACACCTACACCCACAGCAAACAGCAGCAATTACAACAGCTACATCACCAGCATCAAAATCAACGGAATCTAAATCAGCGGCACCAATACCAGCAGCCAGTCTTCCAACACTCTCTGTACCAGCATCTCCGTTGGAACAAGAACCTCGTAAACGATCCCGACAATCTATTAGTGGCTCTTCCGGTAATTCAGATAGTCAGGTACATTCATCTGAAAACCGCCAATTGTCCCACTACGAGGTGATGGAAGCCCTCAAGGCAAAGATCCAACGAAGCACAAGGAACAGTAGCACCTCGCCAACCACACCTCACAAGCCTGTGGATAATGATAGAATAAAAAGAGTCCGCTGTTTACCTAAACCTGCTCAGTTGTGCCATGCATTGAACACAGACCAGGCTGCTGCTTGTCCCACTCCATCTCCACGTTCAGCCAAGCCAATATTGCCGCCAATTGACACAAGCGTTGGCCGAATATTGCCTCGTCCCACCCTTCCATCCATATCGCCACTTCCTGACAAACAGCAGCAACAACAACAACAACAACAACTCAGTGTAGATACTATTGTTTGCAGCCCGACTAAAACTAAACCTAAGTCTACTGGCACTACTTCTATTACTACAACTTCTCCAAATACTTCGACTACCCCAACTACTACAAATACCAGCGCCACAAGCGACAGTGCCAATACCAATGACAATGACACTGGTTCTACTACTAAGCTTACCGGTCCCAGTTCAAACTCTACCGCTACCGCTACCGCTCCCGCTACTGCTACCGCTACTCCCAATGTTGATTCTAATTCTAATTCTAATTCTAATTCTAATTCTAATTCTAATGCTTCTACTACTGCCACCTCCACTTCTACAGTCAAGACCAAAGGCAATAGTACTGCTATTTCTCCTCCAATTACCACAAAATCAATCGACACTACAAACAACATTAAAACCATCACATCAGACGCATAACAATAAAGAAATAAACTATATATGTATATATATACATATATGTATATAATATTCATACACAAGCAAAAACAAACAAAAAACAAAAGTTTTTGCTTTTATATAAAGACCCATACACTCTCGGATACATAAATTTATTATAGTTGTTTATATATTAGTCTTGCTTCTTAGCCTCATCTACTACTACAGGAGTGGAGCCACCGAACACGTATTTCATAAACAAACCAAATACAGAAAACAATCCCAAACTAGTTGCAATCCAATGTGTACCCACAAAACTGAACATCTTGTCTACTACAGACACACCCCTGGGAGGGGTAGTAGATGTGCCCTCAAGCTTTCCTGCAGAAACTGCACGAATGGTCTTGAAAAGTTCATTGGGCTTATCGATTGACAGTGTGTTTTTGTCAAGATCAACACTGAAGTATTGCTTTCGGCTGGGGTCCAAAATGATTGCCTTGGGAACCTTGGACGCGGTTAATTTGTAGATTCGATTGGCATAGTTGGCCCACACGCTGGAATCCAATTGAACAAAAAGGGTATTCTTGTCGTTTTCAGTTGCTGTATTCTTCCATTTGGTAGCCAGATCACGGAAAGCCTGGACTGATTCCTCATTACTGTTTTCCATCAAAGCCATAACCACCAAATGATCGCCCTTTAAGAGATCAACCGAATTAGCACGGTTGAGCATGTTAACCAGAGGGAAACGCTCCTTGTTAATCCAGGAGAGTAATTCCAAACGAGAACTCTTGTCAAACAGATTGATTTCGGCCAGGGGAGTATAAAGAACCTCTGTGTCGTCCTTGACAATTAACATAACAGGAACGTCCTCGAGTCCAAGGTTGAATCTTTGAAACGCATAAACATCGCTTGTAACGTAAAATGGGACCTTGCCCATCAATGGAGTGGCCATTTCATTTGTTAATTCCTTGAAAATACACAGAAAAAGAGCTGTTAGATTTTTTTTAATTTGACAATTGAGTATGTGTATGTGTAAATTACTTTGATTGCATGATCTTCTTCTCCGCAAAATGTTACAACCGAGACGGGAGATTCGCCCAACCGTTTGATGAGTCCAGCTTCATTAACGCTCTCAACAGGAGGACTATGTACCACAGTTAGATTGATAAGAATTCCATTAATTAACCTACTAGACTGTTATTATCGAATAGTATTAGTCACTTACCCAGCCATCTTCTTTGCATACTCTTCGATTTTCTCGTGTGTACGATCACCAACATAGTCGTACACGGTATCATGAGCATAACTATCACACGGCTTAATTAAACTTGTCCAATAGTATACACCAAACTTACAACTTGAGCGATGGTAGACCGGATACTCCATTCTCTGAACACAACTCTAAATATGATCAGGGCACAAATTTTGTGTGCTGTTTGTTAATCATTGGCCAAGAACGAAAGCCAAAAAAGAGAGAGGAAAGTCGGTACACAAGAGTGATGATATACAAATATCGATTTGTACTACTGATCTCACCACACTGTCTCTACCTCTTGTGTTCCTCTTACCTTTGTTATCTTCACAGTTGACTTCTCCAACCCCAATATTGCTGTCCTTTAGTCCAACAGCAACTTTATCCCAAATTGGCTCCAGTTTCTGACAATGTCCACACCATGGAGCGTAATACTTGACAAACCAAGGCTTCTCCTCGGAATTGGCCTTGATGGTCTTTAGGGCCTCTGGTGTAATTACCTTGCTAATACTTTACGAAATAAATAAATCAGTAAATAAATAAATTCGGCAGATATACATATACATATATATATATATATATATATAATGTGCACGACATGTATGGTATACTGAATATTTCATAAAGGGCCATATATATATGACATTTTTTTTATTTATGCTTACCCATTTTCAGAAGCGTCTCCTTTACTAGCGAAAGTTTGCTGAGCGAGAGCAAACAGCGTTAACGCGATGAATGAGATTTTCATAACGAATGAAGATGATTAACAAATAAGAAGTAAGCTAGTCATTCAGCATTCCCTTTTTTTACTTTTTATACCATAGAAACACGGTCTCACTTTTTGGGTTTCTATTTCCTTTTTTGGATGAAGGGTATAGATTTTCTACATACAGAACCAAAGAAGAAGAAAAATGAGGAAAAAAAAAATACAGTCCTGTGAACAAAATATGTAATAAAAATAATATTATTAATACTAATATAATTAAATGTAGCTGTTCATACACAAGACTTTGAATATATTTAAATACATACACACACTCATATATATGTATATATAATTGGTTTAAATTGACGATAGTATAAACAACTATCAATGGGTGAGAACTTTCCACGACATTTCGAGTGTACAAATCTGTCAAAGGTAAAAAAAAAAAAAAGTTTATACTCCAATAAGACGACGCCAGCTCTCACTATAGTTTCCTGTGTAAGTTGGTTTAAAAATCACATTGGATCAAAGCATTTAAGCATTTAAGCATCATAACTCTTATATTTTGACACCATTGAACATGTCTTTTGTTGGGTTCTAGATACCAAAGAAAGAAAAAAAAAAGAATAATGAATTGGACTCAAAACGTAAATAAATAAAAGAAGTTAGGCTTTATAACTATAATGCAAGTTAGTGTTAAATCTTGCTATATGTTTGGTGGGGAGTGTGTAATCCAGACGGTCAGCCAAACCACAATCGATCTCAAAGATAATTAGAATCAGCATTAGATCTTTTTATTTTTATTATTATTATTTAGTATTTAGTATTGCATAGACAACTTTTTGCATAAATAATTATCCTTTTACACAACCTCTTTTTTGGTGTATTGTGTATCCAGTTATTCTCTACTTATCACGTTTGATTAATCATAGATTTGATGAGACACACAGAATAAAAACTTGGTCATTGTAATTGTTTTGAATGTTTGTACGTATAATGCATTTTTTCATTTCTATCAATAAATGGAGTTTTTTCTTTCACTCTAGATTTGTTTACAAAGAGATAGATAGAGCGAATGAATGAGGGAGGAAAAGGTAAATGTTCAAAGGTTGTTAAAATCAACAGATTTAAGCATCGTAGGTAGAGGCAGAAACGTTGCCACCGCGACCAGTCCAGTTGGTGTGGTGGTGAGTTCTGTAAATATATAAAGGTTGAGTTAGATTAATGGATAAAGAAATATAAGTATTGTTCCCCTCCTTTTTGCACAAACCCTAAGAGCTGAAAATAATTTTAAAAGTAAGATACTTACCCAGGGGCAGAGAGGAGCTCGTATGTATGGGCACCAAAGTAATCACGCTGGGCCTGGAGAAGGTTAGCGGGGAGCATCTCATGACGGAGACCATCGTAGAAGTTAAGTGCAGTAGAGAGAGCAGGGGTGGGGATACCCAAAATGACAGCCTGTGCGATCACGTTTCTCCAGGCATCCTGGGCCTTGGCAGTAGCTTCCTGGAAGAAGGAATCGAACAACAAGTTCTCGAGCTTGCCGTTGTTGTCGTAAGCCTCTCTGATCTTGCCCAAGAAAGCAGAGCGGATGATGCATCCACCGCGCCACATAAGAGCAATACCGGCGTAGTTCAAGTTCCAGTCGAAGTCAAGAGCAGCCTGACGCATGAGCATGAAACCCTGGGCGTACGAGACAATCTTGGAGGCATACAAGGCCTGACCGAGCTGGTCAATGAAGACCTTCTTGTCACCAGTGAACTTGGCGTTCTTGGGACCCTCGAGGAGCTTGGAAGCGCGGGTACGCTCATCCTTGAGAGAAGACAAGCAGCGGGCGTAGACAGCCTCACCGATCAAGGTGACGGGGATACCGCGATCAAGAGAGTCGATACCGGTCCACTTGCCGGTACCCTTCTGGCCAGCAGTGTCTCTGATCTTCTCAACAAGAGGCTTGCCATCGGTGTCCTTGAACTTGAGAATATCACGGGTGATCTCAATCAAGAAAGAGTCCAACTCGCCCTTGTTCCACTCCTCAAAGACAGTAGCCATCTCATCGTGAGACATACCGAGACCCTCGAGCATGATCTGGTAAACTTCGCAAATCAACTGCATGTCTCCGTACTCTAGAATACGAAATATACGTATCAGTTGGCTGACAATTTCGGTGGTGTATATCGTTGATACACATTTCAACAAAAAAAAAGAAAGATTATCTTGACTTACCAATACCGTTGTGGACCATCTTGACATAGTGACCGGAACCGTTCTCACCAACCCAGTCGCAGCAAGAGGCACCATCGGGAGCCTTGGCAGCAATAGCCTGGAAGATAGGCTTGATGTGCTCCCAAGCGGCAGGGTTGCCACCGGGCATAAGGGAAGGACCGAAACGGGCACCTTCCTCACCACCAGAAACACCGGAACCGACAAAGAGGATACCCTTTGCCTCCAACTCCTTGGTGCGACGGATAGAGTCGGGGAAGTGAGAGTTACCACCATCAATGATGATATCACCCTTCTCGAGGAAAGGCAAGAGCTGATCAATGAAGTTATCAACAGCGGAACCAGCCTTTACGAGGAGCATGACCTTTCTGGGGCGCTTCAACTTGGAGCACAACTCCTCAATAGAGTGAGCACCGACAACGTTGGTACCTTTTTATTTGATTTGCTTGTATTAGCCCTTTTCTTTCTTTCTTTCTCTTTTTGGTTTTTATATTTATAGGTATAGCTGCTATAGTATTGATATTTACCCTTGGCCTCGTTCTCCAAAAAGAGATCGACCTTGGAGGTGGTGCGGTTGTAGGCGCAGACGGTGAAGCCGTGGTCGTTCATGTTGAGAATGAGGTTCTGGCCCTATAGATTCGCGTAAAGATTGGGTCAGGAACAAAGATCGATATATATTTTTATTGTGGTACAGATTCTTGTGATCTTTATTTTAGTGAATGCCTTACCATGACAGCCAAACCAATGAGACCGATATCAGCACTATTGTGAATGAATGAATGTTTAGAATTTACGCGTTTCTATTCCGATAATGGCAGTAAGGCTAATATCTTACACAGCTTGAGACATATTTCTTGTAATGTTTTAAAAAAATAAAGAGAAGAAGAAGAAGAAAATTGTTGGGAAAGGAGCGGGTTTGTATAAGTAACTTAAATAAAGAATCCAAGGGTCGGGTATTATAAAGCAACAGTGGGGCGAATAAAGAGCGATGATGTAACAACCCTGAATAAGATATTCTATTTTCTCTGTAGCCTATAGAAATCATGAATTGTCTCAACAGTCAGCAGAATGTGGGCTTATCGGGGAGAAGCTTGATTTTTTGATTGGGATAATCCGAGTGATCTTAATTTTTTTTATAATACCAACTCTATTCACACATATACAGGCAGTAATTTAATAAATTATATATAAATTATTTATAATTATTTATCTATCTACATAAATATATATAGGCAGAATATTTACAACTGGTCAAATCTTGATTTCTAATCCACAAGCCCCATATTAACCCAACCTCACAAACGTAAAAGAACAATTCTCACACCTTATCCACTTTAATCTAGAGCCAACATTTTAATCTTTAATGTATACAGTCTATTTAAATCTCAGTAAGTCTGGGAGTTTCTTTTCTTTTCTTACTATAGTGACTGTGTATCCAACCCACTACTCTCCGCCCTGGTTTGGGGTAAATACAAAACCAAGTAAAAACACTGTATCAATATACACACATATATATAATTTTATCAATCTAGTTCATTGCGAACAGGGGACTTGTAACAGCATGATTTTGATATGGTCATACAGGTCTACAGATTTTTCTTTTTAAAAAAAAAGATTTTTGGTTAGATCTTAAGTGATGTGTTTCGTATATAAAACACACAAGGGCATAGTGTCAATTCAATTCGATTCAATTCAATTCAACTCAATTTAATTGTTAAAACTATCAATAGAAATAAAGGTACAATTCATGATATTGCTTGCATGATTAAGCTCTTCAGTATCAACCTGGCATTTGACTTTGGGCAAATTTTGACATGCCAGATAACACATTTTACTCGATTAGGTCTTATTTCAATAATAATTATTCTAGAATCTGTTATTCTATCTTATTGGAGGCATTTTCATTTGTTTAGAGGAAAACAGAAAACAATTTGAATGTCGTTTATTGGGCTTCTTCTATTCATAAACTTGCGCATTTGTTTTCAAGAGTGAAAAAAAAAAGTCGATTTATAGCTCCGTGTCACTCTTATATATTATTCCTCCTGTTGCATTGTTTTTTACGCGAGTTTGTGGCGCGTAGCAATGTCACTTTTCCAGTAATGCTGTGGTTTGTTTAATACGCGAGTCTTTTCTTATATAGACAATGGATTATTGCATAATATAAGTTTATTGACTGATTCCATCATTATCAGATCTTTTGTGCTTTACACTCATTAAATCTCAAATATCTTGCCACATAAAAAAAAGGGGGGATCTTTTATCAGATCTATAAAAATCTTATTTTATTGGCATAGTGACAATATACATACATATACACACACATATATATAAGAGTAACTATAATAATGCTTATCAGATCCTTCTGCGTATTACCTCTTAAATATGACTAAGGGTGTTTTTGTAAATATGGAAAGGTAAATGTATATAGCTCTCAAAGATTTGATTTACAAATTCTATAAAGCTCTTTACAAAGATTCATAGTTGACATCTTTTATTTAAACATTTCTCCTATTTTCCGTTTAAATACATGTGTGTATGTGTATGTGTGTAAGCAAAAATGCTTAAATGTTATGTTTCCGGTTACGTCTTTCTTTTTCCGTGCTTCCTCGTTTATTCTTCCGAGACTAAATGGAGACTTTATATATGTGTGACATTTTATTTGGCATAATGATATACTTGTATACACATTCTTCTTCTTCTTCTTCTTCATATTTTTACTATGCTTATAAAGAGTGAAAAAGAATCATAATTGGGTGAATAAACTAATGAATGTCAAGCAATTTAGCCAAGTATTAGTAATATTATTATTCATTCATTAAAACACAGTATAAGCATGCCAAAAGACCAATCTAGACACAAGATTCTGGCTTTGAGGAGATGCGTGTTAAATATTTTTTTTTTAAAAAAAATAAGCAATAATCCCCAGCTTTATTTTATTTTATTATTCCCGAGATATCACCAGTACATTCCGTTTGTCATCTCTTTTTGTTAATTGTTTTCTTAAATATATATATATATTCGCCTAGACATCCAATCTAAACATATACAAGCCGGAAAATAGGCTAATATAGAAAAATGTGCTTATTAGGTCAAGAAACTCTCTGCTTACAAGAAAATATTGTGTCTTTGGGATGTTTAAGCAAAGAAATAAGAAATATGATGGGATAAGGCGGGACCCGTTTAAGATTCACGTAATGAAATGTACGCAACAAGCACGCAATTGAGCACGTACCGGGGATTTAAAAAAATAAATAAAGAAAACAGAATTGACACGATACAGACACGTATATGCCGCCCTCACCACTTGGCATATTATTCTCATTAATTAATCTAAACTAAAGTATATATATATATATATAATAGTAGTACTAATAATAACACACCGCTATTAAATGAATAAGCACAACGTCTTTATGCTAGCATATAGAGACTTGTTAAAATTCAGTACATACATGATACTAAATTATGAGAACAGCGCATAAAAATGGTTTGTCATCACTGCTTACAAAAAAAAAAGTATTTTTGATGGGCAAAATATAGAGCCAATAAAATAAAATAAAATAAAGAAAAAGAAAAAGATTTCCCTAAAAGCAGGTCCGTGACTTACTTTTAGATTAACGAAAATTTCCTTTTTTATTTTTTATCTTATGTGCACATATTCTTTATTGGGACATTTCTTGGATCCTTAGAGAATCTTCAGTAGTGAGAGAACTTTTAATTTATCTAAAGTTAAACACCACTACTTTAGCCAAAGAAAAGATCAATTTTCCCAGCAGTTCGATTTATCTTTTTCTTTAAATAAATTTTGAGAGCGTTTTCATCAATAAATTTTATCTTCTTATTAAATTTAATAGGAAGATAAAAAAAAAGGACTTCGCTTTTATATTTAAAGTGAATTTAGTTGAACTGCTGGGAGGACCAACTTTAGCTATATATTTAAATTTAATGTGAAAGTGCAGATAAAGTGGACTGCTGAAGATGCTCTTATGCTCTGGGTAAAGGTTCGGCATGCTTCAGAAAGAATAACCAGTGGTAACCTAATCCTTCAGATCAAAAGGAGACTTAGGATGGAAGACTTTATAGGTACGCCTTTTAAGAATAGTAGCACTAGGAGCCAGTGCGTCAAGATGCTTGTCGTATACATATACATATGCATGTCAAGCTAAGATCACGTAAAGAAGCCTTTATAACAACAAAGTTCTTTTGTATATTTCCCTTGATAAGTATCCGAGTTAGGATGAGGCAAGTCATTAGAATAGTGTTTAATACTAATACTCTATCATGGGCCATGAAAAAGATTCAAATTACAGTCAAAGCTCGATATAGTGATATGGATGGTGGACAGAAATTTTATCACTATCACTATATCGAGCGTGTTTTTTTCTTACTCCGCGCATTATTTAGTGATATTTCTAATGCCGCTTGGAGTGACTACTGTTTTCTAATAGGATTTATAGTATTTTGTCTAAGAAACTGGGCTTGCTTTAAAATGCTAAATAAAATATATACTACATTTATTTTTTTATAGTTTAAAAATAAACTCAGAGCTCGATATAGTGATACTGGTGGATTCAAATTTTATCACTATCACTATATCGAAAAATAGTGATAATAAGCAGGCACGGGCCCAAATTTTCCAAAAAATTATCACTATATCGCGATTATCACTATATCGAATATCACTATACCGAGCTTTGACTGTAACATTGCAATACACAGGATGAATAAAAAAAAAGATGAAGAAATAAGGACGAAATAAATAAGTAAAGTGATTTTTATATATCAGTTGAATGTATCATTTGGTTGACCAAGAAGCAAGGCAGATAGTATATTTATAGAGCAGTCAATGTAAGCAACATAAAATTGTTGCTGTTGGGTGAATCATTAATATGATTATTATATAATTGCTTAAAAGGCTTGACAGTATTCACATGCTCTATTCATTATAGAGATACAAGATTTCTTTAGAATTATTTTCAAAAACAACAGAATTGGTAAAAGTCCAAATTAATAGGTAAGTCTCTTACCAAAATCGGCTTTTTATTATTATTATTACAGTGTACTCTTAATGAACTATCTATTTTTTCTAATACGCCCAATTATTGACCTTGCAGCGTCATAATACCATAGCTTGTGTCTAGGCGTACGCATTTTTCATAATTGTACAAACAACGTTGTACCTTGGTCTTACAGCTTATTGGCCAAAATACGTAGACTTTGACACTAGTCTTCTCTCTCTTTCTTCAAAAGAGCAATATAGTGCCATTGTCTCTTATTTAAATAAGATGAAATCTGTGCTTGGTTTATAGGATAATAGATACATATTATGCCAAACAGAAAAAACTACTGATATTTTCTTATAAAAATAAAGGGTAAAAAAAAGTGACTTTTTCGAAAAGCTTCCCCTAGAATTGTTTATGAAATTGCCCTTTGTTCCATAGTGCTAGTTGGTTTATTTCGAAAGTGGCTGCTATATAAACACAATGTGATATCTATATATGCCACACAATCACGCTTTATTTATTCTATTTACATTACTCTTCCATCCATTTAAAAGACCCCATCAACACATGACGGCGAGGAAGTCGTCCTGGGGAAGGAGATAGAATGGTCACCTTTTGTTTTTCTTCATCAACATCAGTACTAAAAATGAAATGTTTTATTAGTATTTTATCAAGAAACCATACATTTACACAAAAGTCAATGCTTTTTTTACATACATGTAAATGAAACCTGCAACATTACAATCCAGCAGTTTATTATCCGGAATATCATCCGGAGCGCTCAGAACAGCCATTATAGAATGAAGACACATGTCGAGATTCTCAACCTTGACCATCCTTGTCTCATTCTCAGTGCTATCCATGCCAATAGGTAATGCAGAAGAGGGAGCCATAGCTTCTCCAACTCGCCATATACTGATATCGCTAAAATTCACCAACATCGAGTAAGGAGAAAGTTCGTATTTGGGTGTACCATAAAAGTATTCTTGAATTTTGCTACGTTGGAGCTGGGACTTGAACTGGCGATCACGCTCAACTACACCCCCAGACTTGGTAAGCTTGGCGATCGCAATGTGAGACTTGTCTTTGAGAATTCGGGTCATATCACTGTACAGACGTTCGTGGCCGAGTACAATAACCACATTAACTATGTAATAGTTTCGAATCTTTATTTTTATCCCAAAATTTGTATCAGATCCTACCTTCGAGCTCCCCAATAATATGCTGAATTAATTCGTAGCCAAGATGGTCAATAAGGCCAATAGTATCAATAATGTAACCAGATGTCTTGGTTTCATCATCTGTAGACATACGGCTTTTGACCGCATTGGCTAAACGAGACACAATGAGTTTATAGAGCTTGACGTTCTCACTTGGATTTTCATAGCCATAATAATAAGCTAATGGGATCGTAGGTGCTCCCATATTGGCAGCTGTTGTAGCCGAAGATCCAAATCCTTCTTCAATATCAATGATGTGACTAATACATGTAGCTGTAACCGTTCCTGGCATGGTAATAGATCCCTTTTATATATGCAGTTATTAAGTATCATTTTACAAAATAATCCAGTTTTTATTATTTTTATTATTGCAATGACATGTATATATATATATATTATTTACAGGAAAGCAAGTTAGCGAAAATCGAGTTTATAAATTTACCTCAGAAGTGTCCAAAGATACATAAATCGGCTTTTCGTTCTGGCGCAAGGCATAGCTTACCAATGTTTTGCACAAAGATGTTTTACCAACATCGTGTGGGCCGATCACTAGTACCTATTTGAAGAATAAATTTCAATATGTCAGTCAATTGTTTCTGATATCGCTTTAAACAGCTTACACGTGGACCCCTCTCTCCATCTCGCTTAGCCTTTTCACGCATTTGCTGAATAGCCATATGTGCATTAAAGTAACTAGTCATTGGAGTTTCGTTGGCTGTATATTCTACTAAAAACTGTCCCTTGACGTACGAATACAAAAGTCAAAGAAATAAATTCGTCTTTACATATCTTGGATACTCTATGCTATATCATTATATATGTGTACGAAAAGGATATCTCAATTTTACAGCCATGCCAAGTGTACACAGCAGCCTTTCGACCACTGAATGTATAAGGTACATTCATTGCAAGTTCGGTACCAAAGATTTCGGCAGTACCTTTGAGAAGCTATATAATAATAACATGCAGACAAAGAAATAGATCGCAATGTTGAATTTAAGAAGTAAGAAAAGATTTATTAAGGATTCTTATATTTCTCTGAATCTAAAGAAAAAAACAAAGATTTAGATGTAGGCGTATTACCTTGATTTGGACTTTAACATTGAAATCAACTTCGAATCGAAACTCGTGATCGGGATCCAGGTCAATGGTTCGCGTTGACTGTGCTTCTTCCTAAGGTTGTAAACGATGTTGAGAGATGTGTCATGCAAAAACTTTTTGGACTTTTCAAGGATACTAAGTGCATAGATAATGAAGAGAAATAGAGAGGAAAAAGATTCGACCTACTTTCTCCATTATGGCTTTATCTACAAGAAGACGAAAAAGGAGAGGCTCAAAGAGTCTATTCTACTACGCGACAGTCACACGCTACTGCTTCTACTTCTGAAAGGAAGGTTTCATCTACCATCCGACTTTTAAGCATCTAATTGTTCGTGTCATGAAATCTCTACAGCTATACGTGACAAAGATTTCCAATGCATCTGAAAAAGATAACGGCAAACAACTTGCTGGTCTGTTCTCACTAAACGATCCCCATGTTCAAAATCTTTTCAAAAAATCATTTCACGTGAGCAACACCTTTATTCTCTTTTTAACATGTCTTATTAATAAAGAATACTATAATTGACTGTCTGAATGTAATGCAATTATCTGAAACTATATTCAGGATGATTTATTAGAGAGCATGTGTAAGCGGCTCGATGCTCCTTGGGATGACATGACAGCATCACATATACGAGCGGCCCTATATTTTGATCAAGGAGCTTATCTCGAGGCGTTTGATGCCCAAAAGGAAGTAGTCCAGTAAGTTATTTTTAGATGATACAGGAAAAAATAGAGCTTGTAAGAGGGTAAATATATCGATTTGCTTAACAATATACGTATATATATATATATATTAAATAGATCATTTCAACGGTCCATGCCATCTCTCACTCGCTGGTGTCTGCCTATTCTTTACGTTATCAACAACGATCTCAGAAATATTGCATTAAAAGTAAGACTAGTTCATTGTATATTGAGTATATTTGTTTTTAGAGATAAACCAAGAAATCTATACCTTAGGCAGATGAAGACTCGACATTGACAGGTCAACGAAAGAAATTGGAAGAAGCTGCCAATATTATTAGTAAATCCTTTACCTATTGCATTACGGATAGGCAAGTATAGTATAGTCCAAAAAATAATAATTGTATATTGATGGGTACGGATATCAGAGGAGTGATGAGCAAATCCAAGAAGCATGGAACGTACCGTATGATTGGTATATTATTTCGTATATACTTTAAGGTAAAATGAAAATATTTTTATGTGTAATATATATATATATATATAAACTATAATACATATTTTTCTAACAACTCAAGACTTGCAAAAATCACAGCTCAAACAAAGAAACCTGTGCAAGAACATTCTACGAGCTCTCAAGGCAGCTGAAATGCCACCACTTCAAAGTTTTCCGAAAAGCGATCGAGTTACATTCCGATTCTATCTTGGAAAGTTGTATTTTCTCGAAGAAGATTACCCCAAGGCAAGATTAGCAAGTCGTGATGTCTACTTATAAACTAACAGTATAGTCATATTTCTACTGAATCTTATAACTTTATTAGGCAGAGAATGAGTTAAGTCTGGCCTTTAGAGAATGTACAAAGGCTAGTCAAAGAAATAAAGAGTAAGTTCATTTATATTTCCAGCGACAAATAAATAAATAAATAAAGGCATCGATTTGTATATGTACATAATTATGATTATGTATAGATTAATTCTGGAAATTCTACTGCCAATTCGGTTGATGCATGGAGTGGTACCAAAGCCTGAAGCCTTGGCACGATTCCCTCGTTTAGAACAATTGTATGGGCCTTTGACAGCTGCTATGAAGCGTGGAAATGTCAGGGAGTTTGATGAATGCCTAGTGACATCTGAGCAAGAATTGATTCGACAGGGAACATATCTTGCTGTTGAAAAAGCTCAAAGTATTGCTATGCGACAACTGTTTCGAAAAGTGTATGTACAAATAATAATTGTGTAATTTAATATATAGAATAATTAACATTACACACACACACACACACACACATATATATATATGTAGGTTCATCATATTGGACTCAAACACACGTATACCAATTGCACTCTTCAAAAAAGCACTTGATTTTGTGGGTATGGATGTTGGTGTCGAGGAATGCGAGTGGATGCTGGCCACGATGATTTACAAGGTAAATTTAACATTTCGTCTAACTCTATTATCTAAAAGGTTTATATGTCATAATAGGGATATATCAAAGGGTATCTTTCTCACGAAAAGTCATTCCTTGTGCTCAGTAAAGCTGATCCCTTCCCAGCCATAAACTCTTCTAGTGTATAATGATATTCGCAATCGGTTGTTTTGATTTATTGTTTATTTTAAATAACCCAAGTCTTAATTTATGTTTAATTTCTTATAAAAAATAAAGACACTTGGCTCCTAAATATAATAAGTAGGAATAAGGTAGATTCCACCTTTTTCAACCCATAATATGACTTGTCGATCTCACAATAAAAAAGGTCATATTCAAATCTCTTGGAGCTCTTATCAGCTCCTTAACTATATTTCATAATATATCCTTTATTTTTAAGTATATCAACTTTACTTCTTTTTAATTAATACCCTTGTTAAAACCACGAGGTTTCTATATGGTATTAATGATAACAAAACTTTTTATGTTAGACTTGACCTTTTTTTTTTATAATCTTTAACCTGCTCGTTTATTATATTAGCATTGTTGCTATACAGACACAAGATAATATATTTTAATAAAAGAGAAATGTTTATCTAGCTACTAATACACATTTATTAGAGTAAAGACTGAGCATGACTCTCAATAACCATTTGTTCTCTTAATATGAAATGAAGTAGCAAATGTAATTTATATAAAAAATAGGGTTTGATTTATAGTTTGTTAATGTAGCCGTTTGAGAATTGCTTTGTGATGTGTAATACCCTTTTGTTGAACGTCTTTACTTTTTTGATTGTTAGTGCGCATGTATGTACACCTAAATTCTAGTACCATAAGTGTGTCTCAAACCGTTCGTTTAGTGACAATTGAGCTGATTTGTATTTATTTACGTACATTTTGGGTTTTGGGCCAAGAAGTACATAAGAAAAAGTGAAAGTTAATACTTATTTAAACACCGCGCATAACTTTAGATTTTGTCTCTGCGTTAATGCATGAATTTGCAACTTTTGTATTTGTGCCATTAAGATATTAGCTTGCCCAAGCAACACCAGTATCTAATATCATGTGAATACTTTAGAAATTAGCCACAGAAAATTTCACTCAAGGGTCGGCTATAAATAAGAATACTTTCCTTTCGATTCTATATTTTCTTTTCTTTGCCATACTTCATATACTGGAATGTGATTGGCTGAGATGTCTTGAGAAGGGTAAGCATCCCCACTCGAGTTCATGTAATGGACGTCCTTGATGAATAGAGAACTCAATTTTCTATATTAAAGTAGAATATAATTGTTTTATTTAACAGTTTAAACTTTTCTGAGAAGTATTATATATAATAAAGCAGTGGAATTCAGTACGCAAATATTACGCTGTGTATACAGGGAAAATAAGTAGAAAAGCTAAAAGTCTCAGTTGATTTATCACTGTGAAACAACTATTATATAATCTGATCAAGTAAATTTATACAGAAGTCAACATAATTAAGCAATGTTTTTAATAGTCTTGCATACTAAAAATTCTACAAATCTGATCTACTAAAATTGAAGCTGCTTATTTACCTGAGAACTCTACAAAAAAGCTGCACCACTTTTTTATTATTACTGTATATATAAATTTGTCTTTGTCGATAAATTATAAATAATTTCGTATGTTCTTCGTCTTCTTTTTTAATAAAGTAGGGGTGTGCAATTCACGAACATACTATAATGTATCAGTTAAGGTGAATACAAAGTGCTTTGATCTAGCTGTAAGCTAATTACGTAGGAAATATTAAATAAATTAGAGAAGTTAAACAATACCACCCTTATACTTCCAGTTTTATGTAGAGAATTTTACGTATCACCAAACATAATTAGGTTTTGATCTATCACTTTTAATTCAATTTATTTCAAGGAACCATTCTTGGAAACAGCTAGAACATTCTATATACAGATCTTTTTTTAAAAAAATGTAACATCATAGGCTTGTTAACTTATATAGCTGACTTGAGTATTTTTGTGTATTTAATATTCATAACAGTATTTTATATAGCATAAAACTTTTAACTATATCTTTCTTTTATAGAAAAATAACTTGTGATTACAAGGGTATTCAAGGGCTATATAAAGGCCACAAACTACTTGTATTGTAGGTCAGGGATCGAAGTTATATTCTATAAACATGGGTTTACGTGGGCTGTTTTATTCTCATCTATCACTTGCATGAACTTTTTTATTGTTATTAAATTGAAAGTGAGCACAGAAACGAACAATGGTAAAAATGCCGGTGCTCGGCTCATCACAATAAAAAATAAAGAATATCGCACATTTATCCATAAAAAGCAAGTTACGTAACAGTCAAACGCCAACTATTGGACAGATTTTCGGTTATCTTCACCGTGCACGAAATGATCACGTGTAATATTGATTTTTGCTAAGCGACGTTTCCTTTAGCCCCTTTCTTTATTTATGCTGGGCAGCCATTCTTTTCTAATTATTTTCACCTGTCTAAAAAAGAAGCAACTAGAAAAATGAAGATCTTCGGAATCCTCGTGTTGAAGAAAGATGGCGATAAGGCCCAGATTATTGCATCGCATTATGATTTGTCTAGTTTTGGATACTTCCAACGCGGCAGGTAAATTCAGAGACTTTACCTCATGGGTGCAGAATTGCTTACAGATGAGTAACCTCGGTTATCATTAAAGTGTACAGGAATTTATGAACTTCTCATCGGTTACTATCGGTGAGCGTACCCCACCTGGAACGAGACAAAGCGTCGAGGGAGAAAGTAAGACAGTTGATCACGAAATGCATGTATCACATCAACAAAACTAACTCATGATGATGACCGTGGGTAGACAATGTGGCTCATGTGTATAGCCATCCTCAGGGTATAGTTGGCGTAGTTATGTCAGACAAAGATTATCCTTCACGTGTTGCCTTTTCGTTGTTGAACCGAGTTACGGATGAATTCTTGGTGAAATACCCAAATGCCACTAGACCAGTGAATTACACTGAGCTGGAAGGTTACGTAGTTCGATACCAGGACCCTAAAGAGGCTGATCCTCTAATGAAGGTTCAAAATGAGCTGGATGAGACTACAGAAATTATGGTATATAAGATGATTATTGTTTTCTTTGCATCGATTGTGGAAAGATTAAATGTGGGCATTAAACACTGGTTTCATATAGCGCCAAACCATTGACTCTGTGCTGAAACGCGGTGAAAAGGTAAGAAACCAAAAAGTTATTTATAAATCGTGCCGTTTACTAACGTTGATTTGTCTGTTTTAGTTGGATTCGTTGGTGGATCGTTCAGAGGCATTATCAAGTCAGTCCAAGATGTTCTATAAGACCGCCAAGAAAACCAATGCTTGTTGCGTAGTGATGTAAAAGAGGAAAAACAGAGTACACGGGAGAGGACGATAACGAAAGATAATATTTCATAAGCTTCTTTGACTCCCAGCCCAAAAAAAAATCTCTATACATATATACATATTTCCAATAAACTGGTCAATTTCATTTTATTTTATTTTCACACCCTTTCCCTTTTCTCTTTCTTTCTCTCTTTATTTCATTTTTTTTTAAATTCATTTTTTCTTGCTTATTACAGCAACAGTAGCTATATTAAACAAAGCAAGAAATACAAGATGCCACATGTTGATGTTGCCACTGCTGCTGCTAATGGCGAGTTGAGATGCTTAACAGAACTGATGCGTCATGGGAGTTTGGCAGACACCGCTTCTGCATTAACAGGACTCAGACCATTGCACCGAGCAGCATTTCGAGGCCACTTAGATGTGGTTCAGTACCTCATCAATGAAGCTGGATGTTTAGTGGACAGTGTAGACAAAGAAGGCGAAGTAAGACAACCATCGACGAGTGTCTCATCTCTCATTCGTGCAGACGGCGTTGCTCAAGGCAGCGTGTGCAGGACATTGGCCAGTTGTTGAATACCTGGTACGTGACGCTAAGGCCGACATTCATCACCAAGACCATGATCGATGGACAGTTCTGCATAATGCATGTTCAAGTGGTCATGGTCCTATGGTTGAATTTCTAGTGGAACAAGGTGCAGATGTGAACATGCCTAATCGTATGGGCCACACTCCATTAAGTATGTTTTGTCAAGCACAGTACAGTAATTACAACTCATCATAAAATATGAACGTATAGTTAATGCTGCTTCGAGAGGACATGTATCTATCGTGGAATATCTATTGGAAAAGGCCAAGGCCAACCCTTTATGGGTGAATTTATCGGGGGAAACTGCGTACGATGCCGCAGCTACCGCGCGTCATTTTTATCTTTGTGAGATACTTGAGCAAAATGAGAAGGCGTGGTGGACAGGAAGTCGAGGTAGTACTGCTGATTTTGATGTCCGTCAGTGGCATCGTCTGGTGCCTGTGATTCTTTATGAGAACCAGCGAGCCCAGGCCTCCTTGATGGGTTTAGGGAAGCCTGTGTTTTCAGTGACTGCTCTTCACCGGTTAGATAAGTGTGGACCATGGAGTGTGCCGGGTGGTGGGCCGCAGAGTCCCGGACAAGTGGAGGTTCCGACCGGGTGGCGATGGGCAATGTCTGAGTGGGAAATAGATCACTCAAAGCCGCGGATGGATAAAGAGGGATGGGAGTACGCCCGGACATTTGGTGCCTCTGATTGGTCAGCACAAGAACCGTCGTCAGGAACGCACTGGGTCAGACGGCGACGGTGGGCACGCATGATGAACCGTCTGGATATGGATCGACAAGACTCAGAGTCAGAGGAATGTCCCCAGTCTGTGTCAAATCCCCTGAGATGGCAGAAAGATGACGAAGTTCTAGAGTGCTGTTGCTGTGAGCGAGTGTTTGGATTCTTTCTCCGGAAACACCATTGTCGGCAAGTATTGAGTATTGAGTATTGAGTATCAAGTATATATCTTTATATAGAAGTATATACTTTGATACAAAAATAGATATTCAAAGTGACTAATATTCAGTTTTTATTGTAGCCAATGTGGGATGATCGTGTGTGACAAATGTTCTGGACAAAGGTGGCCTTTGAGCAGCCCTGTGCAGGTCCCCTATACTACGACAGTCAACAAGACACAGCAAGGGGGGTTGCAACGTGTGTGTGATCGATGCGCTTTGAAGCGTCAAAGTGTTTTAGTGGATTGTCCGGTGTGTGAAAATTCATTGTATGGTCTTGGAAAAGAGGAGAGAGAAAGACACTTGGAAGAGTGTTTGTCTACTGCCCAGAGACCTAAGCCTGGAGAGCATGTAGGCAAGTCTTTTTAAAACTGATAAAGTGGGAAACAACTAAATATCGCTGGCCTATATAGTCTACACACTTGAAGGCGGCCCATTGGTGGGAGAAGAGTGCGTGATCTGTCTAGAGGAGTTTGCAGTGGGTAAATAAGCTACTAAATGCGTCAATGAGACATGCGATAAACCGTTCCTGTTATTTTAGGTGACACAGTAGCCAGGCTGAGTTGCTTGTGTTCCTATCATCGGCACTGCATTCACGACTGGTTTGCTATTACGCTCGCCTGCCCAGTCCACGCCTAATCTCCAAATGGCTCAGAGTGAGGGCATTCCCACCAAATTGTATAGCATTTATGCCTATTGCGTCACAAACCAAACCAAACCAAACCAAACCAACTTGCACAATTCCCCAATTTTCTCACTTCTCCTTTGCCTTTTCTCTCTTTCTCTCTTTCTCTTTCTCTCTTTGTTTGTTCTTTGTTTTGTACAATAGTATCCTTATCACTTGGCAAATGATGACTGCCTTTCAGTAGGTCATCTCTGCTCAACCGAATCTCATCAAAAGAAAACCAATTAGCTTGCTCCTTTACAAGCCTACCTGATCGCCTTCCCTTCTAAGCCATGTCCGTTTCCCCCATCGTCTCTTGCCCGTTGGCACATCTCTGAATCCCACACCTAATTATTTCTCCTTTTTTTTTTATCAATGACTCCCGACGTCTCTGTTCTGATGCTCGACCGGATCATCGACGGCAATTACCAACTACTCGAGGAACTCGGTCGAGGCTCCTACGGCTGTCTCTTCCTCGGACAATCTCTCGACACAAACCAATACGTAGCCGTCAAGGTCCTCAGCAAAGCTGGCCTCGATACAAACCAACGCACTCTCCAACAACTCGAAATCGATATTCAATCATCCCTACACCACCCCTATTTGCTTTCTATTCACCAAACAACCCAAGACGAAGACCATATATTTATGGTCATGGAACTCTGTGATCAAGGTGACCTCTTTGACTTCGTTATCCGCGACCCACTTAAGCTCTGTGACCAAAGCCTCGTCAAGACTCTCTTTGGCCAGATACTCCAAGCCATCGAACACATGCACTCCAACCACGTATACCACCGTGACATCAAGCTTGAAAATATTCTCCTCAAGTGTGATGATGATGATCAATATACCTGCAAAGTAGCCGACTTCGGTCTTGCTACCCGCGAGCGCCTTTCTCTTGAGTTTGGGTGTGGCTCAACCACCTACCTCGGACCCGAACACTTTGACGATGAAGATAATGGCGACGACGAAAAAGAAGCAGAAGAGTTTGTCCCTTATGATGCAGCTGCTTCTGACTGCTGGAGTCTCGGCATTCTCTTGATTGCTTTAATGTTTGGACGCAACCCATGGGAAGAAGCAACCACAATGGATCCATCCTATGCAGAATATATTCGCGACCCGCTCATGCTTGCCCATCTCTTCCCCACGCTATCTAACGGTTGCCTTGACTTTCTTATTTCTGTTCTCGACGTCCGACCTCAAGACCGTCCCTCAGTCAGTGCGATGCGAGCGGCATTTATGGCTCTTGAGAATCTATTCGAAGAAGAAGAGTTTGATGATGACCTTGCGCCAATCACAATTCCCACTGCCCTCAAGACCCAAAAAGCAAGCTTTGACTCGGCTATCTTCAGCGGTGGTGCAGGCTATGCGAGTGGATCGTGGTCCGACATGGTCGACGAGGAGAGCGAACCCCTGGACTATGATCCCTTTGAGAGTCCACTCGCCAGCTCATGTACCTCACTTGAGGAAGACACCGACATGTTTGTCCACAGCCAAGAAAAGGAGTCTTGGTGGCTATGATCAAGATGCCATACGACACAATTCCCTTTATGATACACACAGCCCTTTTTTTTTTACCCTTCCCATTCCTTCAACACCCCCTCCCCACTCATTCCTAAATCTTTTGTATTGATCCCATTCGTCAACAATAAAGAAAAGAAAGAAAGAAACCTATTGTAAAATAAGTTTATTAAGTGTGTAGTGTATAGTTGTAGTTGTAGTTGTAGTATATAAGTATAGTGTACATGTATGAATTATTGAGACAGTTTATCTTCATAACCACTCCACCGTCTAAGGCGTTCGCCGTATATGGCCAAAATGGCCAATAATGCCATGGAAAACACCGTCAAGCCAGCCAAAAATACAGTTGTCCAACCTGGACCAATGGCAGCTACCATAGGATTAGCAGCCAAGGTGAGAATACAAGCCATGGCTTGGCGAAAGAGGGTTGCAGCAGCAGAGGCAGATGCACCTTGACCCGGCATGGCATCTACGAGATAAGCAGACGTGGCAGCCATGACCTGATTCATTCCGAATGTCTGGATACCAAAGGCCACGATACAGGCCCACACAGAACCCTTTGTCTGGGCCATCCAACCAAATAGTAATTGTCCGAGTGGAACCAATATAAATCCACCTGGCCAACAATTAGCCGTCAACCTATCCTCAACCACTGCACGCCCACCACGACGAGCTCTTGACCGTAACAATAGCCGATCGGATAAATAACCTCCCACAACGGAGCCAATTGCATTTCCCAATCCAGCTCCAGTATAACTGAGACCTGTATTTGACGTTTAATATACAAAGAGTAAACTATACTGTTTGGTAGCCTCAATATACCTGTTTGCCATGCAGAAAATCCATAATTGTCTTCGTAGATCTTTGGAATAATCGTCTCAATTGCAAACATTCCGCCAAACATGACACCGCCTGTAAAAGAAGCAATGAAGACAAATGGATGCCTAAGCATGAGGAACGGATCTATTGGGTTGAGGGCCTTTTTTCTGGGTTGATCCTCTACAAGGGTCGCACTCTTTGCATCCGATACTTCATTCACATGATCAAATTTGGAATTGTCTCTGTAGGTCTCATTCAAAAAGAGAAAGCAAAGGATAAATATCACCACGCCTAGTGCAAAACAGAACCAGAAGGTTGCACGCCATGATACTGCACTCATACTCAAGAATCCGCCTACAATGGGACCTAATGTTATATAAAACAGTTGTTGTTTGTTAGTAAGCTGAACTTTTATTTCTCTAATGATTGCCGGTTTTTTTGTAATTTACCTAACAGAGGACCGATAAACATGCCAAAGAAATATTTTCCAAAGGCTGAACCACGCTCTTCCAATTCATACAAATCCTAAGTTTGAATGATTTTCTTGTTTGAGACCCAAAATACGCCATCACATAACAAATCTGGTCTCCCTATTTCTTTTTTAAATAATTATAGATATATAAAAACTTTTTTTGATCCAAGATCAACTTACTGCAATCATTCCTAAGAAATAAAAAGGTGTGGAGCCGTTTATATATTTATCTTATGAAATTGGAGTGGTATCGTACCTGCTCCTACGGCCTGTCCACAAGAGGCACCGACAGCCTGTAAACATCTCAGGACAACTAGAGCCCAAATATTCTTCACGAAAGCCATCCCCAATGACGCAGCTGAAAATATGACCATAGATAATAAGTTTGGTAATCGACGGATATGGTAGTGATCCGAAGCCGAAGCCCAAAACACAGGCGCAATTCCTGTAAATAGCGCAAACAAAGCTGCTGTCAATGTGATTGCAATCGGCGGCGCATTCAGATCGGCCGTGATCCCCGGAACACCTAATAGATTCTTTATAAGTATGCAAACCCCTTTACCCTTTTTTTTATAATACACACAAAGAAAAGCATAGTTATAATTAGATTTTTAGTGCGTATAGTATACCTGGAAAATATATTAAACTAGCAAATCCTGCTGACGTTGCCAGAAGTGAGATGCAGACCAGATTAATATTCTTCTTTCTGTCTGACATGACACGTGGGTCAATGTCGACAGTTGGATGAGGCACAAATCGCCAATTGAGATGTGTGGTTGTCATTACAATATTATAAAAATAAACAATCAATATTTTCTATTGCTTAGAAAAAAGAGAGTCAAAGGACTATAAATATATAAAGATATATAAAGATATATATATATATATATCTGCTTCTGTATGTATGTATGTGTGTATGTGTATGGATACGTATTAAAAGAAAGATAGATAAGGAGAAAGAGAGAGAGAGATGCAGAGATAGACTAAATAAGGACAATTCTACCACTGTTGTCTGAGTAAGCGATGAAAAAAAAAGTTTGTTCTGTACATATATTTCCATCCCAATAAACACAAATACACAAACGTACACAAACGTATACACAAGATAGAGGGATTTATTATATATATATAGATAGAAGGAAATCAGTCTTAATCTTCATTTTGTTGTGCTGCCATGGCTTCCCTGGCTTCTGTTAACTCATCTTGCATCAACTTCTTACGCATTAGAGCTTCTTTGGCAAGATCTAGACGTTTATGTTGTTTGAACAACACAGCCAATTGCCGATCACGATCCATACGAGTCTGGACAGCAGAAAGATATGTATCCATGTCAAGCATTCCAGTCTGAACTTGTATAATTAGCATGTTCATCTTAATTTCCAATTGCTGTTTGCGATCCAACAAAGCCTCAGTAGACTGTTTGGCTAATGCAGCATCAACCTTTTTAATTTCAAAGTCAAGAACCATGTTGGATACAAGACTTTCCGGACTACAAAAAAAATAATTTGGTTAATGATTAATTATACTCGTCTCTGACTTACTTGTTTAGTTCTTCAATCGCTTCTTCCAAAGCAGCGTCTGCGGTTTCATTTACTGGTAATGACACAGGAGCAGGAGCAGGAGCAGGAGCAGGAGTAGGGGTAGCGGTAGGGGTAGCTAGAGGCGAAGAAGGGGTTGGAGTTGTAAGAATAGCGGCAGCAGCAATTGATGTAGGTGTAGTTGTAGGCATTGCAGCAGTCGCACTGGCCGTAACCGATGAAACAGTTGCACTTGCATCACCAGAAATCAACCCTGCTGATGCTAAGAGCTGTAATGTTGGGTGACGGAACCCGTCGATTACTAGCCATTGCTCTGATCGTTTAACAATATCACTCCCAGCCAAAGGTTCCTTGACGTTCACTTCAATATGAATCTGAGCCCCTGTCTTCTTACGTCCTCCATCTAGAATCTAACCGACAATAAAAGTATAGATCAAAATACATTAAAACAAACAGAAAGAGCAGAATCAACAACAGCAACCCATTAAGGAGTAGTACATACGTCAAAGTTACCGGCAATAGATGTCTTTGTCAAAAGGCGTTCCATAGGCAATAAAACCTTGCCAAGTGATACTGGTCGACGGAACAAGCCATAGCTGTACTTGTTGTGCCAGACTTCAATAGCAAGTTTCTTGCGTTGAAGATATCGTAAAAATGCCCGGTTTGTACGGCTGATGGGAATTTGGACACTAAACTCAAAGTCGGGTTCGGTACCCCTTTGAACAGCTGTTTCACCTTTACCCAATGCAGCCTGAGCAGAGTTCTCAGGTGGCCAGCCACCAAAATCATAAGTCACAAAAGGCTCCAGGACAGAGGCTACACCCAATGTCTGTAGGCCTGTAGCCTTTCCAATCTTGAACTCCATTTGACTAGCTGGGACATGGTCCAGACTGTTCTTATAAGTGTATTGGACTTGTTCAAAATGGAAAGGAGGTGTAGAAGTAGCTGAGCTCAAAATCACTTGATCGGCAGCAAGTGCTTTCTCAAGCTGATGAAAAACGTTCGATTCACACAGTAATTTGGAAGAAGTTGTAGGTGTGGCGTGTTGGGATGCAAGGTTGTGGCACACATCGATTTGATAATTGAGTTGGGCCTCCAATTGTTCCATATTGACAAGACTGTTGGTTACTGGATTGAGAGTACGGATCTTACCATCTCCGAGATCCATGTTGGGTTCAGGTACAATTGATTTTTCAAGTGCATCAAGATCACCAACTTTTCCTTGGTTTAGCTGAACACCAATACGCAATAGATCTTTGGATTGTCGAATCATTTCTTTGGCTACTGACATATTACCTATTTTTTTGTAATGTAATCCAGCCTCCTTGTATTCCTTTTGACGTTTAACGACCAATGCTAACAATTGGCGTGTTTTGGCCTGAATATTATCTTGTGATTCATTTTCTTGTTTGGGTGATTGTGTGGGTAAAGAGTTGGATGTAACTGGAGTACTTTCTTTTCGAGGAGCAATTGGTAGCTCATGTACCTCTTGTGGTTTCTGTGATTCCTGTATATCTTTTGGTGGAGGTGGTGGAGGTGGTGGTGAAGTAGACTTTGGTGGTTGCGAGGCCGTTGATATAGTAGTGGGTTTGGAAATATCAGGATATTTTTGTGCTAATGCCTTGGATTGGCGAAGATAAGTAATGGCCAATTGCTTATCTCCTTGCTTTTTTGCTGCAAGAGCTAATTTATGGTAATGTGATATTTGTTGTTGAACCTCATCTGCCGACATTACTGAATCCTTGATATCTGAAGCATGATCTTCTGGTGTAGGATCACTATTTCCCATTGGTATATCTTCTTGATCACCTCCAGACAGCCGTGATAACTCACTCTATATTTCATAATACTTCTTTTTTTAGTCTATTTGAATAGAAATTGGCAGTTACTTACAAGTAAATGCGGGTCATGAAGATCGTTTTCATCAAATTCTACTTCAATCTCCTTTTCATCCGCAAGAGCGGCATAAGCATCAATATCGACATGCATATCCACCGTTCGTTTGGGTGTATTTTTCACTTGTTTTGGTCCTCCACTCAAGGATGACAGGGCCTGAAGTTGATTCTAAAGAAATGTATATATATGTATATGCATATAATGTGTGTACGTGGGTGTATATGTTTATGTGTATGTTTATTATAAAAGCTTATTGTTACTGTTGGCGTTATCGTTGTGTAAAATGTCTTGATTTTATTTATTTATTTGCTTTTATTTTATGTTATAATTAAGTACACATTCTTACAAGTAATTCTGGGTCATCCAGGTCACTGTCCGCAATTTCAGTGTCATCAATGGATCCATTCAGTAATGCTTCGATGTCCTGGTCAGACATAGTAGTCTTGGATTTTTTTTGAGTAGAAGCTCCAAACATTTAATCCAACAATGTAATAATAGTAATAAAAGATAAAATGGTGTTGACAAAAAGAATAAACAAAAGAAAAATATTAGGCAGGTATGAAAAAATAAAGGCTTCTAAATCATCCAAGCTTACAAAGTATGGCACCAAAATCATTTTAAAAAATAAAATAAAATATACGTATATATATAAATATAAAGTCCGCCTGTTCTCTCTGCCTTGCCCTCACTACCCAGCTTTCTGTTCTTTCGTCAATGACTGTCTTTTTGATACCCAAAAAGGTCACACGGAAGCATTTTATATGTATAAAAAAAAGCTTGAAATATATTTCGATTTTACAAATATACTAGTTATCTATATCTATACATACACAAATATATATAGAATATTTCACCATGTCTGATACAGAGCAAGTAGAAACAGGCCCTGAACAAAAGCGGATCTACATTGGAGGACTTCATGGCACAATTACAGAAGATTCAATTCGAGATCGATTTCAAAAATTTGGCTCAGTGAGCGGTGTATCACTGGCCAAAGACGATGAAGGTAGCAAGCGAATATAAACAAATTAATGTGAATTTTTGTGTACAATCAAAAATATTTATTATAATTATAATTATAATTATAATTATTATTTTATATTTAAAATAACTACTAGGAAAATGTAGAGGATTCGGACACATGACAATCACAACAACTCCAAAGGATTGGTCTTCATGTAAGATTTTCAACCTTGTCATACCATCAAATATTTGACATTTAATAAAAAAAATGGTAATAATCTAAACTATACGATCATTGCAAATTAATAGGCATAGCTAGTTATAATGGTGCCAAATGGAAAGGTCAGATCTTACGCATTGAGGATGCAAAAGAAGATTATCTCGAGAAGAAACGTAAAGAAGAAGCCAAGTTGATTGAACGAGAAGAAAAAAAACGCAAACGATTGGCACGATGGAACGATAGTGATGGATTCATGGCCCGAGACATGACACCTGTCACAGATAGTAATATGAAAGATCGCAAGGGATGGAAACGTGGAAGATATGGAAGAGCAATTGCTGTTATGCGTCTTCGTAAAGATAATGGCACTACTGTAAGAAATACGTGCATTTTTTTTAAATATATATATATATATATTGGTGGATTATTGATCTTCGGAAGGAATGCATAGTTTGTGTTTGAGCCAACTCATTATAAGAACAATTTGACAAAATTGTATAATATTGGTGGCCGTATGAAATCGTTGCGCGAATTACCGACACGTTATGAAGATTATGAAGATGAAGATGACCGATTTGATACTCAATTAACACAACACGTTTCAGACGACGAAAAGAATGATGATGATGATGATGATAATGAAATTAAAGATGATGATGTAGTGATGTCGACCGAAGATAAGTTGGCAGCCAAGGTATGTAAACAGTATATTAAGAAATAAGCAGTAAATTGATGAATTTAATTTAATTTAATTTAATTTAATTTAATTTAATTTAATTTATATAAATCTACTTTTAATTTTTATCTCTGTAGCATGAAAAAGACAATGCAAAACGTTTGGCTGCTTTAGAAAGAAAAGAAGAAGAACAAAAGGCACGTAACGAAATGATGAAGCGATCGTTTACTGAGATGGAAGAGACAAAGCGTACGCAGCATGTTAGCTTTGAGAGTGATACCGAAGAAAGCGAGCATGTACCTGTTAAGACTGTTGTGGAAAAGGTTGAGGCAAAAGACTCCAAGTGGATGTTTGATTCCGACGACTCTGACGAAGAAATGGGTAAATAAAGAAAGATAGAAATAAGCATATATCGTAGTGTATAAAAGGGTGTGATAGCTCCAAAAAATATTAATCTTTTATTTCATTATACTTAGAAATCAATATCAATCCTGTATTGGAGGGCGCCAATGGACAACAGAGACTGGCTCTCCAGAGTAAATTCAAGGGAGATGAGAGATTCAAGCTTGGAGAAGACTTTATTGACGATGTTGACGCGGAGAAAGAAGAAGGGGATGGAATTACAAAGGAGCTTACCGAGGAAAAAGATCAAGCTCTCGATATCCTAAAGTCCATGTTTGGTGAACAGGGTGTTGTGAAACAGTATGTAAAAAATCAAGACTTCTATCAAATGTGTACATTTCTTATTTTTTATTTTTATTTTTGCACTCTAGGAAACAAGTCAGCCAATGGTCCAACAGTGCTCGATTCGATCCCGATGCAGAGGATGCTGAAGAGTATATTGTCAAGCCTAAAATAGAAGACAAAGAAGATGATATTAGAAAAAAAAACGAGGATGATGATGACGACGATGATTCGGAGGATGAGGATGACAAAGATCAAGTTGAAGACTATGACGAAGGTTTGTTTAATTTTGACTATTTTATTCAGGGCATCGTTATATTAACGTGATGTTACGATTGGCTAACCGATAAATGACTTGCACCTAACAATAGATCATGTAAGGAGACCCCAGAGTGCCATGCCAGTTGTCTCGAAAGAGAAGCACTTTGAAGTCAATGTTAATTTAAAGCCTCTATTCAGTGCACAAGGTATTTTTAGTTCTTTAATTTCCCAAAAATATGTATATTATACATTAAGAACGATTATTGTAAATTTGCTTGTAGCTGAACCTTTCAAGATGTTTGGACAAGAAAGTGAGGAAGAAGTGGAAGAGGACGAGGATGAGGAAAGAGAACTTGACGAGTCTCATTTGGTGCTAAAGAACAAGAATGCAAGTACCTCTTTCTACTCTGTTTTACTTTATTTTTAGATTAGAAAGATATTATTTCTGAATATTGCCTAATGGGATAAAATTAACTTAGGCGCCCGTTGGTCTTGGTCTGTTCTTCTTTTTCCACATGGACGACCCTGGATTAATGAAAAAGTAAACGAACGTGGCAAAATTTTGAATTTTAAATGACACATATATGAACTTTATTAGGAGCTGTCTGACATACGATACACACGGCTTATTCCAGCAACAAGAAGACAGGTAAGACCGAGACTAAGTCTTACTTTATTCAAAAGGAATATCAATTTAATATTAATATTAATATTAAACTGGTAATTTTATTGTATTTACTTATTTATTTATGCAGAAAAGAGCATCTCATCAAATGGAGAACTGCACGAAGCGAGGTTGGGCTGGTGCTCAAGAAACGTCAAAAGGAAGCCGTAAAGAAACAAAAAAAGCAGGTTGCACAAAGAATCGTGTAATAAAAATATTAATAAAATTAAAAAGAAAAAACACACACACACACACACACATATATATATATATATATATATACTACCTACAAATAGTGAAAATGAGGGGAGGATAAACAGGGGAAGTAAAAAGGGACCGTGAGTGAAAAGTAGATCTTCGCTCACTCATTTACTCTAGTTCGGAGTTTGACCTTTTTTATATAGGTTTCAGAGATGAGCTGAGCTTGTTCCATGTGTGTATATTGGCAAATGCTCGCACAACGAGCGCAAATTCCCTTTGGGTGATTTACCGAACTATCAAATTCGTTTAATATTATGCTTGTTTATTGTGATTTAACACAAACAGATGGCTTAATTTACAGTATTTGGCAACTATGGCCCCAACTCCTTGGCTATAAAGATATCATACAACTGGAGTATAAATACCTACACAACATCCTTGATTCAAAATAATAATCATCATCATCTCACACTATCTTACCACAACCAACACAAACACCAAAGCTAAAACCAAAAATGCAAATCCAAAAGAAAACCAAGTCTTCCTCCAGATCGTCTTCCAAGACAAAGTCAAACACAAATCCTAATCAGCCTATCAAGATTCCTCGCCCGATGAACTGCTTCTTGGCTTACCGTCTTGCAAAACAAAGTGAGATCGTCGCTCGTTGTCCCGGTGCAAACCATCGGGACATTTCCAAGATCATTGCTAAATGGTGGAAAGAAGCAACCGAAGAAGAGAAGGCACCCTTTAGAGAACAAGCCGTCCAAGCCAAGGTTGAACACGCCAAAATGTAAATATAACATGCCAATAAATGTGCTCTTGACTTATTTAAACCTTGCAAATCTAGGTATCCAAACTACAAGTACACTCCCCAAAAGAGACCCAACCGGGTGACACGTAAATACACTATGCGCCCCAAGGATCAGTTCACTTCCAAGATCGCCAAAAACAACCGGATCATGGAACGTCTCTTTGAAGACCGCACCAACCTTGAAAATTTCGATACAACTGTGGACAATATCCCTCTAGAAGAAATTAGAGATGTAAAACAGGGAAACAGAGGCTATAATCCCGTCTTCATTGTACAGCAAGTCTCTCCACCTGTTGTATATTCTAACACATCTCTTTGGCAATCTTCTCAATTATCGCATAACTATAACGCACCCTGTAATTCCTCGTGCTCTCCTCGATTTTACGGCATGCCTTATTCGCCGTATTCTGACGGAATATCGTCAATTGTGCTCTCTGACTCCACCACAAGCTATGTTTCTTCGGTATCTACACCCCAGGCTCATGAATCGACAGGATATTATTCGCCTTCAATGGATTACTTTTCCGAAGGCTCTGTAATCAATAGCCATGTAAACTATACACCTAGTCAGACATGTATTGATCCCCGTCTTCTATGCAGCTCTGTACTCAGATCCGAACGTTCCGGATATAACGCCCAATCTACCCTCTCACATTGGTAAAAGAGAAACGAGACACCCCACCCACCCACATACATGATACACAAAAATACCTATTTCTCTATTTCTTTTTATTTCGTTGCATTATCATACACCTCTTCTACCCTTTTCTTCTTCTTCTTCACTTTCATTCTCTATCATTTTTCTTTACATTACCATACTTTCACTTTCATTATATTTTCAAGAGAAAATAATCACTTTCATCTTCATACACATGTTTTAATTTTCACTTTAAGAACAATTACTTTTCTTCACACTAAGCATACATTTTCCATTTCATTGTTACATGTCCAAATTGCCCGCTTACACATGCCACTCTTTCAAATTCAATTTTTTTTAGAAGTCTTATTGCATTCATATATTCTCTTAATAACAATAATAAAAAAAAAGAAGAATACTCATTCATTCAAGACCGCGTATATCCAAAGCATTTGAATAATAATAATCTATTTATTAATAGCCATGTAGCTCTTTGCAATCTTCATGACCTGGTCTCCACAAAATCGTCCTAGACTACCTTTGGCAGCCTCGGTCTCGTTAAATTCAATAGTCAGGTCACTTTGTTGTCCGCGCACACAGTCTTCTACACTACATATACAGAATGGTACTGGTTCACAGCTGTGATCACCATAAAGTACTGGTGTAGAATGATCACTTGTCACAATGATAGTGTACTATAAAGAATATAAATAAAAATGTCTTTCAAATATACGCACATACCTTTTCATCATTGGCCATCTCAACCTCGCTTAATCGAGTCACCAAAGAACCGATCATCTCGTCTATCTTCTCCAAAAAGCTGACCTTGAGAGACACATTACGATCATGACCAGCATCATCTACAGCCTTGATGTGAAGAAACCCAAAATCATACACTGGCCCAGTTAGTGCTTTAAAAGCTGCATCTGCCTTGGCATCAAAGTCGGTGTGGTAGTCGCCAGTGGCACCATGTACAGACAAAATATCCATACCAGCCGTCATTCCTAACCCAGCGATAATACATGTAGGAGCGATCAAGAAACTCTTGAGACCATGCAGAGCATAAATACTTGGAATCTATAGCCAAAATTGAGTATATATGGTAATACTTAAAGTCAGTTTTTTTTATATTTGCATCTAAGATTAGTTACATTAATACAACTTCCACATCCGCGTAAGAGAACACAGTTTGCAGGGTTCTTTCCAGCTTTCTTTCGATCTGAATTAATAGGATGTTTACTGAGGACGTTGTAGAATTCATTCGAAAGTTCGTTAATCAACTGGTTTAGAGCAAGAGTTTTAACCATGGATTAGTCTTATTGTACAATAATGCATATGTTTTCGTACTTTGCTGGTCATCTTGGCATCTGGTGAATTAGTAGTAGGTTCACATAGTACCAATGGCAAACTAAAGAAATATATGGATAATATTAGATATTAAGCATATCTCAACTGTACCATCTTGAGACTTGTCACTTTACTTGTCTTTGAGAGGATCTGTGCCTGTGATTTCATCTGTCAGATTTGGCCCTCTTACTCGCACACCGCATCGATGTTCAGTAGCATACTTTACAGCAACAGTGTGATTAGGAAATGAAGGCAATATACTGAAAGTTTTTTTTTTGGCTCAGTACACATTTATCAATATATATATTGGCTATATCTTACATCCCATCCAAGGCTGCACAAAGAGTAGGGCCCAGTCCTTCAAAATGACGATCAGCTCTTCTAGACAGGACAATACCTGTAGCTTTGTCTATGTATGCAAAATTCGACTGCCGACAGCATAAGAACAAACAGTGCAAAAATCCAAGGATCAAATGTGTTTATGTGTGCACTTACTTTAAAAGCAATGTCTCCTGGGATCATATCAAGACCGGCACCCATTGTCTCGAATGCACCTCTCCCACGATAGTATCTTTATTTATTATTATTATTATTAAAAGAACCCATGTGAGATTATTTATAACCAGATCGTTGGTAGATACTCGAATTGGATATTGTTGTTTATTTTAGGGTATATGCTTTAAGACACTTACTGCCGTGGATTGTATCCCAATAGAGACATATGTGCAGTATCCGATCCACATGCCAACCCAGGCTCTACAGAGTCCATCAATCCATTCAGACCACTAGCTTCAATAACAGAGTTAGTCAGATTTCCATTGTGAATCTATTCTTCATTCTTCAATTGTCTTGCTTCTTACAGGCTAGTTTGTCCATCCATGGAATGTGTGCTGTTTGAAGTGGTGTTTTGTGATTTAGTTCGGGCACGGCCACATCTCCAACACCATCAATGAGCACAAACAACAATTTGCTTTTGGGCATTATTTGGTTATCCTCGCTCTTTGTGTATTTTTTTTTACTATTATATACAGTAGTAATAATAACTTTTTGTACTAATATTAAAATAATAATAATAATCAAGTATGTGCGCGTCTATAATACTTATATTTTATTTTGTGGATATTTCATCCTTTCAAAACAAGTCACTCACCCTCTTTTTTAACTCTTGTTATTGTGTTTTAGTAATGGGAAAGACTGTCCAAGAAAGTAAGGCCAACCCCATGGGGGACCGTAGCAATGAATTGCATGCTCTTACACGTGCAGAGGAAGAAGCCTGCAACAAAGCAATGAAGAAGGCAGCAATTGAATATTGTCAGGATTCCATGAAAGGTAAACATGTACTCAAAATATTTAAAAGTACAATAGACAGAATTGCAAAGACAAGAAATAATAATGACAATTGTCTTTGTAGAATTCGTTCAATGTAGTAAGGAGCATAATGTGACAGTAATGTGGACATGCAGAGATAAGCTCAAGACAATGAATAATTGCCTCAAAGGACGGTAAGTTTCTGGGGGGAAAGAAGAGCACAAATATATATATATTTATTTATTAAAAGAAGAAGAAAAAGGGGGGAAAGATAATTAAAGAAATTGAATAAAAGGAACTGATATATATATATATTGTGTGTCTGTGTCTGTGTTATATATGCAGTACTTCTCGTGAAGAACTCGATAAACTCAAATTGGAAAAACTGATGGCCAAGCGCGCTGAATTGGCAAAGTAGAATATGTGTATAGAAAACATATTTCTGTATGAATGAGCATAAATGAGGATGAAAGATTCCATTAATTAATTAGACATAGTTTGAGATTTCATATAATTGTTACCTTTCCAGTTGGATGCAACTTATCCAAATAATATTTTCTTTCTTTTTGAGCTAGCTCTCATTTTCGCTACCTCATTACACTCTCACTTCCTTTGCAAAAAGCTTACATTTTCTTAAGACTTAAATCCAAGTATCCACACATAGTCAGCTTAGTGATTAAGGTTCGATATTGTGTCCTTAGAAAATGTCCTTTCGCCATCCTTACCCTTGGCGTACTGAATGATGCCCGCATGAGCTGATATTTATTTACTTTTATGTCTTATTAATCCTCAAACTATAGTCGCCTCTTACAGTGTCTGTAGCCAAATTACCTTCATTCTTTTACTATTTACTGAAACCAGTTTTCTGATTAATTGACTTTCTCATGGACAATTTAAATTAGATTATTTTACCTATATTTTTTTTTCAACTCTACAAATATTTTTCAACTCCACATTAAACCCCTAAATTTATTGCATTCGTCGCAGTGATTACCAAGGAGTTCAGTATTTCTGAGCGATATTTTAGCGAGAGTTTCAGATAGTAATTATAGACATTGTTGTACTGTCACCAATTTCCTTCCTTTCTCCTTCTTCTCTGTACTGGGGCGTTGTTTTATAGCCACGCGACAAGTGCGACCACACATCTAATAAATAAAAATACTTCAAAAAACTAAAACTAGTTTTTTTTCCAAAAATAGTCTGTGCTCTCATAAAATATGTTATTGAATATGTATATAAATAAGCACTTGGTATTCCCTCATAATCCAGTAAAGGACTTGATTTTTATTTGAAATTATCGAATTAGCCTAAATATTTAAGTCTCTTCGAGATGCGTATCAAGAATGATTGACTATGATAAAGTATCTATCCCTTAATATACTATAAAGAGTTTGCGTTGTTTGAATGGTTTTCGTATGAACTTTTCACCAAAAGTAGTTTCTGACAATAAGAGGCTTAGGACCTACCTGTCATATCTGTATTGACCCGAACTGATTTCAATATATATATATATATGTTGGATAGTGTCACGTAAATTTGACCTCCTATCTTCTTAATCTCCTCATCATTTTCCCTCTTTCTTTCTCTTGTTCATTTTTAATAGCAAAAATAAGTCATGCTTTTGCCTCCTATCAACTTCAAAAAGTGGGTCGAAGAACATTCTGATTACCTTCAACCACCTGTCAACAACTTTTTGTTGTTCAAGGGAAAGGATACAATTATCATGGTAGTCGGTGGTCCAAATAAACGTACCGATTATCATATCAATGAAACAGAGGTAATACTTAGTATTATTAATACACATTCTAAAGCAGTATATGAGTCAGGAATGGTTCTACCAGGTCAAAGGAAGCATGACTATAAAGGTCGTCGATGATGGTGTCTTTAAGGACATTTGCTTAAATGAGGGTGACATGTTTCTCCTGCCTCGTAAGATACCTTATAATAATCCTTCCGGCGATTTAAACATCTATCATCCATATTGTTAATATTCTAGCCAAAGTACCCCACAACCCTGTCCGCTACCAAGACACCATTGGACTTGTTATTGAACGAGTTCGCCTTCCGCATCACACAGGTAATTTATAATAAATGGATGTCAGAAACAGGTGAATAAGAAATATAGCTCATCTCCTGTTTACATTATTTTCTTTTAAAAAAAAAGACAGTCTGCGTTGGTACTGTGAGGGATGCAAAGATATATTATACGAAGAAAGCTTCCATTGTGTTGACCTTGGATCACAGCTAAAGCCAATTATCGAGCGATTTGCAACAAGTAAAAAATTGCGGACATGTAAAAAATGTGGTGTACTCAATTCCACGAAATAAGCATTGAAACCAACACTATGGGAGAGAATGTCGATTTTGAGGGTAATTTGAAGAGTATTCTCAAAGGTAATTCTAGAATTGGGAGAAAGGTTGCAAGTAATTAAAGAAATTAGTAAGCTTTGACAAACCCTAGCAACTTCTTTAATCACATGCTGATCTCATTAAATTTAGGATGCTTTGAACTTAGTTTGGCATCTTGGAACTGATATTTATTTATTTTTTTAAAGAAAAAAGTTGCTTTTCATTCAGGGTCATTTTAAGTGAAGGTTGTATATTGGACTATTCATCAGATTGCAGTTGGATAAAGAGCCAAATAGAGCCTATAGATTACCTATATTTCAAACTAGGACTTAAATAAACCCTCGACATCAAACAAATTAATAAATATGAATTATACTTCTTTAACGCAATATTATTTTCTGTTTTATAAAGTGGTTTTTCTTCTTTTTCTTTTCAACAAAGTACCGAAGCATTAAAAAAATATGGATATACTTACACTTGATAGTTATCAAGGTTATCACTTCTAAACTATGGGCAAATATTCTTACTTCTCAGAAAGACATGTACTATATAGCGACTACTAAAAAAAAAGACGACGCTACAAGAGACTACTTTCAAAATGTTTTTGCTGCCTTGAACTTCCTCTACACCCTTTCCCAATTACGATACAGTCGAGAAATTCCGGGGAGGCTCACTAGTGTCATTCAAGTTGGAAATACTATACGACTAAGAGAACATGTTCTGGAGAATTATAGCGTGAGATGAAGGCGGACTAGTACAAGTCTACGAACAAGCTACAGAGGGACAGCTGTTAGAATAGCACCACTGATAAGAAGATTATTTTTAAGAAAATCAGGTATTGATAGGTGTCCTAAAAATGTTATTTTGGTAAGCTATTGAATCTTTTGAATAATATAGTAGAATAACTTACTATTATTTTGTGCTGTATGGACATAAGAGATACTTTTTGTCAATCACAAAGATGTGGTGCTGAGTAAACTATAAAAAAAAATGGGGGAGACAAGAGTAGAATATTAAAAGGATGTCTTCATTTTTGAACCACAATAATAAATAATGAAATAAAAATTAAATAGGCTTATATATATATATATATATCCCTTTCTTTCTTTAATGTAATACAGTTTCTTTACAGCTAAGGTAAAGAATTGTATGTCAAATAACGCTATTTTTTAAAAGGTTACAATTATATCGGAAATGAAAAACCTCGTTTGTTTTCTAGAAATATCAAACCTCATTGATCTTCCTTTCATCTTCTTCTAAAAAGTTCAGATATTTAAGTCAATATTCTCCTTATATGTATACACAGAAAATATTTATCACCAAAAAAAAGACCTTCAATTTATCATGTCTCATACTAGAATATTATTCTTATTTATCTATATTGTGGCATCCCACTCTATTTTTTCTTCTGTTTTAGTATTTTTCAACAGAATTAAGATATTCAGGATATTGCTCTTTTCAAAAGCTTATTAGTAGTGGCTTTTATAAAGACACAATGCAGAAACAGGATTACATATGGTAGAAAAATGGCGACTTTAGTAGATTTTTTTTTGAAGATAGTAAAGATCCTGTAGCTATGGCTGTCACATCAGTGACTGTGTTTGTGTAACATATTTTTTGATGGAAAATCCAGTTTAACAACACAGATTCTCAAGATGAGATTTCTCCACACAATTTTTTTTTATTGGGTGATAGAACAAATGAAGCCAGAGATAAAAAAATTAGTGTCAGAGCTTTACTGGTGCTTGGTTGGGAAGCAGTCGTGCTTTAGAAAATAAGCGTTATCTTAAAACACTCTTTTTTTTTTTTAATATTCTTTTTACCAAACCCCTTTTCTTCCCTCTCTTTCTCCCCCCCCCCCCCCTTTCTTTCTCTATTGCAATGTCTGACCTGGCTACTATTGTTGATGTACCTTCCCAGAAGACAGGGTATACTAATTTTGTGTTCTCTGCCGAGAAACAACAAGACTAAATCATCTATCAGCTCTTCTCAGGCTATCATCGATTGTGCCAGTGGTACTGTTGGAGGCATTGTCCAGGTTCTTGTTGGTCAGGTAAGATACAGAAAGCCGTAGTCGAGATCATGAATATTAATATCAATTATTTCCTTTTTATACCTATAAGCCATTTGATACCGTCAAAGTGGTAAGTAAATCTTTAAACACAAATCGACCATTCAAAAACTAACAAACTTTTTCTTAAATGATAATAAAGCGTCTTCAAACACAATCTACCACTAATCCTGTTTACTCGGGTATGATGGACTGTGTACGTCAGATCAGACAGCGCGAAGGTCTTGGAGGCTTCTACAAGGTAAAGAGAATAATATTCCAGCACCACATCAAGAAATTACTGTTTTAGGATATTTTTTCTCACACCTTCTGACACCCGCTCTTGATTCGTTCAGGGCACAACAACCCCACTGGTTGGTATTGGTGCTTGCGTATCGATCCAATTCGTTGTTCTTGAGTCTATGAAACGCACCTTTGCCGGAAAAAACAACGATCCCTTGACAAACACCCAGTTTTATATGGCTGGTGCCGCAAGTGGTGTTGCCAACTCAATTGTATCTGGCCCTGTTGAGCACATCCGTACCCGGCTCCAGGTCCAGACTGGCCCCAATGGATACAAGGGTCCTGTCGACTGCATCAAGCAGATCTATAGTGCTCATGGTCTAGCTGGAATCTACAAGGGTCAGGCAATAACTGTTCTCAGAGAATTCCAGGGTTATGGTGCCTATTTCCTGGCTTACGAATGGCTGGTGAAGCGTTCGATGGAAAAGACTCAGCGCAAGAGAACTGAATTGCCTGCCTGGGAAGTATGCATGTACGGTGCTGCCGCCGGTTACGCCATGTGGATGACTGTGTATCCCGTTGATATAATCAAGTCCAAACTTCAGACTGATGGTTTTGATAAGGCCACACGCAAATACTCCTCTGCTCTTGATTGTGCTCGCAAGATAATGGCAGTTGAAGGGTTTGGTGGCTTCTTTAGAGGTATTGGTGTTTGTCTGTTGAGAGCAGCACCTTCCAATGCGGCAACATTTATGGGGTAAGTTGACGAACCTGGATATATGCTTCTTTTATATTGATCATTTTACTTGTATTTATATTTGTAGCTTTGAATTAGCCATGCGTATGTTCTCTCACTAGAAAAATGACATTATACAAGATATATTACACATACACACATACACACTCATACATTTGTATAAAATCATGCTCTCTGTTTTTACCCATTTTGTTTTACTTTTTCTATTTTGGTGAAATACCTCTATTGTATATGTATGTATGTGTAAACAGCGCGTGTGTGTATATGGGAGTATAAGCATAACTTGTAATATATATAAATTCATTCCTTATTCCTCATCATTCTTGTTTGACGTCCCAGTATCGTACTCCACAAATCTACCCAAAATATCTTGACCGCTTGAAAAGCTCTTTTTTTTGTCTTTCTCTTCAACCTCAACTTGACTGCATTGCATGAACATTAAAGCAATACATATATCAAGTGATAAAATAAAAGCTTAAAGTCGCTTTATGTAATTTGTTCATCTTAGTTCCTATTGGAATTTTCAAAGAATAAGGTTTTTTCTTCTCAGTAAAGCTCACTACATTTAAAAAGAAGGGAATTATACCATTCAGCAAAACAAAACAAAAAACAATTACTACGTGAAGCTGGTTTGGGAGAAAAATATGATTTATTTCATATCATCAGTTACATAAGAATATATTAAGGTATATACAGATACCAGCGAAGACATGCATAACAAGAGATCAATTGAGCGCAATTTAAGTCGGCCAGCCTGAATTCGGTTGATACAAATAGTCTTTATCGCAGCCAGTACAAAGTCCAACATAGTTAAAAAAAGCAATTGCAGTATAATCATAATTTCCAAATATCGCAAATATAACTCCCCAATACAACCTATATTTACTACATCCGTGCTCTTGAATTAGAATATATTTTCAACTATTAGACTCTAAAAAATCACTTGTAGGTAAAATTGATATATATCACATTAGAGTAGACATTACTCAAAAATGCCAAAGATATCATACTACTAAAGACTAGATTAGTAATATAATTTAATATAAAAATAATAAGCACTGGTAGAATCATAGAATTATAAAAAGTAAAGAATTAAAGCAAATGCTTGCAGATATATTGCTAATGGCAATGGTGATTGTGCACAATACAGAGAACATGAGTATAATGAGATTCTCTTTGTTCTCTAGATTAACAATAATGAAGTCATTTAGCTTTCGGTATGCAATAGAACCAATCACATCACAAAAAGTGTGAATGGTGGAGAGTGTCTATGGGAGTTGCATTTCAGAGAGAAATTATTATTATTAGGGGATTTCAACAGTCATTCAAGCTTTTAAACTTAAGCTTTTGAGTTTAAATTTGAGAAATGATTGGCTGGAATGAACCTATAATCACTAAAAAAAAGATTAAAACTCTCGAACAAAATCGTTCAAGAGTTTTAAGCTTTTAATACATCCTTGCTTAAATTTGATTTTTTTTTTATGGAAATTTAATAAATCCTTGATGTAAATATTTCTGTCTCTTTCAACACTACTTTAAGCTTATGTCCCATTATCACAATGTCTAATAGAACTGAAAGAAGCATTTAGGGTACTCAAAAACACTTAGCAACTCTTACGTATCATTGGTTACTGCTTTAAAACTCAAAGCTTAAGTTTAAAAGCTTAAAGGACTGTTGAAACCCCCTATTATTTGGTGTGCATAGACTAAAAGTTCAAAAAGGGCAAAAAAAGGACAAATTTTTTAATCGACTCTAATCAGCTAGTTTTCTTCCATTGTCACTAGGATTGAGAAGAGAAGCATTTTTTTATGGAGAGGATGTGCCATATAATGATAGGTCTAAAAAAACATGCGATAAAAGGTTCTCACTTAATGACAGAGACGGGATTATAAGCACTATTTTATTTAATATGTATTTTGAACTAATTTTGAACTTTTTTAAAAAAAATGGTGTGGACAGGTGAAAATATTTTATTTTGGGTTTTTCTAGGCCTTGCGCATTTTAGCATATTGGCTACCTGATGAGAGCTGAAGAATAAATGAAAATAATAAAAAGTAACCCCCTAAATATGAGGGGGAATAAAAAAATATGTAAAAAGTGAAGGATAAATAAAGAAAAAGTATGAAACACGCATGACAGAGACAAAGATGAATAGTCAGAAAAACAGTGAGAGCACGTAAAAAACCCCCTGTGGGGGAAAACGGCTTTTAGAAAGACTAAGACTAAAAATAGATAATACAGCTGGTAAGAATACAGGTGAAATAAATATATAAGAAAAATAGAGAACCCGTTGGGATGTGATATTTTCAAAGACTGCTAAAAAAGAATTATTAGTGAAACCCAGTCAAAAAAAAAGAAAAACTCAACCACAGTTGATGAAAACATAAGTACTGTGACAAACATACGAGAGATACATCTTAATAAACTTGGCTTTCCAAGACTTATTCTCTTAAGTAGATATATAGAGACGACCCTTGACTATATTATGTTTATATTTGAAGTTGAAAAACAAGCTTAATTCTTAATAAAAACTTGGTGATGAAAGGGAGTGAAAAACTAGAAAACTCCCAATTTTTCACTCCATTTCATCACTAAATGGCCTCCCTCAGTAAAATTTTACATATTTTCATTGGAATTTCAATCGCCGCGTAAAGCAAGAGTGAGTGAAAATTCTAAATTTTCACTCGACAACGGGTTCTCTAATAAATGGCATGAAAGAATCGAGAATAAGTAACTAGGTACTGACGGCACTCGAATTGGGAACGGATTTCAGCAGGGATAGGAACTCCAAAGAGGGTGTAAATGGTGTGGACAGACTAAAAGTTCAAAAAAAGGGTAAAACAACTTCATCCAAAACTTAGTCAATCAGACTAATTTATGACTGTCCACACCTTTATTTTTAAAAAAAAGTTCAAAATTTTTTTTTGTATGGAGCCAGGAAAAAAAAGCTCAGGATTTTATTAAAGGTCTCTGATTGAATAGGAAAAGAGAAAATTAAAATATTTGTTTGTAAGGTTTTGTAGCTTATATGATGTTTTTGGCTTTTAAATTTTATGGTTGTTTTTGTTTTTGTTTTGTTTTTGTTTTTTAAAAAAAATGGAGGAGTTATGGAGAGTCCAGCTCTAGTTCAGAGCAGAGACGAGAAATTGACTTGCGTGCAGTGTGGAGCACCGCAGAGGGAAGGAAAGGGACAGAGTTAAAGTGGAAAGACCAGTGGTGATCCCAAATAGCCAGGATAGTTAGGCCAAAGACGGAGAAAGCAGGGATCGCAGGGTTAAGCGTGGGGGGGGGGGGGGGGGGGGGGGGGGGAAAAAAAAA